CTAAGAACATTTTAGTTGAATGCTGTATTAGGCAAAAAATGAAGTATTCTTTGTATCCCAGTTTCTCCCTTCCAACCACTCTCAGCCCAAATAATTAATCATTAATGAGGTTTCATCTGATATGTCATAAATAGCTAGTTGTTATTGAGTACCTACTCTGTGCTAGGTAGACTGTTGAGTGTAGAATCAAAGGTGAATTAGGAATTCAAAGAAATTATGTGATGGAAAGCAGACACAAATAATTATTGAGATGTGATGGATACATGTATAAAATAAAAAGAAGGGGGAGTATATAACTCTGCCTAGAGGAAGGCAGAGGAAGAAGGGTTAAGGGTAATAGAAGAAAAAAGAGGGACTCCAGTAAGACAGTGATGTATAGCTTTACTTAATTGGAATTTAGAGGAAGAAAAGTGTTTCAAATCACTGCTTCTCAAACTTTAGTGTGGATTACTGGGGGGTTTTGTTAGAATGCATATTCTGATTCAGTAGGTCTGGAATGGGGTCTGAGATTCTGCATTTCTAACAAGGTCCCAGGTGATTCAAATGCTATTGGCCCATATTGAGTAACAAAGTTTTAAAATGGAAACAACATGACTTGTCATGGAGCCATGAAACAGTGCAGTGTGCTCAAGTATATACGTACAAATGTCCTCGTATTTGTGTAGGGTAAATTGTGTGAAGGTAAGTAGAGGTATGTGTTTGCATTTATCCTGGACTGTCCATTACAGTTGGCAGTTGTGATAGCACTGCTAACTTCAGGTAACAAGGGAATCGAGAAAGGACAAACTGTAGTGCGATGAAGAGTGGATAGACGGTTACTGTCCGACCCTGAGAGAGCATCAGATGATGCCAATTTAGGGCCTGTACTCATCAAAATATTCAAAATCATGAAAGATAAGACAATGGAACTGTTTCAGATATAATGCGGGAGAACTGACAGCTGAATGCAGGTGATCAGAATTTTCTATAAAGAATATCATAGGAATATTTCGTGAAATTTGAATAAGGTCTATAGTTAGCTACTAGTATTAATATTTTGACTTTGATCAGTGTGGGTATGTAAGAGAATGTCCTTTTACTTTTTTATCTTTGGAAATACATACATATTTAAAGGGGCATCATGAGAGCAACTTAATTTCATTGGAATTCAGAAAGATAAAAGCAAATGTGATCAATGTTAACATTGGGGAACCTGAGTAAAATGTACACAGGATTTCTTTGTACTACTGCCAGGTTTCCTCTAAGTCTGAAATCATGTCAAAGTTTATTACATTTTGAGTGGATGATGAGAGAGCAACAGTAGCAAAACCACACAAACGAAGACAGAAACCTAGGAATCAGCCTTCTTCACAGCCCCTCATTCTCATATCTAAACCCATTCTCAGTGCAGCTTTGTAAATTTGGTTTACATCTGCTACTCTATCTTCATCTCTACTGCTCTCACAGTCCAACTTAATGATCCCTTATCTATATCACTGAAATAGGCTAATCAATTATTTCAATCCCTGTACCAAGGAATCTTTTCAAAATGCAAACCTAATGATGTCATACCCGCTCCCTACCCCCATTCCGCTCAAGTATTTGACAGGGAATATTTTTAATATGGAAACCCTACCTACATAAATCGGCTCCTACCTGTTCACGGTTCATTTTCACTATGCTTCCTTACTCTGCATTACTGCTGCTGTTGCCAAATTCATCCTGCTTCTTTGCACCTTCATATGTACCATTTTTTCTTCATCTTGCCATCAGCTCTTTCTGTTCAGATTTGAAATCTACTGCTTTATCTGGGGAAGCCTTTCCTTGAGTTACCTTATTCCCATTAACTTCTCTCAATAGCACTCCTGTCTTCTATCATATTAGTTGCAGTTGTGGAGGTAATACATATAAAACTACATCACAGGCAGGCACTGCGCTGGGTTTTGCTCACTGTTGTGCCCCCAAGGTATGTGTAGCACATTGCTTGGCATGTAACTGGACCTCTACAAAGTTAATGAATGAATATATTAAAAGGAAGGGAAGGCAGGAGATAGAGACACTGGGTATTTTAGGATGGAATCTAAGAGAGTATTTGGGAGAGCAAGAACCCAAAGGCTGGGAAGGTTATGATAAATAAAACAGATTAAGAGAATCTGTGAAGTTAGACTGAAATGTCACATACTGACAACTGTTTCAAATCCATTGCAACCTTACAAGACATTAAAGAGAAAAAATGGTAAGTATAAAGAAAACTTTTGAGAAAAAACTCAATAAAAAGCAACACTTTGGTGATTGATTTCTTCAAAATATTTGATGTGCTTTTAGAAGAAAAAGGTGAATTGTCTGGCCTTTGCTTTAAAGTACTCCAAAAATTTCTTTTAAAACAAGAGTTGGCACTATTGGAACACACCTACATGTGCCAGGCACATAATACATATTAAAACCAAACTTTCATAGTTGCATATACCCCTTTTTAGAAATGAATTTAGAATTATGCTTGCTGTCTTTTCTGTTTAATGTCTTTCTCTGCATTCCTTTTTTTGAGTGGTAAGAAATCTTGGAGGCAGCCTTACCCCCATGGCATGCTGGTTGTTTTTAGTGTCTGTGCTTCTTGGTATACGCTTGTTTCCTGGCGAGCTTGAGCACTCAGTATATTGGTGATCTCCTTACATGCCCTTGGAAAGTGCATCCATGCCTGCAGACCTGGTGGCTTAAGGTGTCCATAGCCTATAAATACTCTCACACAAGCTGGTGGTGGGCCTATTGGTGCAGATATTTATTAGTCTGCTGTTTCCCAGTTGGTTTTATTGTCCAGAAACTTAACTCTCCAACTAACCAAAGCTGTTGAACTTGTAATTTGTAATCCTTTCACTCCTTCAGTCCTTATTACGCAATGTGCTCTACCTGGGGTGGAAGTTTTCTTTGCTTTCAGTGGTTTCTTGTGGCCTAGAATCCATATGGTCTTCCAATCCAGACAATGCCATACTGGTTCCTAGTTACTCCTGAGCTGCCTCCTGTCCTGCTGCCTGTTGGTACCTGTTTTCCTCTATCATAAACATCTCTCCTGACCCCTTAAAGAAAATCTTGAAGGCCATCTAGGAAGTCTAACATCTTCTCTGAGCTCTCTAAAGCCGGTGTCCCTGCATCTAGTTTTGCTTTATGTCCATCTGATTCTCATTCCTTTGCAGTAATCGTATCCTTTCTCTGGTAACTTTTAGGGTATTTTCACTGTGATGTGCTATATGTATGGGTTTTTGTTTCCTATCTGATTTGACACTCAAGTTCTTGAAATCTTAGAGTTAATATCATTAATTATAGATGTTTTTGGCTACCGTTTCTTCAAATGTAGCCCCCTGTCCATTCTCTTAATCTCTCCTGTTACCTGATTTTGATTTCTTATTTTCTATCACTCTATATTCCTTTGAGTTGTGGACTACTTCCCATCCACTGATTTTTATTTTCAGCGGTGCCCATTCTGTTATTCAGCCCAGTTGGAATTTAGTTTTAAATATGAAAATTATGTTTTCCATCTCTAATGTCTCTGTAGAGGCCTTTTGCCTGTTTCTCTTGGCATTGTTAGTACTGTGAAAACTTGTTAATCTGTTCTCTGTGAACTGTTTCTTCAGGTAGTTTTCCCATTTGTACTTCATCTATTTTTTTTTATTTTTTATGGTGTTGGTGTTCTGACTTCTGGAGTCTTGATTGTATTCTCATCTTTAAAGTAGCTATTCATTGTTAAGAATGTTCTGCCACTATTTATGCATTGTTTTAAAAAGTTTGTTGTTCACATGCATTGCTTTTCATGGAAAGAGCAGTAATTTGCACTCTACACTATTTTTCAGAAGCAGTTAGGGCTGGGCAGGACACTTCAAAGTACAGTACATAGACATTGCCTTCTCTCTCCAACCATCTTTGTGCTCAAGATTCTCCCATTTTATCAAGACAGATAATCTCTTTATCATTCAGTCTGGCTGAGGTGTTGGTGCCCTAGCAGTTGCTCCAGATAATTGTCCTGCTCAGTTTCCCTTTCCTCCAGGTCTAGGGCACCTTTGATGTTGATCACATTTTTTGTGCTAATATTTTCCATGTGTTTTTGCATGCAGTTTTCTCTTCAGTCTAATTCCATGTGGTGTTAGTCTTTCAGACTCCTTACAAATTATGCTGTACTGACAAACTGCCTTTTTTGCATGTTAGTATGGATGTGTATGTGCAGATCTGTGCATGTCTATAAAAATCTTGTGTCACTTTTAGGGTGCTGTGCCATCTTGAAATCAAGTATCCCAGTTACTTTTGGTAGGCCATGCCTTTTTTCAGTGTTGGTGAAAACCTGGCACTTCATCCTACATATTCCTTTTTCCACTCCTTTCCACATTTCCAAACCCTTCAAACAGGCAGTCAATTTGATCAATCTAGTACTGGAAATATGGGGTTCAGACAGACAGTAATCATGAAGAAACTAATATTTATTCAATAATTAATTATGTTAGATATCCTTCAAATGCCTATTATCCCTATTTTTACAGATAAAGCAACTGAGGCACAGAGGTGACAAAGTTTGAAAAATTCATTGCTTTAAAAAAGTGAAAGAATGGTGGTAGACACTGGCAGAGGCTAATGAAGTCTGCTTGTGGTCTCAAGAGGTCCCAGTCTGTTTTGATTCTGTAAAATCTTAATTGGTCCCGAGTTATTTCCAGACATAAGGGTAAGCAGGAACTAACCTAAGGATTTAAATCATATTCAACAAAGATTTACAGATAGAACTAGTCTCTTCTATAACATTTTGTAATGTAGAAGACTTTCAGAACAGATCTCTTTCCTTTTCATCCCCTTCAAATCGAGGAGCAACTATAGGAAACTGGACAATTCCTGAAGATGTTTTTTAAGGAATCTTATTATTTATTATAAGTACTTCTGAATAGTATGTTAATATTCTGCAATTTTGTAAGCAGAAACACTAAAATGTTCATTATCTGTGTTAAGGAACTAAAACTATCCATTTCCTTTCTTTCCATTTGTTTTAGTGCATAACACTTCTCTGAGTCAATGGAGAAATGGATTTTCTCCTACATGCAAGCCTCAAATAAGGTCAGAATCTTCTGCACAGCTGTTACAGGGAAGAAAGAAAAGACACTTGAGTGAAACAGCACTAGGTGGGTTAAAATGAAGATAGTACTAAAAACTGAAATTCCGATCTCCAAATGATCTCTGTTTAATGGGAATTGATAATTTAGTAGTCACGAACTACACAAAACATCCATGGTTCATTTAACAGCACATTCACATAACCAACTTAGAATTAATTGTAGACTGTGCATCCATCCACTTTATGGCAATTAAGGATTTCTTTCCTATGTTCCCTGACTAGAGTTATGTACTAACTATTGTCCTGGACAGGACTTACTCTCAAAGGTTGTGTTCTGGACTAAAATTATGTTACTACAAGGTTGACATAAAGAAATTTATCTGGTACACACTGAATCTTCCTCAGAATTTTGAGAAATTGAATGAGATTCACTTTAGGTAACTCAGCCATCTAGTTCAATTTCCTTTAGGAACTTACAGTTCCAAGATGATCGATAGAGATACCATTCAAACTAGTATTCTTCTAGTAACATAAAGTGAGGTTTTTGTGGAGATTTGAGATAGTACCTATAGTTATGGCTAATTAATGATAAAAGTGAAACTTAGCTCAAAAGATACACATTAAATAGCAAATTGTATACTTTTTGTTCATTGCTCCAGTGGATATAACATTATAGCATGGGGCAAAAGTAGGCTTACAGTTGTATGTGAGTTTATTCTTGCATTATTTAATTTTTTATTATTTTCCATATGTTGTAAACCTACTTTTGCCTTAGCTGTATGTACATTAGTGAAGTATTCCCCAGATGTACTAATTTTACCCAAGATGTTTCTGGACTGCAATTATACATGATGGACTCAACACATTTATCACTGTCTCTAGAAACCCCACCAAAACAGATGAAGTTACTATGTGATAATCACTACCTGATCAACTAGTGCAGCACAGAATTAAACTTCCACCCACAACCAGAAATTGCATTATGCTTTTTAGTGCCTCACTCTTAAGACAACCAAATAACTTAGACTTTGAGGAATGTTCAGACATGCATATAGTGAAACACAGGAAAACTTGCGTATCTTAGTAAGATGCATTATGAAATACAAATTAACTAAGATGTAAAATGTTTCACTTGGGTTGATAAATATAAGTTCAAGTTTCATGGAAACACAGAAATAGAACAAGTATAATGCTATATTACAAAACACTAGATTCACCCCATAAAGTCCAGGACACTTTGTCTAGTCTCTAGTAAATATGAAAAATGAACTCTTCTAGATTTTAGGAAACCTAGGAGACAAGAATCAATTTCAGCATGTGGATCCTGGTTTGAAGAAATAACATAAAGGACATTTTTTAATAAGTGGAAAAAAATGTAAATACAGAGTGGGTATCAGATTTTACACAGAAAAATATTTTTTGAGGTCCATACTATAGTAAAAAAACAAGGACAGTATATAAGTGAATTAAATATATACTCACAAATAGGGAACCAAAACAAATGGAAAAAAAGAAAAAGAACTTTTCTAAAATAGTACTTTATTAGAAAAAAATTCAAAAATTAATGGTCAGAAGATAAAGCTAAGGAAATCTTCTAAAAAGTAGAATAATGTTTAACACTGTCATTACCCCAGAAAATAAAATTGTGGGTAAAATTCTTTTCCATTCTCTTACTTTTTTTGATATAAGTTTTAAAAATAATAAAAAGAAAATTAGTAAACAGAAAAGGAATCACATGTTAATAGGAAAATAATTCTAATACCTGTAAGTCACATTCATGTTTAACATGATTTTCAATGCTTTTTACCACTGCAGGAGAAAGAACTAGATGTGAGAAATTTGCTTTTCAATGCACAGAACCAGGATCCCATAGCAATTTGACTGCTGTTACTAATGTCAACGTTGTATCAAGAACCCAGAATTCATCACAAGTAGGTTTTTTTGTATACTAACTCTAAAATTGCTTTTCAGAATTTTAAAACTGATTTAAAGAAAGTACATATTGTTAATAGCCTAATTCACTAGAACATATTAATATATTTAGAACTATCTTATTAGGAAGCAGCAAATTGGATTAACTTTCTCAGTAGGGAGATAATTGTTCATTAATCCCTGGTTATGGCTTTTATTTCTGTTAAAAGAGAACTTTACCATAACCTTCTCTACTCATTAACATGAAGCTAACTATAACCTTACTAGTAAGAATCCGACCCTTGTGTTATTTCATTTTTCATTTAACCAGAGTAGAGGTAAAAAGATGGGAAGGTGTAGAAGTATGAAGCTTAGGGACCAGGAACACATAAATGAAGATTGTAATAATGATCTTTACTAAATGACTTACCAAATACTTAGGTCTTTCCCAATAAAAATTGAGTTTGTCAAGTGATTATTGCCTTATGGAAATCTTTTATCGTAAGAGTTTTGCATTTTAAGGCATTCCTACTTTTTACGGTCATAAAAAGTTTGTATGTGTGCACACAAATGTATGCTGCATTCCTACTCCCCACCCCCAAAAGATTGGTTACAAAAGACAGGTATGCTTCCTTGCTTTTCTCAACATTTTACAGTCATACTTATATTAAGTTTTATAAAAATGCTATTAAAGTTATGCTACCATATCATCTTTATACAACTTGAGCGTATAGCCACAGGTAACTAAATGCTGCTGTAAAACTACGATAACCCCTTTGCTGCAGAGCACTGCACGACGGAGACTGCGGAGTGAGAGTTCTTATGACATAGATAATATTGTGATTCCCATGTCATTAGTGGCCCCAGCTAAATTGGAGAAACTCCAGTATAAGGAAATACTTACTCCAAGGTATGTATACTTGCATCCTTTTTTCTTTCTTCCTTGTCTTGAATAAACTTAAATTTCCAGAGTGAAGTTAAAATTTTAATAAAAGGAAATGCTCCTCTTCCCCTTCCTCCCACTTGTATAACCATGGAGCGAAAATGGAGAAGGCTTTACATTACTTATGCTGGAAAAAACCATAACTTTACATCTCAGTTTTTGTTAAGAATTGGGAATTCCTGAGACTTATTTCCTTTAGCAGTCTTTTTTTTTTTCATTCACTATTTAGTTACCTGTTATGTATATGGCACTAAAAAGATTACTTTAGGAATGTAAATAATACTTTAATTAATAATTGCTCTTTAAAATGAAGGTTTACAAAATGAAGGTTGCAAAATGAGTTCAAAGAAAACAACTACCTTTGCATGGGGTATTTATACTGTAAGACAGTAATACTTGTGACAACAAGATTTTGATGTAAATATTGCCAAGTCAGCAATAAACACAGTAGACAGAAAAATGAATGGGGAAATCTGGGAACACATAATAAAGGAGGGGGAAGGTAAGTGTACTGACAGAGGCCACAACAAAGGCATATGAACACATGTGCAAGGCTCTGTATAGAGCGTTAAAGGGAGTTAATTCTAGAAGAGTTAGAACCAGATTGTGGAGGTCCTTGAATGCCATACACAGATCTGCCTCCTACTGTCAGTGAAGTTAGCCGATTTTTTTTTAGCAATGATGAAAGCAGTTTCTTAAAAATAATCTGGCACCTGGAAGCCGAGATAGAAGAGGTTGGAAACAGGTGTGAGCTGGGTGACAACTCCACAAATCCCTACTGCTGTCTGTTCCAGCTAATTTCTGATTCTGTTTAATAATGACTTTGAGGTATTAATAACTCCTAACACTCTAGGGGGGTATTATGAGAATTACTACAGAGAACATTGATACAGTCTACATAAGGAATAACATTTATTATTTGTGGTTACAATGTTCTGTAGCAACAATAATTGAATTGGTAGGCTCACGAGATTTTGTGATCCAGTCATTAAACTCAAACGAGGCCAGGATGGAAGTCTTCACACAAAGAAATGGCAAATGCTATAGCCACACACAGATCAGGGTGTTTTGGTGGGTAGTGGTGGTTGGTGACGGGGGGTGGGGGGTGGTGTGTGTTTCTGAGCCAGTTTATTGCTATCTACTGACCTAGAGCTGTTTGTTTGAAATTGGTTTGTATCTTCAACAGCTGGAGGATGGCTGTCCTTCAGCCTTTGGATGAATGTGATGTATGTGAAGAAGAGGTAAGTTGCCTTTTATATTGGGATAAAGGCACTTTATATATTATGAAGTCTGTTGAATTTGATACTTGAGGAAATATAAGCCCTTTAATGTATGGATTTTTTTCTTTTTACTTATGAGAACAAAGTTCTTCATTAAGGATATTTTGATTAGAAAAGTTTTGTGCAAATTTGACTATGAAGACAATAATGTATAAAAAGTAAATACAAAATATACCATTTGCTTTTATAATTTGTTAAAAAACTGAATTTATGTGACTCTACATTCATTCCCCATATTAAGTCATATTTTCCTGCATGAGGAGATTTAGTCTTAATATTCAAGCCTACCACATTAAAAATCTTGGAAACAATTTGATTGGTATTTGGAAAATTTTGGACTTTAGAAAAATAATGTAGTACACACATCATACATGTAATACATGTACGGAGTCTAGGACAGTTCTCATCAAGTATTTTTCTATACTGAGATATTTACAAGATGTAGAAAGAATAGCCTCATATCATTTCAGATTGGACTATGTCACCAAATGAATTTATGAAAATTTGTTTTCAGATTTTTGGAATTGCAGGAAAGGGACTGGGGATCTACATGGGTAAAACACTAAGAAAGAACATACTATTTAACCAAGCATATACCAAAGCAATATAGTAGCAGTATATTATGTTAAAGACATTTTTTTCCTGTAACAGTCTATGCCAAGTGATGATGTTTTTCAACTACCAAAATTTAGTTTTTAATGTTCTTCCCTTCTTTAATCCACTTGCCTAGTTAAGTAAGATCCTAGCCAGAAAACCCAAATTCTTAAAATATTAACATAAACATTTTTGGTTTGGGTTTCAAAACCAAAGTCTTAAAACTCCAGGTAAATAATTTGTTAAATTCTAATTTATCTCAGACAATTAGCTTTACTTTTGATATTTTGATGTTCTTAGAACACTGTACTCCACAATGAGCAATCAATACAAACTACTGTATAAATACAGCATTAGAATATTGGATGTAAAATGAAAGCACTAAGAACCTATTTGTAATCTAGTTAAGTGTTCAAATGTGACCAACTCGTAAAAATGTTTTTAACTCTTATTTGAAGCTCATTTCATAACATTGGTTCTCTTGATTTAGGCTGCATTTATTTGAGAGTTTTCTTTCTATTGCTCTCTTGATGAAAAAGTGACACCTGTTTTCACATTTTAAAATGTTTCTGATAGAAGCAAAGCTTTTTATTTAATTTCAGACAGAAGATCTTTCTGATGAAGTCTTTGCCCTAAGACACAAAAAATATGAAGCAAGAGAGCAAGCCAGATGGTCACTATGGGAGCAAAGCAAGTGGCACAGAAGAAACAGCAGGCATGTTGTACATTTAAACCCCAAAAGCATGAAATCCACAAGGAGTCAACAAAAATTCTGTATGAATATGAGATCACTAAAAAGGAACAAAAATGATCCTTTGTAACATCAGCCATTTGCACCAGAAGGGAAACACTGAACATAGTGAGCCTACACTCAAAATACGTTTGGGCTACTACATATGATGAAATGAGTTTCTCTATTTTACTGCACTCATATCACATGCTCACTGTCACCCCCGGGAATAGATTTAACTGAGCAAAAACTGTGATAATTCTCCCTAAATAAAGGAGATCAGTTCAGTGTACTCCAATAGTGGGGATTACACTAGGAATTAGTGTAATGCTAGGGATCAGAATTCAGGTAATCTTTTTTAACATAACCACTTCAGAAATGATTTTCTTATGAAATTCTAAAAAAAAAATCCTATTTAGTAAAAAAAAGTAGTCTAAAATACTGTACTTTGAATACGGCCTTAAGGAAAGGGGGAATAAATCGTAAAAACATCATTAGTTATTATGTACAGGGGTACCTTGGTACTTGTTAATTTGCTCTGGAACGCCTGAGGAGTGCTGAACTGTTCACGAGCTACCATGAAACTGACGCATCAACCTCTGTTTCATCACGGGAGACGGGCGCCAAGTGGCGAGCAAGTGCTGAGTGCTGAAACGTGATTTTCTCGTCAAAATGCAATGGGTACAGGGTTTGAGGAGTTCTGAAGCCAACAAGTACCAAGATATGACTTAATTTGAGAAAAATACCTGGTATTTTATATTTACATTTGACTTTTAATGTGGCCAAAAATCAAAATCATATTGAGTCTAGTAGTCAGTATCCTTGGTGTGGGGGCATCTCTCATTTGATTAGTATTGTTAAAACACATTTCTCAGTCTCAAGATATCCAGAACTTTTTTTTTCTGGATCCTTATTCTAAGATTTATCCAAATATATATGAAATTCAATTCTCATCTTTCTCCACAATCCAGAGATATAACTCTCCAGAAGTACAGAGGAAAATGTGAATTGAGTCCTTCACAGATGATATTACAATAATCATAGAATACTCTGGAAACTCAGAAATACTATAAGGGTCAAGCAAATGTCATTTCTTGTTTTCTTAGGGGAAAAAGAAGGCAAAACGAAAAACAGTATTATAATTCAACAAAAGACCTCATAAAATACAATTTAGGTCTTTGAGGTATGAATAGCATCAGGAAGATTAGCAGATGCATTTTTAAGCATGTTTGACAGAAATGTTAAAGAAATACCTACCTAGTTAAACTGGCTTAATGACACCTTGGGTTGCTCATAAAATATTAAGAACTCAAGAAACAATTAAATATTTTCTTGATTTTCTTGCTAGAGCTTACAGTAAATGTGCTGAAGGGCAGGACTTACGTTTGAAAGAATACCCTAGTGAATTTAACGGTGGTCAGCACTGTGCTGTCGAAAGTCCTCAGAGCCAGGATCTGCATGCACATGGCTCACCTTCAGTAAATGAAAATCAAGAAATCAAGGTAAGTGGAATTATGACTAGTTAAACCTTTTAATAGCCTTTTATCCTTTTTAAAATGTTTGTAAAAATTGCTTGTTACAAATTAAGAAGTCATCATTACATAACAAATTCAGGATAACGATCCAGTATAGAATGCTGGGTACAAATCAGAGGATCTGTACTCCCCAACATTCTAGTCCCATCAGTATAAATACTTACCTTTTTATGGAGCATGCCATTACCTACCTATACATTTATTTTAGGAAATGGGGATACTATCAAAGTTTCACTACAAAACTAATCTGAGTAGAGAGCAGCACCTGGCACAGAGTGAACATTAGCTGCTTCTTCCCTTTACTTGTCCCCCATCCCCACAGATCCAGTTCTAACTGCAAGGGGACTGTTTTCTAACACTGCATCGATAAAGTTCGTGCAATTTTATTTATAAATAGGTATGGGGGGGGGAAGTATCTAGAATGGAGAGAGAGTAGAAAGATGAGAGAAAGGGAAAGTCAACAGGTGTCTGTAATTGTGGGATGCAAATAGAGATAGTGAAGTGTAGACACAGATCAAGACACTTTAAAAGGGGCTTCCCCAAAGCATTCCTAGGCTGAAAATGATGATCAGTGCCCTATGGCAGCATTCCCCTTCAAGGGACAGGTAAAGAGAACAAATAATTCCCTAAGGTCCCTAAACAATTCTCAGTACGTTCCATTTCGAGTTCCTAGATACTTAAATTCAAATCAAAATTTGCGCATTTATGTGTTGAAGAAAACAAGTTATTACAAAATTGACATTTACAGATTACTTGATACATTAAACACAACAAATTAATTAAAACTTAACTGAACATGTTTTCTCTTTCAGTCTTTGTGGTGGGAACGAAGGGCTTTTCCACTGAAGGATCAAGACACAGAAACCTTATTATGCCAAGATGAAAAAAAAGATAAGATTGAAAGATCAAGCCCAGCTTTCAAAGGTGAAGTCGTCTGTACCAGTGCACCAGAGAACAGCCAATATCCAAAAAAGCAGGCAGACGGAATGGAAGAGTACAAAACCATTTCTGTAGGACTTACTCATGTTAAAAAAAATAGGTGACAAAAAAACAGGTTAAGCAAACAATGTAACTGAATGGAAAACAGGAGAAAAAAATAAGCCCTGTTCTCCGTCTCCAACCCCCTGCAGTCACAATTTGAGTACGAGCATGTACTGCATGTAGTAATCTTTTATGCTGTTTATGCCAAGGGCAGGTATGTCTTTCCTTCTTGAACCACAGAGGTAACTAACTAGCTTTTCACTTACAGACAAGTGCTAGTCATTTGTGTTTATGATACAAATCAAAAGCACCAAAAAGTTAACTGCTACAATTTGATGTCAAATCACATGACTGGGTAAATAATTTTTAAAAGATTTTATACCCATATATACATACATATATACATACACCCCTGTGCATCAAATGACAGCTCTTCTTTTTCCTATATAAATGGTATTAGAATATACAAATGTGTGTATATGCTATACATACACACACACATATGCACTGGCAGATACCACTCAAAAATGCATGTATGAACTACCCCATGAAATATAAGCTGCACTATAAAGCAGCACAGGTTTCCAATGGTAATAATGGACACCTAAAGTCTTGACTATGAAGAGGGATTTTTAAAAATGTGTTTAACCAATAGAAGTTATTTATGGAAATTTCTACACCAGATAACACAATATTCCTTTATTTGAAATCACTGATATCTGTTGGACGACACACAGGTCATTTGCTATGCACTCCTAACAGAATGAGACAAGCAAAGTGAAGTTTAAATACTGGTGTCTTAAAAATAATCACCTTTTTTAAAATTTGAGTTTAATCTACCTTATTTTATGTACCTCATGAAGAGAAGACACTAACTTAAAATAAGCAACACACAGGAAAGTTCTGTCAGTATAATAAAAAAATTACTGTTTTTCTAGTTAATTTGGTCATTCTTTACCATAGCTTACTCTATTCAAACAAGTAAGTATCTATTCTCACTTGTATCCTAGAGTGAGAATCACAACTTTTCAAAGGATAATGTTTCACTGTTATCAATATTGAATACTGGAGTGTACATTAAGGAGAATTCCTTTTGAAGCTATTACATCATTTTTTTTTTTTTTCTGTGTACGTTGAGGACAATTTATATGAATCGTTTTTTCTCATGTAAAAAAGGTTTTCCAAGTTGTAGCACCCAAATAACTGACAATCCTGGCCATGTGACCTAGACTTGGGGGATTTGACACAGTTTTGTTAGGGACTGGAAATTATGCTAGTTCCTTTAAAGAAAAAAAAATTCAATTTCAATACGGACAAATTTTTGCTAGTAGTTTTACTGTACATTTATTTTTTCAAAAAGAAATGCCAGACAAACCCATGTTGTCTGGGCAAATAAACTCAAATCTTTCTGTCATGTCTGATATTATAATCTTCTATGTAAGTTTTTTAATTAAAGTTATTTCTATATGCCTTGTGTTGTCTGATTTGATTAAATGCCATCTATTCATAGCACAAAACTTTCCCAAGCCAAAATAAACAACCTTAAGAAACACACTTTTACCTTGTAATGTTGGGGAAAAAACAAGCACTCTATTCCATACATGAGTTGATGTTCTTGTTTTTGAAATCTTTTTGCTTAAAACTCACAGTAGCCTAAATAAGTTTAATGATGCTGGTCCTGTTATTTCTTGCCATATGTATTACACAGCAAGAGTATTTACAATAATGACGTGACTGACACATTTGTTGTCAAAGAATAATTTGGGACACAATTATAAATACTTAGTTTATGGATTGACTCCGTACCTTGCCATCTCTTAGCCTACCTGGTGTTTCTTGGATTAATAACATATATATATATCCTTGGGGGCAAAATCCACAGTTTCAGGATATCCTCAGCCGTCTGGTTCTGCTAGAGTCAAGTTGGACTGGAAATAAGACAATGTTAAGTAAAGGAAGCTTCCTTTGCCTAATACACCTCCTAAGGCCTCCATTTGTAAAGAGGACAAACCAGAAATCCCTACTGGATCCTTTCCATGCTAACAGCTTGTTGCTAAGCTTTAGTACTGTCATTTTTTAAAATGAGGACAAAAATATGCCTGCCCACTCATAGCAGTTTGTAGATTTAATGAGATTACATCAAAGTACTTTATAACCTACAAAACAAACTTTATAATGACAGCTACTCAATTCTATGCTACAATTCTAGAAAGAGCAGTGGAAGCTTTACATATATAATAGTTATCTCTCTTATCCTCAACACAACCCTGCACAGTTATTATAATTACATTCAATGTATAAATCCGTTAATAGAAGTTCAAAGAGGTTGGCTGATTTGACTTGCTAAGGTCAAATAGCTGGGAAGCAGAAGAATCAATTCAATTTTACTTCTAAATAGAGGTTTTTATTCCCCTTTTGCTCAGAGCTAGCACATTATTTCATGTCCTTAAAAACGGGGGGTGTGATTAAGGATGTGGGGGGGGCGGAACCCCTGAATAATCTGCCCCTGCAACAAAGCTAACATAACACCCTGATAAAAGTCTATGCTTGTATTTTAGAACAGACCACCTTAAAATCCCTGGACTTCATACATTATTTTTATATATAAAATATAAGGTGCAAAGTAAAAACTAGGTGTTTTAGAAGCAAGAATACAGTATGCCATCCCAGCCATATTCAAACTTAGATTTTTTTTCCCCTAAGTTCTATTCTACTCATATTATCACACATATACACAATAAAAAAAAGACACAGAACAGAAAAAAACATAAGGACTTAATTTGCTTTTGGAAAACAGCTGAGAAACAACAAAATTAAATGGAGAAAAACATTTTTTCATAGTTGCTAATATGCCTTCCTTAGAAGACTTTTTTTATAACCTTAACACAGTCATATTTTTACTGTTTATAAAAATCAAGTCTCCCAGTAAAAATGGTATTTTACCACACTAATCTTTAAATTTCATCACTAAAGCAATACACAATTTATAACCTCTTGGAATATTCTGCACAATAGATGCTAGTCACTGGAATGAATAATTGCTCAGAAAAGCAGCACTGCCTAAATTGTGAAGTGATTTGGTAGTCAATATTCTTGTTCTCCAATAAAAGGATTTCATGAGCAGAAACACTGGACTCCTTGAGCTTTCATCGATCAAGAGAACGTTTCTGAGCAGCTTCTGAGCAAACATTTCTTAACAGGTTGATCACAGATCTGGGGTCTTCACTCCTCATAATGGCACTGCCAGACACAATCATGTTAGCTCCTGCCTGAAAGAAGTAAACACTTAGGTTATGCCTCAAAGAAAGAAGCAGAAAAACCTACAACAGAATTCCTGGACTAGAGTTTCTACTCTTGCATCTGTCAGTCAGCATTTAAGCCCCTTTGAGGCGAACAGATTTAAGCAATCTGGCTCAGTGAAGAAAGAAGTTAAAATGCTTAACAAATGAGGATGCACAATTGTTTATAAATGTGTCCAAGAAATCATTGATTGTCTTTGTAATGACCTCTAAATAAGCTATATTGCATCTTTGCTAATATTTAGATAAGGTTTAAAAATCCTTAATCCTCAACTCTATTAAGGTTTTCCAATACATACCAATATCCCCATAGCTAGTACTCAAAATGATCTTTTAATTTTGAATTATGCAATGAATTGGTAGATAGTCTAAAAGGGCAATGTTGCAAAAATGTGAAACTACCCATAAAACATGGCAACATTAAATAATTTCTCATTTTGATGCCAGAAGGAATGGAATGGCTTTTTATAATATGAGTCCAAATTTAGCTCTGTGCTTCCTAGGACTTGACTCAAGGAGGGAAGCAACCCAATCCATTATGCGATTCATTGCCAGAAGAAAGAGGGACTATTTAGAGAACCACTAAAGCTGGGAAAACTTTTCCAATGAAATGCCGTCAACTCTCTGATACAGTGTACTACACCTCTATACCATTCTGCATAAAAATGAAAAAAAAAAAAGCTTTACAGGCTTACAGTTTAACACATCTCTTAATGCAAACAGGAGTGGCAGAATGGCAAAGCAGTTTAGTAAAAAGAATTCCAGAAAGGGTCAAAGGATATACCCCCACTAATCATTCAGCCAGTTCTTCCATAAATAGTTATCACAGTCAGCCTTTCAAAAATATTAAACAGAAAAGTGTAGCATTTATACAAAAAGCTCTAAGTGCAGGTTAGACCATGTTGCTTAGTAAGAACAGGCCACATAAACTCGAACCACCTGCAGTGCTACAGAGAGGGCTGACACCCCTTTAACGAAGCTCAGGATCCTCACTCAGCTTGGCTAACTACTCCGGGAAAAACTCATTCCAGCTCTACATAGAGGGAGAGAGGTATCCAGAGATCAGATCTAAAATTTCGGCAAAAATGGCTCTAGTAAGCTCTTACAACGGACAGGTTGGTAACTAACACAGGTAAGTTCTACAGAGTAACAATTTTTTTCCTTTATAAAGAGGTATGCTGCTTTCTTTCCCTATTTGGAAAAATGAGTCATTCTAAGGCCCTGGAACTTAATGATCTTCTAAAGGCTGGCATTCAGTACACTCATTTTCAAAAAGAACTTTCTGATATAACTGAACTTACTATTTAATGATTATGTGATTTTAGAATATTCATTTATTGCTTTTTTATTTTCCTAGTTCTACATTTGAACAAAAAGTACTTTTCCAAGAAAGAAAGGCAATTTAGGAAATGTAGAGGAAAGCTCTGGCCCACAAGACAATGTCCTGGACATTACATTTGATAAGAAAACGGTCTAGGTCACCGCTGAGAAGCAGTCTCACCTCTGCACACTTATGGATAGTGTCAGGACCTACTCCACCATCGACCTCTATGTCCAAAGACGGGAACTGGGTCCTCAACCAGTGAACCTAGATATACACGAGGAAGTCAGTGACTCCTAAAGTGGATATGAGGGTGATGGGGACACACAAAATAAAAAAAAATCAAACAGCCGGTACAAGCCACTAAAATAGGACTCCAAATGTCTCACACAATAACTTTCTATCACTACAATTTATGACTGGGGGAAACTTCCTTTTTAATACACTGAAACAAATTAAGTTTCCTAAATATAAGCTTTGTTCTGTTTTGCAAATGGCATCAAATTTGTCATGGTTTTACAGAGAATATACTTCATGAAAAAAAAGACAAAAAAAAAAACCCTCCACGTTCAATGAAAACTCCCAAAAGGTTATAGAGATAATGGTTTTAAAAGAAAATTTCAAGATTAAGATGTAGTATCTTTTCTGGTTTCCAAACCTAAATCTCTTACATTTATCATAATGTATTACAGTGATCTGTAGGCATTTCCATTTCCATTTCCCCGCCTTCGGAACAAGGCATACTGAAGTATACAAGTGGTTCAATATATGTTTACTGAATCAACACATAATAAAAGCCTCAACCCAGATTCAAATAATTCTTTTACCTTTGGCATCATATCTTCCATGAATTTCTGCCCTCCAAACCCAGGTTCGACTGTCATAACCAAGGCCATATCTATCTGATTAGCCCATGGTGCCAAATACTCAACTGTAGTTCCTGGTTTGATGGCAAGGCCAACCTGTGACAGAGACAAATTTGCTACATCACATTAACAATTACTTCCACATTATATTATTGTGGCATATCAGGCCCAGGAGAAATACCTATTCTTAAAAAATAGAATATACAAATAGAATGCATAGATTGTCCAGACTATGTATTTTTTAAAAAGTCAACAAGGTGATTACATATAAGTATTTCTAAAAAGCAGTAGTATTCCAAAGAAGTATTGTACATTATTACATTTATATAAAAAACAAGTTATACTTAGAAATCTGTCTTCCCATGAAGAACATCTGCCTAAATCTGGTCTTAATCTATCTAGCATTTCCTGCCTTCAGTCCCGACTCTGAGTGTTAGGAGTATAAAACATTACTGTCACCGCTGACCTCTCACCTTCATCCCATTCTCCCGAATGTCTTTAATCAAAGCCCCTGGGTTCTCAGTGGCCTCGAGATGAAAGGTATACTGATTAGCTCCTGCTACAGCCATTGGTTTTACCCACTGTTCCGGCCTTGACACCATCATGTGCATGTCTAGAAAGAAAAGATACATCTCCTAAATATTACTGAAGGGAAAATATCTGACTCTCATTATTGAAACCAACCTGTAGTTTTTTCCCATTTCGTATATAAACTCTTCTGACATCACAGTAATTGTTAAATAGTCACATTTATGTATAACTAGCCTCCTTGTATCCCGAAGATAAAGCTTTCGTTAAACTCATTCACAAAACACAAACGAAAAACATGTTTCTCCTATAAACATATGCCTAGGTCCAGGAAATGCCACTCTAAAAAACTTCTTAAAAAAGTCACATTATCTATTAAGGCTTGCTTCCTCACTTATAAAATATTCTCTTCAGCAGTATTTTACTGAGCACTTACTGCATTGTTAACTATTTTAAGGCTCTAGGGATAGAATAAAAACAGACATAAAAATCTCTGCTGTCATGCGGATTACATTCTCAGTGGGGGAGACACGCCATTAAAAAAAAAAAGTAAATACAATACACACTAAGATGGTGGCTAACAAAGCCCACGTGGCTGGGGAGGGGAGCAATGGGGAGAGCAGATGAGGTCAGAGAGGCAAGGGTGGGGGGTGGCAGTACAGAGCCCTACAGGTCAACGGGTTTTATTATGAATACCAAAAAAAAACACTGCAGGATTTTGAGCAACAATATCTGGCCTAGGAGGCCACAGCAATAACCCAGATGAGAAAGGACAATGGCAGCAACTGAAGTGGGGGGGAGGGGGAGATCCTGGGTACGGTCCGAAAGTAGGGCCCGCAGCAGTTGGGTGGACTAGATGCACACGGCAAGAGGAGAAGCAGAAGGGTGCAAGGACCGGGGTCGGAGTAACTAGCCGAGAGCTGCCACTAACGGAGGCAGAAAGCTGCAGAAGAAAGCACACGTTTGAGGGGGAAGAACGTGTTAACAGAAGAAGCCTCACATGCATCCTAATCTAAAAGCTTGAATCACATACAAATATGTTAGGCAAAATGGGCATGGCCTTCTTCAAGATCTTCTCTTGAGAAGGAGAGGGCAGATTGAAAGATGCTAAATCAAGAAATAACTGTCGTGAAGAAGGAAACAGTAAATACTGCTGTGTGGGACAGATGGCAGTGACAAGACTTTTGAGTTTTTTTGTTTTGCTAGAGGAAGCACATTGCTGACATACTTCAACTATATTAAAAAAAAAAATTCTAGTATTCCAGAACTCAAATAAGATTATGAAAGGCACCAAGGCTTTGAAAAAAAAAATGTCTGGAAAAGAGTATACCACTTGACTAATAACGTCAAGATTAAAGTTTATATTTCTTAAGAAAAATAACAACAAAAAAACTCCACACACTTTAACAGACAAAACATTACTTCTAAAAGATAGACTCCCTCTATTTGGTGTTTCTTGTTTCTATGATAAACAAGGGAAATTCTATCTGGTTTAAAATATGCAGTTTACTCATTCCTTAAGTTACCAGACTGCTATGTCATTCAATTTCTATAAGCACTAGCAACACCCACCGGAGAATCTCCAGGGCTTAGGGAGTCAGTGATTCAGTGGATTTGCCTGTAATCAACATACTGCGATGGACAGTTCTCCCTTTACAGTCGTAAAAATTACTGGAGATCCCAAAAAGCACAGTTGTTGTGGGTTATATTTATCTGTAGTTGATGCATTAGAAATTCAAATTAAGGAAATGTTTAAGTCTACTTATTAATTCATTTAAAAATAAGCAATAATAAATCTAGTATGTTAATGTAACAGTGGTATTACTTTACATTTTTGTAAAATCTTGAATGTCTACCTTAACTGTAGACATCTGTATTCTCACATCTGCTCTGCATTCAATGTTACAATATGTTATTTTATGTGAAGAGAAGGAAGAACAGTACATAAAAAAGGGAGAAGTACATTAACAGCCTTTTCAGACACGTGTGGATATTCTATTTCTACACTCAAACTCAGCAAGTGGTACTTTAATAAAGGTTACCTGCAATGTGGAACCTGTAAACCCTACCAGTAAACGTTTCCTACTTTATTACACTAAAGCCTGTTGGTCTACCTGACACTTTGAATAGATCTTTTACATATCGGTTCACTGAATTATGCAGATCTTCTGTGTAAGATACATTTTATTATATGCTATTTTTAAAAAATCACATTTAGTATGTCATTACAGATCTTATCAGAAAAGCTCTAAGTACTAGAATTAGTCAAGCTCACAGCAGCAGGTTCACATGTTTATGAAATTTCTAATTTTCATTTGCAAGCTCTAACTTTATCCGGGGGCAAGAAAACCTAAGATATTTTCCTTGATATGACAGGCTAACATAATTTTTTTAAGTGTAAGTAAAAGATCCACCTCTGATAACCATAGTTTATCTGTCAGTTGTCCTTTCAAGTGAAAATGTTGTTCATAAAAAAAGCTGGCAGTTCAGTTCACAACTCAAAATATGGCACAAAGGTTTCCATGAGAAAGCCAGCATATTCTGTATGCAGCAGAGGTGCCTTTGATGTACTTCCTACTTGGTCACACAAAATATTAAGAAGACATGTTTCCAAGGATCAAGATTTACTAAAATTAATAATTTGCACTGCTTCATCAAGGACACTTACTATGGACACATCACAATGAAGAATGTTAATGACTACTTGTATCGTTCAACACCACTGCCTTGGTTCAAGCGAAGACACCAACAAACGGCCTCACCAATGCTTCTGCATCCTCCATACAGATATGGCAAATAATATAATGTAAAAATAGTTCTGACCTCATGAACCATCTGGAAGGGATTCCTACTGGTCATCAGACCAAACTTGAAGACCACTGATTTGGGTAATAGCAAAAACGGACTTTTCCCTACTCCTTTATTTCTTAAGACAGTTGTTTCTACTCAGTACTGAGATTAAACAGATAAGAACTCTCACAATTATACATACAACTTGTGATTCAGTTCCTAAAATACATTCGTGTGTTAATTATCCAACAACCAAGATCAAAAAATCAGAAAAAAAGTCACAAAACCCAAACATTAAAGCACACGGAGTCCATCCATCTTTATTTTAGACCCAATTCTAAAAAGATTAATTATAAATTTATCAACAAATAAACTAAAACAAGAACAAAAAGCAGATTATATATGATGGTGGCAGTAGGGTGGGTAGGAGGCACTAATTGTAAGAGATAAACAGCAGTGAGAAGGGGCACTAGGAGCCCAAATAAAAGGGAGAGAAAAGGACAAAAACTTTTTTTTTTACTAAATCCACACAAAGCCAAAAGCAGAGGATGCTATAGCCACTGTAGGCAAACAATGCTGCTTATTTCATCTAACTTTGATAGTCGTTTTAAGAACAAATTTATAGTGGAAAATTCATTTTCCAAAATGTAATAAAAAATAAGTTTAGATTATCAGAGGATTATATTCTATTATTGGAAATTTCAAAATGATGAACACGTTGCTGGAACATTGTGTCTCTCATGCCATATACATTAGGCAGTAACATACATTTTCTTTGGTACACTCAAAGTAGATGGATACTATAAAGAAGCTCTGTCCAACAGTACTTTCTACAATGATGGCAATGTTTCACAGTGGCACTAGGCAACACAGTAGTCACTAGCCACATGGGGCAGACAACCTGCAGTATGGTTAAAGCCACTGAGAAATTTATGTACAAGAGACTTGCTAAGTGAGCCACTGGTAACTTACTTTAAAAGAGCAGCAACAACGTGTGGACTGAATTCATGTTCTATGAGAAGTAACTTCTAGGTTACTGTATGATCTTAAATATCTTAATTCACAACCTACAGCGCTGAAGTGGGAACCTATATAGGCCCCGTGTGCAGAAAGCTCCACTTTGTATCAGATAATTGGCATAAATCACTCAGTTCAGTAATTCACTTAAAATTGCACTGAGCCCCAATCTTGTGTCTATGCTTAGCTCTAGGAAAAATGCAGTAAACAAAGTGAACAAAATCCCTGCATTTGAGGAGTTTACAGTCTGATAAAAATAACTTCAAATTAAAGGAAGTTCTAAGAAAACTATCCAGAAGTTGATATAAATGGGTAAGGGTTAATTTAAAGATAGGGTGCTTAGAAAGACCTCTCTGAGGAAATAAGAAATGATATGAGGCCAAAAGATGAAGCAGAGCTAGCCAAATGAATGGTTTTCCAGGCAAAGAAATTAGCCAAAGTGCCACGGCCCCGGAACAGGAGAGAGTATTACAGCCAATGAAGCCCCAGCAGAGAGCGAGGGGGGGAAAGGGTTCTAGATGAAATTGAAAGTTGATAAATCAACCATCTTTTCCTTTAGTTGAGCAACACATCCAGCTTCGGATGGCGTAACACCCACTTACCAAAGAAAGGGTCCTGGCCTAGCTGCTTTCGGAGGCTTTCTACCACAGGGTGACCAAAGGTGATGTTGGGAACAAAATGCCTACAAGACAAACAAAATCTTACTCTGAAAATATTTTCAATTCAGTTTCTGTATTTTTCTCAATATGCATTCTGATGGTTGTAGAGGGGAATGTTTATGATTGCACTATTTTTCAATTCAATACTTATCAGTATTAAATAGCACTAAAAATATCTGCATAAGTTTGTCTTTACAAAGTAATATCTCCTTAATATTTGAACAAATCATAATAATGCTACATGATTTAACTGTTATTCATAATCCCTGACAGACAGAACTAGAAAGATGACAAAATCAAAACCCCAGAAGTTATATGACTTGCCCAAGTCATATACTGGTTAGAAGATCTGGCCTTTAATATGGGTCTTTCATATCCTAATATGTTACGGGCTACCTGAGGCTACTTCTAAACCACCTGTATCACAGGGCACTAAATGAGTTTATTTAGGCTTTTTAAAAGATCATCAACAAGGAAACTTAAGGTGTGTACTAAAAACCACCATTTACTGAGGGTTTACAACATGCGAGGTACTGCTCCTTACACTTCATTTCATCCTTACAACAGCAATAGGAAGTGGAGGTGTTATTATAAGAACATAGGACAAGAAACTTCCTTAGGTCAACCAGTTAATTATTTATGGGAGCAGGATTCAAACTAAGTCTTCCAGGTATCAGACCCATAGTACTTAAACATCATCCTACTAGTCCTATTAGTCCTTGTGTCCCAGTAAGTACCATCCTGCACGTTTCAGAATACTGTATTTTATAAAAGGTATGTGAGAGTTCCTGCTTAGCCCAGAAAACTTTACAATCTCATTGGTAAGAGATGCCTAATAAACTCACCAGAATTCATGATCTACTGTTATAGTATAGTTGATAGGAAGCCATCACAGCCAACCAAGGACCACAACGCCCAACTCCCTTTACATGCAATTGGCCCACGTGACTAGTCTTCACCAGTGGACTGTGAGTTTCGGCGATGTGGGTCACTGCAGAGCCCAGCAGGTTAAACAGCATTCCTTTTTTGCATTCACTTCACCCTTCTGCCAATAAAGAAGCCCTTAAGGAATAGCAGAGCCACAGGATGGAAAGAGTTGACATCCCTGAATTTCAGCATGGAAGGACATTCACATTGAACTGTTACAACATGAGAAATAAACTTTATAATGTTAAGCCACTGAAATATGGGCTTTATTTGTTAAAAGTAATAGGTATTACCCTATATGAGGATTGCAAAAAAAGCTAAACAATAACAAGTAGACAAATATGAGGTAAAATGATTCCAGAGGCAAGTAGCATAGCACTTTACAAGAAGGGGGAGATCACGAAACTTACAGAACAAATAGTATTTTAAAGGTGGGAAAAGAAATGAAACAAAGGCTGGAATAAGCAAGTTATGTTCAAAGGAGGAGGAAGATGGTGTTGACCAGCTTGGCTAGTATGAAAGGCAGGAAGCAGACTGTGCCTCAGTGTGGGTATCAAATGCCAGGTTCAGTGCCTGGACTTCATCCTGCTGTAAGTATGAACTGAGATTTTAAATTAAGCAGCAAATAAAAAATAAGATGCAAATAACAAAGTAGGAAGGTGGACTTGGCAGTAAATCAGAGGAAGGGAGGTAAGAGGTGTTGGCACACGGCAAGGAACAGTAATAACAGAAACAGGGACAGGGAAATGTGATAGGATTTGTTAACTGATTAAGATGGGGGATGGGCGTTGAAGACAGAGAATACATCATGGTAGATTCTAAGCTTAGATGACATGTAGACAGAGTGTTAATAAAAAAAATTAAAATTTGTATGGGCCAGGCACCATTCTAAATACTTTCCATATTAACTCATTAAAATCTCACAGCTCTGTGAGGTAGGAAGTACATTATCTGCATTTACACAAGCAGGTAGTGCTGGAGGCAGGTGTTAAATGCAGGCAACCTGACTCCAAAGTCCAAATTCGTTATTATGCTCACCTGCCTCTTTATCAACAAACTAGTAACAGAAAAATAAAGTCCAAGTAGGGAGAGACTTCAGTGGCAGGTGTCAGAATTCAAGACACATCTGAGAAGAACTGGTAAGGTGGATGGGTACAGACACTTACAGCACACTGGTTCTTGGATATTGGGGTTTTAGTAGTTAAGAAATCATTCTACCATTTGCCTAAGAGCAAACACTGCTAGGGTTATAGATAAGGGGCGTATGTTTCCTTATAGCTTGGAAGTAAGGGCCAGAGAAGCAGGCAGTGAGGCTTAATGAATATTAAACAACTCTGGAATTGAAAGATTTGTATTCCGTTCACTGTCCTTTTAATTTGCTGTGTGGCCTTGTTTTACTGCACTTCACTGGTTTGTTTGTTTTTTTTTTTAAACAAACTGAAAGCAAGACCCCTCCACCAACAAAAAGATAACGACTCATTTTATTGCGATCCTCACTTTATTAATTGTGTTCTGGAAAAGAGGCCACACTATCTCAAAGGTACGCCGGCACTTTTGTAGTCACAAACTTAGGTTTCATTTATCATGAGAATAAGCATAACCACATTTTGAGAAAATACGAGAATTAAAACAAATATATTTTTACTTCATTGGGAAACAGAAGCAGATTGTATAAAACTACTGACCTCCACAAATTATATGGTGAATTGCACCACTGAAGATCAATTCAATGCACCAGGTTCACCAAATACACTGGGAAAACAACTCACCAATACCCTAAGAGACCAAAGGCTCAGAGCTAAGACATAACCAAAAAACCCCCCCAAAAACAAAAGGCTACAAACCCAAACATGAAGTCAGGGTGACCTCCAATTTGCTTGACAACAGTCCCCATGAAGCACTTGCAACAAAAGGATTTACAAGCCCTACTCCAAGCCTACCGACACCAGAGGACCTGGGAATCTGAATTCCGAAGTACAGAGGGAGCGCTTATCAGAGCAGGTTAGAAAACACTACATTTCACTCTCATGAAGAGAAATTTCATCACAAAAATCTGCTTCATTATTACATTACTGTCTTTTTTCCATGAGGGTACTTTTGGGAGTAAAGTCTGCAAAAACTAAAATGCAATAAAAAAAGCCCTTTTCCCCAGAGGACTTACTGAAATTAAACTGTAATTATTGTAACACAGAGACACAATTATTTTCTTTCTCATCATTTTCCATCAACCCTAAACTTTGTTTACAATTGTCATGCAATTTATTTCAGACAGATCAAACCTTTACCAGATCTCCCAAAACGGCAAAGACTAACTTTGATATAAAATGTCACAAGACTGTAATCAGGAAACAATTCCTGTGAACCAGGAATCACAAACTCATATACTTATAAGCACTGGCAGGTCACATGGTGGGGCAAAACAGGGAGACGGGGACAGGAGACCAACGAAGAGCACCTGGCCTGGCTAAGGGGGGCTGCCATTCAGCTCCAGCCTCATGGGGACTTGTGAGACTGTGGACCCAGTTCTGGCAAACCTTCGGGTGTTTTTCAAAAGTCAAAAATCTAGTACTAATGTGAAACCTCCCCAATTTTGAATTCTGGTAATTAATTTAGAAATTGTGTATTTGCTCTGTTTCCACACCTAGGACCAACACATTTCCAGTTACTCAGGATGCATTATTGTGCTAATTTTCTTTTCCTCTTGTCCTATACTTCAAGTATCTAATCGTACTAGTGCCCGACTCCCCAGAGTGTTTCCAGAACTTGTTTCTGACTTTTAAGATGAAGACATTTCACTTTAATCAGAAGAAAAATGGAAGCCTCAGTGGGAGTAGGGGACCAGAAAACAAAAGCGCATCCAAACTACATGTAGATCTTTAAAGGGAGCCAGCGAAGAGAAGCTCAGCAGTACCCAGAGAGGAGGAGAGAGGGTAAGCTGTGGTTGGCACCGCCGGAGTCCACACCCCCTCTCTCACAGCCCTGGCCAAGGAAACGCGGCAGCTCAGCCTGGCTTTACCTCATCGGGTGGGGCACTCGGGGAGAGGCTAAACCTCCTTAAATCGGTTTCTTCCTTTGCAGTAGGGGAATAGGAAGAGCTGTCAGCTCAAAAAATTATAAAACTTAAAAGGGAAAGGGTTTTTAAATGGTGTGTGCAGAATTTAGTTTTTTCAAACCAAGAAGTTTCTTGGCAGATGGGGAGAGAAGTCAATAAAAACTCAAATACTTTTATGTTAAGCTCAGGATTAGGATATAGTCTTTCACTCATTCAGCCAAGTATAACTAAGCTTGTCATGGTACTTTACCTGCAGAGAATAGAGGGCTGAACCAGAGACAGACCCTGTTTTCAGGGGGCTTAGAGTGTAGCTAGAGAGATGCGAAATAAGTAACACAAATAAGTGTATAAATTATTAGTTGCTCTTTAAGAACGAAGAGTGCCTTAGTCATTCTCTGTAAGCCCAGTACACCAAGAGGACATTTAATTTCTGAGACAACACAGTGATTGCATGCCTCTAATCCTAGTTTTGAAATCACTGACAGATGACAAGCTCTTTGCATTCGATTCACCTCTGTCAAATGCTGGTGCTGGTAACAGTACCAGCTTCTTAAGGCTGTATGAGTCAATTTACAAAAAGCATTAGAACAGAAGCAGTTGGGAGCTATTACTATCATTAATATTCCTGAATTTGGGGAACTGAAAATTATTTTCTCAGTTCACTCGGTAACTCAAACAAGACTTAGACCAAACTGCTTTCTGTGTCAAATAGACTACACATATATACATGCAGCCTGTTCTATCCTGAAATGCCTAGGTGTCTGACACAAAACTGTGTGTCTCAGACAAAAAAAAAAAAAAAAAAGTAACTACCCATTTCTGAAATACACACTCGATTCAACAATATAACCTGTGAGAGTTCAGAGCTTTCCAGCAAAGCTATCAAAAAAGTATGTAAGTAGAATTACATATGATAGCAAACTAAAAATCAAGATTTTCCCATTATCAGTTGGGCACACAGGTAAGGTAGGCAAGGTAACTGAGTGGAATGCAAAAGAGAAACAACAATTAACCAAACAGAACAAAGGAGGACAAAACTCATAAGAAGCATGACATTAAAAGAGAAATAACTGATTATGTTTTGTAAATAACACAATTTGCAAACTTGCAGGAAGGCACACAGAGATTTTACCCATTTAAAATAAATTTTTTTTCCCTACTCCAACCCAAGGTAATGGCTACTATGATTTTATGACCAGTTATCTGCGGGGCTCAGAAAACGAGTTGGCAAACCCAAGTTGCAACTCGGTCACAAGGTTGAGTAATCCAGAGCGATTCTTACAGCTTTCTCTAGGTTTCCTCATTTTATAATCAACCTAAGAAAACAGCATCATCCTGGTTCTAAACAACATTGACTAGGTGCTACAACTAACAGTACTTAAAAATTACTTACAAAAAAACTGTGCTCCCTGAAGAGCAGGGTGCCTGAAGAGGAAATGGACAACAAAATCAAAATTCGAACAATGATACAACTAACAACTATAGAGAATTTACTATATGCCGGGCACTGTGAACTTGACACGCACAACCTCATTTCACCTTTCAAAGACGCGTAAGTGGTAGATTCTAACTCTAATTCGCATTTTTCACGTAATGAAACTGAAGCTCAACGAGGTTGAATGGCTTGTTCCAGGTAATCCCAGCAGGTGGCAGAGCTCGGGCAATCTCACTCCAGGTGCCAAGGCGGTCTCCCTCAACTTTGCCCCCAATAACCTATATGAGCTTGGGCAAGTCATGCCTATCCCCTTGGGCCTCAGTTTCGCTGTCTGAAAATGAGAGACCTGTCCTAGAGATTTAAGGTCGCTTCCGGGTGCTAAGTTCTAGAGGATCACACGTTACGCGGGGACAGGGAGAGGTTGAGGTATCCGACGCATTCGCGGTCTGGGATGCTGCCTCGGCTCCAATCCAGACAGGGCCTCCAGGGCTTCCAACCTGGTCTTGTTCTTATTACCGCGTTCAGAGTGGGGCGCTCCGCGGTACAGGGACGCCGAGCACCAACAGGCACTCAATAAGGGGGCACCCACTCCGCCCCGCGCAGCAAACCGGACCCGAGCCCCGCGGAGTTACCCGTCCATTACATCCAGGTGCAGATAATCGGCCCCAGAGTCCAGCATTCGGAGACACTCGGCCCCTAAATTGGCCAGGTCGCTGTTGAGGATGGACGGACCAATCTTGCAGCCAGACGCCATGGTCTTGGTTCCCAAGAGCAAGTTACCTCACGAGTCCCGGGCAAGATGAAGGCGTCGCCCCGATTGGCTGCTCGGTTTTGGCACCGCCTCTTCCCTTAGAGCCTTCCGTACTCCGCAGGAAGCAGCTGCCGATGAGGAGGAAGTCCCGCCTTCTCCCCAGGGGGGAGGGGCGACTAGCTCGACAGTATAGGGGCGGGGCCTCGCATAAAGGCCTCCTCCTCTGACCTTCGTTTTTAGTACAGGACTTAGACCTCTCAGAACTCAAGGGGTTTATCTTCATCTTTTTCCACTTTACAAACGTGTAGTTTATTCTCCTGCTTCATCTTGCTTCATTTTTTGTTTCTGTACCACTTGTGCACCTTTTCTTTCCTCTCTAGCTCCTATTACCCTTAAGAAACACAAACCAAAAACCGCTTCCTCATATTTCTTTCCTTGAACTCATCTTAAGACCTGAAAGAGTCAGACTTGGGTCCGAATTGTAGCTCTGCCAGACACTATCTGCGTAAGGTAAAACCAAATTAATTATAGACTGTAATAAGGAAGAAAAAGTATGCATTGTGTTGGCCAAAAAGTCCATTTAGTTTTTTCCATAAAATAAAAGACACATTTTTCATTTTCACCAGTAAGTTTATTGATTTGGATATTTTTAGTATGTTGGCTATTTCTCCTGTGGTATAAACATTGACTGTGCTCAGTTAATGTCTCAATTTGATCACTGTCAACTTCAACTGGTCTACAACCGGACATGGAACATCATTCAGCCAGAAATCTGCAGGTCAAAATTTCACAAACCAGTTTGACACCTTTGATCAATCGCAGCACCTTCTCCATTACTGCATAAATCCTTTTTTGCATTTCAGTTGCCTTTTTACCTTTCTTGAAATAACAAAGCATAATACGCCAAAATGTTGTGTATTTTCTTCCACCTTTGATATTAAGATGGCCACACAAAAATTCACCAGTTTTGATAAGTTCTTTTCTAAATGCCCACTGACATGACAGCTGTCACAATGCAATCTAACAAAATTGTTTCAAATGAAGTTAAATACAAATAAGTGCTAGGAGAGCTATCTTACAGAAAAAAAACCAAACGAACTTTTTGGTCAACAATATTTGAGCAAAAGGAGCTGTAGCCTGGGAGACACAGACTCAGTTAACAATCTGGGTAACAATCTGAGCTGTGTTCCACTGAGACAAACAAAAAGCTGCCTTTTATAAGGAAAGTTCCTGTCCAAGTTCCCAATTAGGTCTGTTTTATGTAAATGAGGTATCCAAACCCATACACTTCTGATTGGTTTGAAGTGCACAGTGCTAACTGGTCAGCATTATGAATTCTAATTGGTTGTTATGGGGCAGTTCTAATCTGAGTGGTCAGATCTTAGTCCATCAGTGGAAAGGTGAAACCAGGAACTCTCTGCTGATAGTAGACTCAGTGGGAGTAAATGGGCAGAGCATACTGCAGGAAGCCTCGATTTCCATCTGAGGTTCTTCCAGGTATACAGAGCATTTGAGAAGCCCTGTTGACAAACGACCACTAGGCTCTTATTATTTGACTGACTGATTTTACTGAGCATATCTTCTAGGTCCATCCATGCTGTTGCAAATACCATATGGTATCACTTATACATTGGAATCTAAAGAACAAAATAAATGAAAAACAAAATTGACAGACTCAAGACACAGGGAATGGACTGGTGGTTACCAGAGTGGAGGGTGATGGGGGGACTGGGTGAAAGAGGTGAACGTATCAGGTAATACAGATTGGTAGTCACAAAATAGTCACAGGGATGTAAAGTACAGCATAGAAAATAAAGTCAAAAATATTGTGACAACTATGTATGGTGCCAGGTGGGTAGTGTAAATATTCGGGGAAACACTTTATATAGTATAGAATCGTCTAACTGCTATGCTATTTACCCAAAACCAATGCAAAATAATACTGAAAGTAAACTGTAATTGGCCATGGCCGGTGTGTCTCAGTGGATTGAGCGCTGGCATGTGAACCAAAGGATCCCAGGTTCAATTCCCAGTCAGGGCATATGCCTGGGTTGCAGGCCAGGTCCACAGTAGGGGGTGCATGAGAGGCAACCACACATTGATGTTTCTCTCTCTTCCTCCCTTCTCTTCTCTCTAAAAAATAAGTAAAATCTTTAAAAAGAAAAAAAAGGAAACTGTAATTGGAAAATAAAAGTTAAAAAATAAAATGCAAAATTGGGCCCTCAGTTGATCATGGGGTGTCCATCTCAGCAGAATAATTCCTTCTGAGGGTTGATAGCAAATAAATCTTTCTTTTCTGAGTCCACAGTGACCTGGAAAGTCACTTCTCTTTCCCTGTTCTGTTTCCTCATCTGCTAAAGCAGTGTCCAGTGTTTAGGGTTGTTGTGAGGATTAAATAAGCCAAATCTAGGTGATAGACCCAGCACATTATGCCTGTTGCTCAGAACAAAATTATGGTGGTTATTATGACTAATCTCCTTCTCTGCTTCTGGCCCTTACTCCTCTTACCTTCTCTGTTTTTCCCTCTCAGGAATGCTTATTGACAAATTGTAATCCACTTATTTACTGTTCAGACACAATCCAGAGAGGTATAACAGTATCATTCCTCTGGCAAATGTGTCTAGGGTCTTTGACTTGGGAAAAGGAAATGCAACCACTTGGGAAAAAATGGATTTACCAATAACATACCATTCAGGGGTATCCATCTTTTTGGTGTCTCTGGGCCACACTAGAAGAAGAGTTGTCTTGAGCCGCACATTAAATACACAAATACTAATGAAAACTGATGAGCAAAAAAAAAAAACAAAACAAAACAAACCAAAAAGGTTTTATGTAAATTTATGATTTTACATGGGCCATATTCATAGCCATCCTGGACTGCATGCAGCCCACACCACAGGTTGGACACCCTGACGGTAAGGATAGGGCACCTTGTATAAAAGGCAGAAATGGTAGTAAGTTGAACCCCATGGTGGTTCTGGCCACATTCAGGGGACAACCCTGTCCTTAACATTCCTCCTGGGAAGTCTACCAGTCATTCCAAGACATAACCTGGGCAGAGAAATCAAGCTGGGGTATCAGTCCCAATATGCCTATTCTGCTTTATTTACTTTGAAAGTTAAGAGTGGAATTCATGAGTAGAATGTAGCTAATTTTGGATTGGAGGAAGAATTGGAGGTGTCTAATGGAAGGGTGACCACAGGCCAGACTAGGGGATTGAAAAGAGACATCAAGGCACACCCCAGGGATTCCGAACAAACAAGGCACACCCCAGGGATCAAAAAAGAATACTTTCCTGAAGGAGTTAAACTATTCCTTATGTTAAGAAATGAAGAATGAAACAATTAGGCATCTTAAATGTTTTTAGATTTATTTTACTACATGTGCATATTCAAACACAAAAGTCTTAATATCTTTCATAAATATCTTTCATAAACATTTCATTATCTATTCATTTGTATTTTTTCCATGCTCTTTGGTCATCCAGTATTCATAACAGACTTCATAGTCATCTGAGAGAAGTTGGCTATGTAATCAATCATTTGTTTTTACCTATAAATGGCTAATAAAGGATTTGTATCCTTCAGTCACAGTGACTATTGAAAAATATTATGGAGGTACATTGATCTGTAATGCTAAATGATCCTAAAATAATATAAGTAAATTTGCCTTAAACTTTTCCAAATACATTCTACCCTTAACTTGTTTTATTGTCCTGAGTGTCAAACCAAACTCTGTTTCTGAATTGCTGCAGTGAGCCCGCTAGAGTAAAAAAGGAAGTGGGACTTTCTACTCACTGCTAAGGACAAGGCCATGGAATGCAAAGTGTAAGGTCACAGGGCAATAGCATGACTTGGTGTGATAGCAGCAAATTCAAGAGACTGTTAAAGTATCCTGTATAACTTGAGGAACAGTATTTATGTTTTAGACTGTAATTCTATTTTTGACCCTTTCTTTCTTGTCAGTCCTTATACAAAACCTATTCTCGTCTCAGATACTGTTGGAGTTGTACAGCAAAGTGAAGAATGTTCTTTTTTGACTAGAGGGACAGATACTAAAGAAGGGAGAAGTCATCATGACTCAGGTATTCTTGGAGGCCTGAAATAGCAAACCAGTTACCTCCAGCCTGTTCAACAGTCCCTAACCAGGCCCTCAAATGCCACAGATTGTTTTCCCCAGCATTGCCATGCCCAATTACCTCTTTGACACTCTATTTCCCAGTGCCTTGTCCCAATGCACTCAACAACTCAGTTTCCAGTTTGTTTGTTTGTTTTGAAAAAAATTGAATAACTTATCTAATAGAATTATAGAAAGCAGCAAATACCAAAAAATGAAGTCAAATATTTTGTTATAGAAAATGCTGTATCCAGGATTTGAACTGCTTTAATTGAATCTGCGTAGTATAAATCTACACCCACTATCATGGATGATACATGTTTATTCCAATTTCTCTCAAAAGTTAATTTTTGAAAAAGCAAAACTCTTTGTTGAGTCCAATTTTTTATACATGGGAAGTAGGTGCCTGTTTTAATTTTCCTCTGAACAAGACAGATATCATTAAGCATCATAGCTTAAGAAATAATCTAGTATTTATCATACATAATGATTTTTAGTCATGTACTCAATAATATTTTGAACATTGTAAAAATTAAGTATCTTGAGCATTTTTCTAATCTTCCACTATTACTATTTTTTAAGTAGTTATTCCTTCAAACTCCAGGTAACAGTATTCCTGAGAATACATCTTGTGACAGTCTTATGCACATACATATAGATACTTTATCAATTACACATAAATGTTCAACACATTACATTCAACACATTTAAGGGCACCTTAAATGGAACAGATGCATACATCTGCAAAATCTCAGTAATCCCAGTATGAAAGCAGTCCCACTCTATAAGGCCCTGCTTCCCAGAGTGGAGGTTTTTTTTTTTTTTTTTTTTTTGCAAGAAACAACAATACTTAGCTTATTGGAGAAGTTTCCAACAGACTTCCATAACATTAGAGTGAGGGAGTCTGGCTAAAAGGCAGACAGATCGGCATAACCAAGTTCAAAACAGCCCAATACTTTTTATATATAAAGGTATGTAGGATTCTTGTCAGGTCTTTAACAATCTTCTTTGACACCTTTACTTTTTAAATATTTCATACAATTAAACATAGAGAATTTGAATCAAGAATCAACAAACTGGAACAAAACACAGACATATATAGAGACTGATATAGCCCAGACACTTGTAATTACCAAACGTAAGGCCTCTAACACTAATTGAGCAGCATAATTATAACAGGCAAAATACATCAGCTTAGAAAGAATCATAAAACCACTTATGTGTATATTTCTGCATTTGAAAATTATTCAGCATTAAGTATCGATGTTTTGAAAATACTGTAAAACATAAAAGGAGCCTCTACTTTCTGAACCTCTATTTTCTGAAGCTATAGATTTGAAACTTTTAATTTTGTCCATTGTCTTTAACTCACAGATATCTCTCATTCTCTTAGTAAATGGAACCAAAACCCCAAATAATATTTGAAAGTATAAATCACAATATGAACAATGCCTATTTGATAAACAATTCTAACAGAAAAATAATTTTCCTTTGTGATTTGGGTGGGTTTAGTAGGTCTCTTTTATATTTACATATACTTTTCATAGCCAACATAGTCAAAGTTTAAGCATATAGAATGTGTTTAAATTCACTGAAATGTAATTAAAAATCTGTATTTAACATCAACAAGAACACACACACACACACACACACACACACACACATACACACACACACACACACATCACCACCATACCAATTTAGGTATGTATATGAGTTTTTATATGCTTAGTAGTTCTGTAACAGTTTTCTAAATTAAACTTAAAATTTTGAAATTCAGTTTTGAACTATATTATACCAAGCCCTACTACAGCATCAATAATACACTAGATACGGCCTTACAAGGCTTTTAGGATTTATACTTTTATTAAGTAACTGAACTTCAAGTTAAAATAAAATTCACAAGTTGTGTTTATGAAGAGACTGCTCACTTTGTCTTTTTCCTCATAAACTCAAATGTCTAAAGGATCATAAGACTATTGTTAACACTGAGAAGCTATTTTAGTGAACCTATTCTGACAATAATAATTTCAGTATCTGAAAATATGCCTTCACGGGCAGGCACTACTGTAAGGAATGTAATCACATTTTCCAGTATCTCCTCGTCTTGGTTGGCATTGATGTAGTCAGGGCTAGAAGTAGGAATGTCATCTCTTTCTAGCTATTATATTGACATTTAGTTTTTATTATAGTATAAGCTGTTTAGGTTCCTCTTAGTTCAGAATTATGTTTGATGATTTCTAGAATATTCTCTCTCCAATGTGATTAAGAATGGAATGATCTTATGGCATTATCATTCTGACTTACAACATTCAATAAAAATGATAGTTGAAAAATAAATATTGAAAAGTCCACCGCTCTAAAAATAGTATTTTTTTCCTTCTTCTAAATGGCTGTTGATCAAAATAAAAATGGCCATGGGCTTATTTATTATTTAGTTTCCCCAAACTAATATTTTCCTTATTTATTATTTTATTGTAAATTGCTACTTGTTCAGCCACTTGACTTAATATTTTTGAAACTATAAAAATAAACATTTGCATGAGATGTATAATGTGAGTAACCTCAAAAAATTTCATTCTCTTTTAGAACATATTATTTAATATTTCTAGGTAAGCAGCTCTGTAATAGTATACAATTTTAACTTCTCAAGCCTTCTTGTATCATAAACAATGTGCAAATGGCTCTTTCCCCTTATTCCTCCCTGATTTTTATGGTCTTCACACAATTAAATCATCTTATCCATTAATTTCTAAAAGATGTTTATGAAACAATATGCGCATTGGCAGCAAAATCTACTGAGATTTGTGTCACCCACTGAATATAAAGTGCTGTGTTTTCACCTTTTCCAAGCAAAAGTAATAAACTTTTAGCCAAGTCATTCCTCCCACATCTTGTCTATTCCTGCAACTCTTACACAATGCAGAACTAAACATGTGACTCATCTAGGTCTATACGAGTCTCGCCCAGCTCAGTGGGGGTAAAAGTGAACTGGCTAGACAACAGGGGGTTCTCCATGCCATTTTCCTCACTGATGTGAAGGACAGTGTCTCCATGCTGTAGGAGAATGGATGTCTCCAGGCCTGTGAAGTCATCAGGGTCTGAGATTTGAGTAGAGAGAGGGCTGTGTGCTGCAGCACCTTGTACTTCTGGGTCCTCCTTCTTCTCTCCTTCTTCAGCAGGGAGGGTCTCACCCTATGATCAAAAAGGCCAAAATGTCATGGAAAGGTAAAAATGGGTTCCAGGGAATAGTAGCAAAAATGTTGTCTATCTATGCCCCAGCTGGTGTAGCTCAGTGGATTGAGTGCTGGCCCGTGAACCAAAAGGTCACTGGTTCGAATCCCAGTCTGGGCACATGCCTGGGTTGTGGGGTAGATCCCTGGCTGGGGGCATGTGAGAGACAACTACACATTGATCTTTGTCTCCCTTTCTTTCTGCCTTCCTTCCCCTCTCTCTAAATAAATAAATAAATAAATAAAATCTTTAAAATGTCGTCTATTTTTACTGGACAAGGAATGACAAGGTAAGTCCCAATTCTAGCCTACCTGTGTTATATGTAAGATCTTATACAGGCCCTTCCAACTTTCTAAGCCTCAGTTTTCTAACCTATTGCATGACCATCATATTTTCCCTGTTTACCTTGTAGACCATGAGGATAAACACTATAATACTGTTATGATGCTTTTTGACGATCAAAGACTACACAAATGTATATAGTAATATATTGCTCCTTAGCTTTCTTTAAATATTGCATGAGAAGAAAGTGGGATCTGTAGGAATTCATTTATAAAAATCAAAAGAAGAAAAAAATCAAAATAACAAAAAAAATCAAAACAATGAGGGAAAAGATCAAAACAAGAAGTTCCTCTCATCTTACAGGATACAGAAGGCCCTATATTTAAAGGCTGCATCTAAATTGGTAACTTTTTAAAAATTGAACTCTTTTTAAAACTATGTATTATATATGGTTTTCAGTGGTTATTTTAGCTGTGAAATATTTTCTCTTCAGTTTTTCATAATGAAGAATACCAAGACTTCTTTTTTTGTTGTTGTTGTTTCTTAAGTAAATATATTCCTGGCCATATACTTTACATAAACTTTCTTTTTCATTATCTTAGGACCATTGTCTGTCTGGCTAACAAAACATTACAGACCCAGACTTAAATTATATGTACTAAATTTGTACATCCAAGTGTATGTGAGACATAAGTACTGAGGGAGCAAGCCTTGACTGTTTCTCTAGTGCCCTCACCTGCCTGGGAGACAGGCTATGAAGATCAGCAGCAACAATGGCTGGGGAAGATGTGAGGACTGGTTTGTCCATTCCTTCTGGCTTCCTGGATGGGGCTGGGCTGCAGCCTTGTGGCTGGACTGTGGCAGGAAGTGTGTCTGTTGGGGCACCTCCTGGCTCTGGCTGAGCCTCAATGAAGGTCACAGATCGTTTCTGATCCGCTGTAGGTCAGAAGTAATGCAGTAAATAGAGGAAAAGGATGTAGTCAGTGCTCAATAATTAGTATTAACCCCGTGCCTCCTGGCTTTTCTTAGTAAAGACATTGCTGGTTTATTAATAAATGAAAGCATACTTGACTATTACGTACATATTTGGATTTCATCTTCTTATAGAAAGCAGGATTTAGGTAGAAAAATCATTGTTACATAAATGGCCTAAAAACAGGATTTGCATAGAGCATTAGGTGAACTTGGTCATCACTCCTAACAACTGCCAACAGGGCTTAAAAGTCCCTATTTTCTGTCATTTCTTTGTCTTCAGTAAGACTTATAACAAACCCCATTCCTGGCTTGGGTAAAGAAAACACAACCTTCTATAGTCAAATCTCATAGCATTCATAGTTTACCTCGGACTCTTCCATTTCTCTAGATTCTTGGGGGTAGGAATGGGGGTTGAGAAAGGTGAGAAGGAAATAAGGCACTAGAGTTTTCTGAGCAACTTTTCCCCTTATCCTAGGGCCTTCCCACGGCGGTGCTTATCTGCATGAGCTTCTGCAGGCCTTCCTGGCTGAGCTGTGCGGCATCGTGCCAATGGTATAATCAGCAGGAGCATGGAAGGTCTCACCAGATGGCTTCGTTTTAGGTTGAATGCTCCTCCGAGTGGTTGACAGCCGAGCCCCATGGCGATTTTTGGGTTCAGTCTGGGTCTTCTGACGTGACAGTAGAGGACGCCTTAGCTAAAGAAAATGGGGAGAATGAAGCTGGCAAAAGGGTCTAATTGCCTGGGAGAAAATACTGTGTCATAGGATTCTGACTATCATTTAATCCTTACTTTACGGGTTTCTCTTGACTCTTATGGTTGTTCCTTACATTTGTAGCTGGTAACCTTCTTTCTGCATGTTTAAATATAAGTATCTGATCTGGCATCCCTTCTAACCAATTCTATCTCCTCAGAACGTTAACATAATTTAAAACAGCCCATGTGAGAATGTTAGTGAATTTTAAGATACAGGACTAGTATGTATTGCTTACAGATCAGGCTTTGTTCATCTAAAAATTGCAGTTGTACCTATGCAACCTCTTGAAGGGGAGACTGATGAAAAAAACCTCAGATACTGGGGAAGTATCTGGTATCCAAATCAATGCTGGGATGCTCCCATCAAAGTAACAGTGCAAAGGCTCATTTTGATTTTTATTTAGCAAGTAATGTAAAGGAAGCCCACCTAAGGAAACTCATAGAGATAATCTTTACTTTGCTTTCAGTTTTAACTGGAATCATTAATCTTGAAGTGAGGAAGAAAGGACAGTTATGTCTATGCCTTTAAACAAAAATCAGTTTTATAACAAATCTTCCTCAGTCATTAAATTTGTCTGGGAAAGAAAGTTCTGGATAGGGAACAAATGGAAGTATATAGGCTTACTTATTTAACTTAAGTAATGAGCTTTGCTAATATGAGCTCAAACAGAAGCTAAAAACTCTCAGATTGCTCAAATACTTACCATGTTTTAAATTTGCTGTCTACTGCTTATTTTGGGTGGGGAGAAGGCAAAACATAATCTTAATATACATGGTCACTCAAAACTGAATAGAACTTTCACTTCATGGGCAAACTCTGCTGTCCTTTCCAGGTCTGCTTACCTGCCTCAGGCCCCTTTTCCTCCCCAGCGGCTGCTGAATGAGGAGGTTCTGTTGGCCCGGTTCACTCTGCACACTTGCCACCCTGTCAAGCACCAACAGTGTTAGTGCACCTGGACAAGTACAGAAGACTATCGTCTGGTGAGTGTTAGCCCAGATCACTTATGTGAAACGGTCGCTTCAAAGATACCATTATCTTTGAAGGAAGGTTGGGAAAGAACCCCTGAGATGGGAGTTTTCAAAGGTTTGGGAGGGAGGATGAGGCCTTGGAGCCCCAAGCTGCCAAAATTGAGATTCTGTTTTCAGTCGCAGATGCCATATCTATCACTCAGCAAAACATCGGTTTGAATACACCCCTGGTTTAGAAACCACCAAAAGGTTTAAGATGTCATATTCTAATCTCAATTTTTTTTTCCAAGGGGAGGGTAAAAGGCGGTGACAAACACACACAAACAACTCTACCACATGGATGGGAACACCTTTTTAAAAATTTCCATTTAAATGATAGTAAGATGGACGAATATCAAACACATCAGACACAGAATCCATTTGGGTGAAGGGGCACATTCAACACATGTTTGCAGCCTGAAGTCTCTGTGACTATGAGTAAATGAATAGTCACATAGGCAGATAAATTTTTTTTAATTGTTTTAGATTTAAAAGGCTGACAAAGTAATTCATCAGTCAGTAGAACTCAGAAGAGTAATTATTAATGTCAGGTAGCTGCACTCAAATATATTATGCAATTTATAAAAGCAACAACCTGCTCCCCCCAAATTTGCTGTGTATGTGTGTATTTTATGTGCAAAATGACTTCTGGCAGTGGTCACTATTTTAGTGTTGGGTGAAGCTGAAAATACTGTCATGGGCCCATGATCCTTTTTCATTCTGCATGCACGTGTAATAGGTGTTTATAATGGGAGTGGGGGTGAAAAAAGGAAATGTTTTGTGCCCCAGGGAACGTTGTAATTCTGTGGATGATGCCAATGTGATTATTTGCTTAATGGGTAATTAATTTCTGCTTTGCCTTTGCAAAAGGAGAGTCATCTACGAATAGTTTTTAGAGTAAAATATTCCACAGAGGAATCCGGAGTTAGCAACTGTCCAGGAAAAAGAGAGAAAAATTATACTCATTTATTCTCAGTTTTTAAAAAATGAGCTATCTAAAAATCTTGCTGCAGTTGTAGGGAGATAAACTGGTGGCAAGATGGACAGTCAGACGTTTCTCCTGTTGTGTTAACAACTGGTTAATCATGACATGGGTGACAAAGGCACATCTGCCATTTTTAAAAAGTTTTATATTTCCACCAGAAGGAAATGAATGATTCCCAGATGGAGCTTATCAAAGTTTTTATGAAATAAGGTTGTAACTATATCATATTTATACCAGTTGGAATAGATAATACAAAATTCCATAAGGAGTCCCCCAAGCAGATGTTTTTAAAACTTTCTTATTCTCCTAAATAGCAAGTTCAAAAGAGCAAAGTACATTAATTTTATATATATATGACCTTGTAACATATATGACCTTTTTATGAGGACAGAAAATTACTCTGAGGGAAGAATGAAATAAATTCTGATAAGCAATCCAGACTGTGTTTCAAATGACATCTCCTTATTAATTATATATCTTAACATGTGTCTTAAATTGGAAAGAGTATTCAATTACCACACACACAGAAATAGAAACAAGTTTCTCCCAAATACCAAGCAAAGCTTTCATTGGAATGGATTCTTCATTGACATCTAAATGTTACCTCAGTTCCCTTAGCCGTAAAGGGAGGTTAATACTTACCACCTACCTCCCATTAAGGTAAAGAAAAGAAGTTAGTTGATGTAAGATGGTTTGAACATGGAAAGTAATGTTTATAGCATGCTTCCTTGTTTTACATTTGATATTTGTATTGAGTTTATTGCTTTTAGAACACTAAAAGGAAGTGGGTAATACAATGTTTTGATAATAATTGGGCAGAGAAAATGAAATTGAGGCAGTCCATTTGTCTCTATTTATTCAGTAATCTGAGATTGTGAGGAAAAAATGGTGCAAGAAAAGAAATACATGTTACTCAGAGAGTGTTAAATGTCAAAACATAATGGTAATTTCATGATGATGATTCTAAGGGAGGATCATAATAAGCATCAAAATTTTCTCTATGGATAGAGAGGCTTATTCCTAAGAAATAGATCAAGTTTATAGTTTCAGTAATTAGCTGTTCTATGTAAATGATATAGCATTTCATCAATGGAATGCACACATCAAAGATGAATTTATAGAACATATCCTCAACAATATATCCCAGCTAAATTCTTCCTAAAAATGTGGTGTTAATATTTATATTTGGGACATTAAAATCTGGCTTAACTGTGTGCAGTTAGGACACATTTCTAATAAACAGCCAGAGGAATTAATAATGAAAGTTATTTATGCAGAACATGTTTCTTTTTCTCAAGTCTATATTAAACTGGAGTGACATATAAAAAGTAGTTTCAGTTTAGCTTCTTTCTACATCATGTAACATTGCAGTCACCTATAAGATTTGCAATGTGTGATCATAGGTGTGTAATCCTAAAACTAACCAAGAAAAGAATAAGGTGTTGGCCCTACGCTGCTCTCTATAGAAACCCGGCTTCCTGAAATTTTTAATCTTGGAAATGAGAAATGACTCATTTCTACTGTTCCCCTAAATAAAAGAGCAAAACAATAGGGATAAAAGCAAATAAAACTTTCTAAGTCAAAGCTAAAATCATCCTTTGTCTTTTTGAGTGACTGAAAAATACTACAATGGCAAACCATAGCATGATCCGGATTTTAGAGAAACCCATGTACTTGGGGCTTAGCAGAACTGGTGTGACTCGACTGTCTACGAAAAAAACCCCACCTTACTCAAAAGGGAAAGAAGTCATTTATAAGCTAGGGAAATTTAGATAATGCTAGAAGGACAATTCTGGCACAAATTATCACTTTCCCCTTGTTTCAGCATGATGGCTGGATGGTGGTGTGCAAATATGTATGTATTTTCTAATGGTATTTCTTAAAGGATAGGCAAACAAGGGGTCATTCAGTAATACAATAAAAAATTCATAGCACTCATCTCAAATTACAAAAAAAGTGTATGGATTGAAATATATTTCAAAAATCAGAAATTTAAGTGGAAGCCCTGGGTGAGGAGACTGGCACACAGGAAATGAAGTAGTATTTTCACTGCCTTTATCTGCATTTTTAGTTTTGGTTTCAGTGTGGTTAGAGAAATCTCGAGGTGGAATGCAGGACACATAGCATACCCATTTACCCTGAATAATTGCCTGTGATGGGAATGAATAAAACCAGAACCAAAGGAGCCATAAAGCACTTGCAGAGAACAAGGAGTTTAAGAGCAGACAAATCCTGCTTTTGCCTTTCCCAATAAAATATTATTGTTTAAAATTTACTCAGCCTCCACAACATCCAAGAAAATGTGTTTTAAATACCACAGAATTTAGAGATAAGAGGCTAGAATCAGATTAAAAAGGGACAATAATCTGGATCTTAGATGTCACACAAGAACCGATTTAGCAATGACAAAGTATGTAAAAGGGCTGTTTTAATTTTTTTGGTCCTTTGAGAGCACTTGCCAAATTTTTATACTTTGAAAATGTGGATGATCATGAAATAGGTCCTACTAAATAGGTTATTTTTATTTTGTCTCACCTGGACTATGTATCTTGTTCAAACTTGAATCACATTCTTATTTTCCACTGTGATTAAAAGTATCTTTATGGGATCAAATAGGGATCAAATAGTATTATAAACTCTTTTTTTAAAAAATTAGAGTTGGTTGTCAGTTTTTGCCATTCAAGATGTTCTAACACATCCAAACAAAATCTGATTCACAAGTATAAACATCCAGGCTTGAGTGCTTAACTAACCTTTTACATGTCTATATTTTTCTGGAGAAAGACTATTGTCCATGGTGTGTGTATTTGGGGGTGGGCACAGGGAGGGAACATCTAAGAGCAACATTCTTAACATAAGAGAATTCTTCCATAGAATACTATTTCAATGTATTAATTTCTGAAAAAGAATCTTTTCTGCATAGGCTAGCGCTTCTAACAGGTTGATATTTCTTGTCAGGAATCTTTAAAATAAATCAGTTAGCACAGGTTTAATCCTAGCAGAACTTTTCAAAAGATTTGCATAATTGTTATTTTTTCCCATCTATATTCATGATCAGGTTATCTGGTCTCTTCCCCACTGAGCATTCAGAACCAACTTGCTCATTTTGCTTAAAACAAGTGTTCTTTCAAAAGCAAATCTCCAGAAAAATTAACCAAAATATGAGGGCTGGAGAGAAGAGCTGGGGTTATTACTCTCCCTTAGTCATGCTTCCTGGTATTTTCTAAGCTTTGGTGCCAGATTTTCCTTCGAACTACTTTGAGTGTATTTTGGGTCCTGAATGCTTTGGTGTGTGCTAAACATGACTTACATTATTAATACCTTACTGATCTTTAGGATTTTGACAGTCTGCAGCATAAGGAAGCTTCATGCCCAAATTAAGAAGGCCTGTAAACCAACTATAACAAATATATATCCTATTTTATAAACCCACCTCTTAGTAACTGCCAGAAGTTCCTCTCCTCCAAAGAGAACTTGGTGATGATGAAGTTCAAGAGATACGAATTGCAGTGTATGGCAAAGGTGGATGTGCTACTGGCTAGTGGAATGCCTTTGCTCTAATAGAATTAGTCAGAATCCAAAGGGAATGCCTCATCTTCTAGTTTCTTAATGACCACAACTGAAGTTCAGGGTGACTGGTGGCACCCAGAACTAAAAATCAACAGTTACAGGAACAACAGGTCAGCAATAGTTGACCTAAAACAATCATCAAAGTCCTGACATGACTAATTCAATTGCAGATAAAATCTACAGCTTTGGCTCTGAACCAGTCTCACGTACCAAGACTTTTGATTTATTCCCATTGACACTGAACCCAGGCGGGCTGGATTGGGTTAGAGAACTCCAAATCAGTCATTTGAACCCTGAGCCTGCCAGAGAGGGCCAAATCCATCGGAGAGTTTCTAATAATCTATTCAAACTCCTGTCGTTTCTCATCAACCCTGGACAAATATTTTAGTTAGCAGGAACAGAGTTCAGCCTAAGTAGAAAAGCCCTCAGACAGAATTGGCCAAATGGAAGGTTAACTTAACACTTTCTCCTCTTAGGAGGATGTTGAAATTATCTTCTAACCAAGGTTCTCTTGTAATGTAATATTAAGTATTTAATAAATGAATTCTTTGAAAGCAGTGGTCAAGGTGCTAGACTTGGCTCTGATCTCTTTAATTGCTGTGAACAATGAAAGGAAACCATCCTGAGGACTATTTGTTCTTCCTCTTCCCCAAAGCTCTTGATAGTGGAATTAAGTCTGCACTCTGTGGCACGTCCACATTTACCACCAATAAGAGACTGATCTGTCAAGTCAAGGGCTCGCAAACACAAATGAATGTCATGAATTATGGGTCCAGTGAAAGAAAAAAGATACACCTGATGATAGATGAAATTTCCCATTTTCAATCTTAGAAGAAAATGTGAAATCTGAACAAGATGCAAAGAAAACAGAGGACAACCTGTCACAGGAACGGCCTCTCAACATTTCCTCATCTTTGTGACAAAGCAATAAACACGGAGAGATTGTATTCACTCAATAATGTAAACCTGAAAGAGAAGGTTTTCTCTTGAGATGGAACAAAGGCACTCTTAGAATGAACAAGAAGCATTACCCCTAATGAGGATTAGTTGAGAGGTGTGAATCAACAGCACAAGATTAGGAATGTTTGACGTGGTTTATCTGAGTGTTAAAGGTGCAGTCCCCCTTTCTGAAGTTTTAAACCAGTAGCCAAGACATTATATTGTTTGCACCATAAGACTTCTCTTACTTACCAAGAAATGTTTATATCTGCTATTTCATGGCAAGCTTTGGAGTCATCTTTGTGCCAGGACAGACATTCTTTATGTAAGTGTTGTTTGAACAAGCTACTGTGATAGCATGCCACATAGCACGCGTCCAAGAGAGGGCACTACATAAACTGTATTTATACTGCTACTCTTAGTATAACATTGTTGTTTCCTCACCATGGATAGCATTGGCTAAAAGGCCTGTCTTGGTTTAATAAGTTGGTTCCTGATGATGGGGAGTTGTATTAACTGGCTTCTGAACAATATTTCTTAAGGAATATCAGTGTGAGAGGGAATGATTAGATGGGATAAATTTAACATTTGGCATATGAAACATTTTAGATGTCCGTGGGCCAGGCCCCTAAAAGAATTCCACAGGTTTTTCTTTTTTAGTAAGAGTTTTAGGCCATTTGTGACTGAGCTCTGAAGCTGAAAATGAAGGAGGCTACACCTTTGACTTCCAGGCTTGTGTGTTCATGAGCAACAAAGGGCAAGAAATGGAAATAGATATCAAGACGGGGCGAGAGGAGACAGAGAGACAGAGGAGACAGGGAACAGCTAGTTTCCCAGCACAGACACCAATAGACAGGTAGCATTGACACTGTACCTAGAGAGGCTGCCCTCAGCGGCCAGGCCCTGGGAGTCATCGAGGACATTAGGTTCACTGCAGGAGGGGTAGGGAGATGAAGCATTTAGGGAAAGAAAATGCAAACAAATAAAAGAAAAAGAAAAAAAGGCATGCAATTTTCTGCTTCTGAGAACCAAAAATAAATAAATAAATTTAACAGAACAAGGAAGGAAAAGGAGACAGTCAACCATTTCACCTTGTGCTGGGTTTGTCAAGACATAGGACTCAAGGCAACGGGGGAGGAGGGACTTTGGATGAATAGGACTCTGAGAGGAGTGACCTATTTATTGGTCAAGAGTTGGGGCTTAAAATGAGCTCCAAATGGGAACAGGAGCTCTGAAATGCATTTCAGAATGAGTCTGTACAAGATGGAACTATCATTCCTTTGGTAACCATTTGGCTGGGTGGTTATTATTTTTAACCTGTCTTATGTACATGATGTTTCATTGAGCAGCATCCTGCTTCTTTCTTGCGTGTTGTGACATTATCACACAGAAACCACTTACCATGAACTGTCACAACCAAACTGTTGGAACTGATGCCATTAAGAAAAGCAAAGAACGAATCCAACTTCCACTGCTAATTTTGCAATGAAAATGTAAGTAAACAAATGGAAGGGAGGTAACCCTGGAAACTTTGCATGGAACTCCATTTACCTCCTTACTCCATCCTCTAGTGACTGAATTGTAAAAGGCAAAAGAAGAAACCTGTCAGATTGGTGAAAGAATAATTAAATTATTGATTGATTTATTGGGATGCGGTTGGTGTTGGGATTTGTGAACAGGAACTGTGTAATGCTTTATCTTTCTTTCCTTCATGGCCTAGCACTGAACTGATAAGCAGCCATGAAGCTCTCAGTAAATCTTTGTTAAACCATCTAGAAAACTAAAAACTGGAGTGCCTGCCCCCAGAGAATCATTTAATCTAACACAATGTAAAAATAGCCTCTCCCTAGAAAGAGGATCTCTTTCCCTAATGCACGCAGACATTATTACCTTCACTAACCTTCCAAAACATGACTGAAGCTCAAAGGGTTTAACTGTATTATTTTTTCCTGATTTCTAGTATATCTCTAATAGAACAAATTTTCTCCCAGGAAATGAGTTAACCCAAAATGGGTATGTACAAGGGGAATTTATGGCCTGGTTATTTTAGCTAAATAACAAACAAGAACAACAAAAACTCTACTTTAAATTCCTACAATTCCCTAATTTATAAAAAACTTTTAAATGAATTGCTAGATAGTTTTATTTTATTCTTAATGGAAACTTGCACATTGCTAACAATTAAAAAGATATTGATAGTTACCAATATTAACTGCTTACATGTCTTCGTATCTTTTTTTAGGGCATTTTATAGTTTGGCTCTGATTTTGTTCACGTATTTTATTATAAGACTTCTTTTTCAAAGGTAAATTACCAAATGGTAGATAAAACAACCTCTTGCAAGGATAGTAACTCTTATATATTATCAATTTTTATAATAATTAAGTAGTACATAAAATATTTACAAGTATATAATTTACTTATTAATATTTTATCATTTTCCCTTATGTTTTGATATTATCCAAAATTAGATTTTGTTTTACAAATTTTATTTCACCGATTTATATTTGCTAAAGGATTTGGGTACAAGTAAATTATTTCTGCATATAAGCTAATTTTATCTGAATATTGTAATGTGCCCTGAGTTTTATTATTTTTCATGTATAAATTATACCCCATAGGATCTATGGGTATTAAGCACGAGCAACAAACAAGAAAAAAAACACAAATAAGGTAATTCTTTGAAAGAATTCAGTTCCTCAAGTAAAAATATAACTGGCTCTGAAATAGATAATATTTTGACTCTTGTCAGATTATTTTTTACATATATGTATATAAGATGTTTTTACTGTATATTCTTAGGAAGCAGAGAACACTAAAGAAAATGTTTTAAAGGGTTTAGTCATGGAATTATGAACCTATAGGTAGAGAAGTTACTTCACGATCATTTTAGCTAACCTCTTCATTTCATGGAGAAGAAAACTGCGGGCTCTTGATCACACATAGTGGCATAAGTCCGTTGCTGTTTGGCTGAGTCTCATTACCTCCAACCAAATATCAATGGCATACCAGAAGTCTAAACTTTACCAGATATATCAAGCTAGTCTTATACACTTGCCAGGTACTCATTATTAACTTAGCTAATTATATATCTGATATATGAGAATGTCATTTGAAAGAAGACCATGCATCTATTTATGGAAAATCTTTAAGGAGAAACAAATGCTCAGATCAGGAATTGAGATCCCTTCTACTGCCCTGGCTCAGAAAATTCTCTTCTAATTGTTGCTCGTACCAATCCTGGTTGAAAAGTCCTTTGTTGAATGGTCTACTTAAAAACATTGATTGTTTGCTTCCCTTTCAGCCTTTTCAGAATAACAGGGATGAGTTTTTAGACTACCTTTCCCCCAAAGACAGAGTATAAGATATCCATGGCTCTTTACCTTTGGCTAGGTAACATGCCCACCTCAGCCTGAGGTGCAGACGTGCTAGAGACGTGGCTGGAGAACCTCCGCCTTCCAATGGCACTCAGGAGGTAAGCTTCTTGTTCACTTACCACACTGGGCATGCTTACAGAGTCATCTGAAAGGGGCAGAAGAATGGAGTGTTATAAAGCTGTGTCATTGATCAGGAAACCCAAGAACAAATGTGTATGCCGGTTCCATCTTTGGCTCAGATACAACCTTATGGCAGCCTCTAAAGCAAAATTATCATTTGTTCCTTTGTACAGATTAAAAACTAAGACATGGGGATCTCAAGGAACATTTTCCCTATTTGCATAAAAACTGAGACCTGAAAGCTTAGCCTCTAGAGTTACTGAACATCGTTGCCTTGGGAATGTAAGTAGAACTGCAAGGTAAAGGGACTGCTCGCTTCATTTGGGTGACGGAAACACAGGCGGTAAAGCTTTGTGACAGTATCTCTGCCTTGAAAGAAAGACCTTTAGGTTCTTAGTTTTTAATCTGTAAAAAGGGATAAATTATAATTCTTCACATCCACACATCTCCCACTTTTGAACAGTCTTCCTGAAATAAATATAAACTTCTTGTCTGTTTTTACAAGATTATTTGTGAAAGTTAAGGGGCAGCTGCAATTTAAAGGTTTCAGAAAAGTTGGACTATAATTTTTTAAACATTCCAGGAGTAGTTCAATAAGGGACTTTGTTATTGAAAGAGTCAAGTACATTTCTTTGGTGTTCAAATACTACATTCAGTACATTTAATGATTTTTAGACTGCTGATGGAAAGGATATTTCAGATACTTTTTGGGAAATATTTTTGCAAACCTGAAAGTTAATAAATAAATGCTAATTTTAACCTAAATTTTTAAGTTTTAAGCATGTAGTCTTTCTCCATAAAAGCAGAAATCAATGTATTCGAATCTATATGAAGGTTAACTTCAGCACAGTATTTGTGACAAAGCGACCTCATTCTAAGTGAGCTAATGCTTGCCACTGAATGGTAAACATATTTTGTTCAACATAGGGTTTTGGTGAATTTCTTCTACCATCTAAGATCATCTGGCATCGCTTATTTAAAATACCCTGAGTGGCCATATTTCTAATGGAACTTATTTCAAAACAAGACAGTGAATATGAGAAGTGCTAGAAATTTTAATTCACCCTTCAGTGACTGGCTTGAAGTTGCTCTTGGTTAGAGAATGGTATTTTGTTTTTAGGTGCATATATGGAGAAACAAACAAGTAAATGTGCCTTAAAAGTCATGAAAAACACAGTGGGGTAGAGTAAGCTATTCAAAAACCTTTCCAGATCTCATTGATTCCCTCCCCTCCTCTTTTTCAAACTCCTGTATCACTCAGCACTCACTCCCTCAATATTTGTTAGGTGATTAATCATGGGCTGCCCTCCATTCACTCTTCTGTTAAACATTCTTTATAGAAAACATCTGTCATTTCCACAAGACCTCTAAAATCGTAGAGGTCAGAGAACGTTTCTTTCCCATACTTTATTGTTCCTCATCTTGATTCTGCTATGTCTTAATAAAGGTTTGATAATTAAATGGGAAGATAGTTTACTTCAAAGCACACAACCATCTAGCTTTTATACCCCACCTCATAGAAATTAATACACATTCACATCACGATCACACTACAACATTTGTTTGCAACCCTGTTTTCACTGGGATGGTTGTGATGTCTGAGAGCAGAATATTAGCAAAAAGTTGCATGCTTGTCAGTGTATGAGCATTGGCATTTGGTTAATGTTCCCTCTGTTTAGGTCTTCTTTACTTTCCCCCCTAGCTCCTTCTTATTGCCTAGGTCATCTACTTAATTATTAGTTTACCTGAAAAATATATTTAGCTCTACTAAAGATAAGCTGTATCATTTTTCCATCATTTAAAAAACTGCTGAGAGACTACTTCAAGCATTAAAGGAAAACAAATATTACTTTAAGTTCTGAACTATTACTAGGACTTAACAAATATTAAAATTGCTGATCCTTATCACTCTCATTTTGTTTTCTTGGTTTTTTTTTCCAAAATGTTTTAAGATTTTCCTAATTATAATTTTAGGGGTATTTCCATAAGCAGTGATCAGGGTGATTTAGAAACAAGTATGTCTGTAGGTTGTGTGCAGAACAATATGATTATCGTTTGTTACCTGATTTACCGTGAAACTAAGTCTGGTAACATTGCTGCTATGTATTTTGACAACGCATTCCTTTCTTTCCCTCTCCTACATATCCAGCTCTAGTAGGGTATGAAAATACTTTCATTCATCTTAGTTCATTAAAATTCTAACCTCAACTCCCATTTCCTCTATTTAATTTAGTTCATAGTGGGTCTTTTTGTTGTAGTTTTGTATGAAGGGGCTCTGAGTGAAGATTTAGATTCTGTTTTCATTGTGTGTGCGTGTTCACTACCACAAGACAAGTCTCCTACCATCATCATCTCTCCCCTCTCTCCCCTCTTCTACCTCCCCATCCCCCCCTTTATTTCTGCTAATCACCATGTTGTTGTCTATATCTAGAAGTTTATTTTATTTTGTTTTATTTTATTTATTTTATTTTAATTTAATTTTATTTTATTTTTGCTTAATGCCTTCACCTGTTTTCATTCTAAAGGTATTGACAACCTACTTTGCTATAAATGTTATATCGGAGCGTTTAGAAGACACTTGGGAGATAGTAAGATATTTTTAAAACATTAAATAACAGTGGTATTTAATGGAACTGTTCACCTTTTACTTTTTAAAACGTGCTCCTATTCATTTGCTGTACATCTAAAACTACCACAGAGTTATACTGAATAAAAAATATATTAAAAATATATTTAAAAAATAAAAAACAAAAATGAAAAAACTCTATTCCTACAAAGTACCCTCATTTCCTAACACCAAGTCTTAAGCACGTGCGTTCAAAGCTCCGGGGCCGCTTCCATCACGGGGCCACACTTGCCTCCCTTTGGGTTCGATTCCTTCCAAACAGCCTGCTGGATCATGTACTAGACAGGCTAGGCGCTGGTCCTTTCTAAGTCCTCACTTTTCCTTGTCCAAAAGGGTCATGTAAAGGGCTCAACCCTCTAAGCACAATGGCCAGGAGAGAGGGGAAAAAATGTTTACCTTCTTTACTTAAATGCACCTTAAATGACAGTTCATGGAAAAGGTTGAATATGTAAGCTCAAAGCAAAGGTTTACTTTTGGCCTGAATTCCTCCCAAATGACCAAGGATTTCAAGAAACTTATAGAAAAACAAGCTGTGGAAATCATGGAATCAGCCACAATTCCTTTTGAAATCCTTTTTGTAAAAATGACCAGGGCATCAGAACTGGAAAGGGTTGGAAAGTCAGAAACCCTGCGAGGCCCCCATTCGCACGGCCAAGCTGTGTCACACCGCCAGCTCCCTGCGGTCAGATTCTGTGGGGTGACCTACTTTCCTCATCCTCCTCATCAGTCCGACTCAGGGTGTCCTGCGAAGCCTGCTGGGAGGGCTCACTGTCCTGCTCCCAGACGGTGCCGGTGCCCGTGTTGGAGCGGGACATGGTGGCCAGGCTCAGGCGGTAAGCCGAGGTGGAGGTGCCCACGGTACTGATGGACGTCTTCCCTTGGTAGGCTACGGGGATGAGAGACCGAGGAAATCCATGGTGAGGATCTTGGAAACAAGTGTTTGCTTCAAACTCCTCCCTGACCACTTGCATTTTTTAAAGAAAGGTCAGTTAAATGTTGTGTCCCAGATAAATGACCTTCAGGACAAAGTAGCCAATGGAAGTGAGAATGTATTCTTTTTAAGAAAAATAAAAAAATAAAAAAATGATATACTTGTAAATTGAACGGTTTCCTTATGGGACCATGAAGTTTCTAGCAATGTAAAATGCTTTGACATTGCTTCCTCTCTCATTGCTTTTCAATTTCATTTTCTGAGCCTGATAGAATGCAAATTCATTTTGATGTGAATTGTAGCTCCCAACTTGACAGATTTTGCTGAGAAATATATCTCACATGACACAAACATACAAAGGTAATATATGCATTGTCTGATAGAAATTTCACAATCAAAATCAGAATACATAATCAAAACTGTTCTCTCTTTCTTTTCCAAGGAAATTACAATTTATAAAATACCCCCTAGGTTCTATGTCAGATTACTTTATTATAAAGCAGGATATCTGAATGGCTCTGTGGAAATCTCACTGATTGTATTTGTCAGAACTTTTGTATTCAATACTTTGCAAGCAAAAATAAAAGGGAAACGATGTGCCTGTAATATTCTATTTATGGGTAATGACTGCCCTCTAATGGCAGATAACTTATTTTCCTTTCTTGGCAATCTGCTGTTCATCGTTATTATAAAAAGTAAACAATGTCTTCCCAAAGAAAATCTTTTGAATAATGTAAAGAAAGCATCTCCTAGCCTGCCAGTTCTGATTCAATCCTCTCTCCCTCCAATTTGTGAAAAGCTAAAGGCTTTATAACCAATCATGCAGACCTTGTTTTAAGTCCGCTCGCTGTTGTCACTGTCATGTAAGTTACTTATCTCCTGTTGAATCTGTTTCCTCATGGTATAAGTGGACTCCGAGTTATGACCTTGCAGGTATTTATGTGGATTAAACGAAATAGCATCTATGAATCAACCTACCATATAATAGATGCTCAATGAATGCAAGTGGTCCTTCTCCATTTCTCCTTTTCAAAAGGGAAATGAAGACTTTAAAATGCTCTTTTTCACAGTTAAATATTCAAGAAAGAGCTTAACTACTGAAATGAAGATTGCAAAAATGTTTTAAAGGGAGTTAAATTAAACTTACCTAATACCCCCTTGATTTTTTTGTTGTTGTTGTTGGCAATGATCCGATGGTCAAATATACCAGTGTACTGAAATGGCTAACGCATGCATGGTTCCAAAAAGAGCCTCGACAGGAACAGTGGCATTCCTTATAAGCTGTGAATGCCATTAGTCAAACAAATTAAGAAAACAACATACACACTCACCTGACCCACTGTGAACTGCCTCTTTGAGAATTTTTAGTTCATTGTTGAACTCGGCAATGAGGGAGCTCTTACACAGAGGGCGTGGAATGAAGCGCCGCTCCAGCTGGTCTGCAATATGTTGCCGGGCAGAAAGTTCTTCATGATTCTCTGCTGGTTGGGCCAGAAGCTGAAAGGGAGGTGGAGATTCTCAGCATCTCCGTCCTCATCTGTAAAGTGGGCTCATTATTGTATCCATTTTATAGCTGGTTGTGAGGATTAAATAGGGTAATCCATAAGAAGTTTTTAGAACAGTGCTTTATACAGATAGTGCTTAAGAAATACATTGCTTTGAATCACTGTCACAGGAAATCGAGGCATGAAAAGAATACAAGGGGAAAAAAACAGAATAAAAGAACAAAATGACATAGAACACTGAGTGGCTCAGAAGAAAAACATGAGATGCATTAACTACCCCATCTTTCTCTTGTTTATTTTAAATCAGATTTCAGTCAAGCCACTGAAGAAAGAGCATTCTCCAGATCACTCCACTGAGTCGATCTTTTCTGCCAGGGTCGGGGAGAGGGCGTGTGATGAGTGGGGAGAAGACAAAGTTCTACAGCCTAGACTGTGAAGCGACTTCTTACAAGAAATTTTATCCCATGGGATACATTATTAAGCTGTTTCCTCATCAAGCCTATTAGCAGGCCCTGCTCAGTAGCTATAGCACGTCCCACGAACATTGCTGCTGCAATCCTGCCTTACCCGGGACAGCAGCGCATGCGTGGGGCTTGCACTTATAGGAGAAGCACACAGCGCACCTTGCACTGGATGAACGGGCGCAAGAGCACGAAGATGGGGATTCGGGTCCGCACGATGAAGTCAAGGAAGTCCCACAGGGCCAGGCCTCCCACCTTGCGCAGGGCCATCTCCTTCACCTGGAGGCTCAGCCAGTACCACTGGCTTCCCAGCTGCCGCTCAAAGCAGACGAGAATCACCTTCAGAGCTTCGCAGCAGAAAGAGAGAAGAGTGAGCCCGCAGTCTTGGGTTTCCAGGACGCCCTGCCCACGCCCAGCAGCCTACACCCATAGCCCTTGATGCATCGGAATGTTTCTAAATTTCTCAACTCTCTCCCTGTTTCCAAAAACTTACACATACTCCTGTGCGAGAGTGTTCTGGCATGAAGACAAGAATGTGTATGATAGACATGTTTTAATTCTGGATCAGAGAGCATAAATGTCTTTCTTAGGTGCATTTCACTACTAGTTTTGAAAATACGTTGCAAAGCAGTTCAAAGAATTGAAAGGAAAATGTGTTATAAATATGGCTAATATTTTGCTTTCCAAATGTTTTACCATCATGGTTTTATGGTAATACCAGCATATCATTCACATCCTAAACTAAAACATGGGTGTTTAGAAATATTTTTCTTGCCCTGACCGGTGTTGATCTGTCAGTGGGAATTGTCCCACAAAGTGAAAGGTCATCAGTTTGATTCCTGGTCAGGGCATATGCCTGGTTGTGGGTTTGGTCCCCAAGGGGCAACCAACTGATGTTTCTCTCTCTCTCTTTCTCCTTCCCTTCCCCTCTCGGTAAAACATAAATTAAAAAACAAAACAAAACAAAAAAACCCCTTTTTCTCTTAAGCTAGAAATAATATAGTGTTGTTATTAAAAAATAAAGTCAAACCATGCCGAAATGCACAAAGTTAACAGAAAAAAGTCCTTTTCCTTCTCAGATCTTTTGGACCTCACCCCGAGCTGCTCCCCAGAGGTAAGCCGTAGGTGTGTTTGAGTGTATCCTTCCACACTGCACATCATGTCTACAATTGCTAAGCCCTGTTGGATTTCTTTTGCATTATCTCTTTCCTCCCAGCTTCTGGCAGCCCTGTCACAATCTACAATTTTTTTTTTCGTCTCAGAATTGCCAAACAGTGTATCCGGACCAACCAGAATGTTATAAAGGTGTCAAAGAGGGGTGAGCTTGGTCTGTCCCCAGATCTCCCTACAGAGTCCGCCCTGGGCAGACCAGGGGGCCCAGGCCTCCTTGATCATGTCTGAAAGCTCATCTCAGCAACAAAGAGACTCTTAGAAATCCAACTCCTCAAAGCCCTGAAGGGTCACATATACCTTTACCACCAATTTAGGGCATTTTCAGGAGTAAATCATGCCATATGATGCAGAGAGAGATGTTGCGAGATTCTTCTTTACCTATCTCCCTCCTCAAAATCTCACTTTGGCAATCACTCATCTCCAATTCCTCTCCCTCAACTAAACAAATAAATGAACAGGAAGCAACACTCCTCTTCCCCTACCCTGATCCTGGTGACATTTCTACTGCTGTGTGCCCATTGGCCTTCTGTGGGTGTCCGCCGTTGTACTTCCACCCTCACCTCCATCAGCCCAACACATGAACAGATCAGCAAAGGGCTCTGCATAGGAACTTCGCTGCTAGATGGCTTGGATTTGAAATTTTGGTATGCCCGTTGCTCAACCTTTCTGTCTCTTCACTCATAAAATGACATATTCACCTCTTAGAGTCATTATGAGCGTGCAATATGATGATATAATGTGAAGAACAGAAAACACTGCTGAATGCACAGTAATGCTCAAAATAAATGTGACAATACATTTAAAAAAGAGCTCCAGTATCTTGGCTGAGTGACCAAAGGAACTGCCTTTATGAAAAAGGTGGAAAATGGAGAGAACTAAAAATAGTTGCTTACGTGTTTTCCCCTATCCTTGTCTTGTACGTGAACCCCTCTTTCTCCATCACCCTCTGTACACTCCCAAACCTCACACAGGGCTTTGTCCCATGGCCTGAATTTTATCTGAACCCTGTGTTCTCATGCCTCTGGCAACGAAGCCCCATCTGGATGGGTGTTGTGCACATGCACCTTTGTTTCTTTTTTCTCCCTTTTTCATTCTCATTGTCAATCACATCATTTTCAAATGCATCCCTTTATAATGCAGTCCAAACACCTCACACACTGCAAACACAAAGGACGTGTTTTTACAGGCATGTAGGTAATCATTTTACACTCCACACCTAGATGTTTTGATGAATTGAAAAATGTCATGCAAGATTTTCTCAACTTCCTCCTTTTGAGATTTCCTGCTGGCATGTTCCTTATTATCAGTGCTGTGGCTTAGGTATTCAGGACCACAGAGTGGCTTTCCAGAGTTGCACGGGTCAGGAGCAAGTTAAAGGCAGGGGCAGGGTAACAGGAAAGTAGGAGTGGAGGGAAAGGGACCTGGGAGATTCCCAAGCTTATGGGAGAACAAATTGACTGGCCTCACCAGAGTGAAGATCAAGGTAGAGATTTAAGATGATAGTGTGAGGCAAGAGAAATAGCTGGTAGGGGGCATAATAAGCTTCAAGGCTACATCTTTTTTTTTTTTTTAAATCCTCACCTGAGGACATGCTTATTGTGCTGAGAGAGAGGGGAAGAAAGGGAGAGAGAGGGAGAGGAACGTCAATGCAAGAGAGAAACACTGATCAGTTGTCTTTCATGTGCACCCTGACCGGGGACCAAACGCACAACCTAGGCATGTGCCCTGACTGGAAATCAAACCTGTGACCTTTAGGTTTAAAAGACGACGCTCCAACCAACTGAGACACACTGGCCAGGACGAGGCTGCAGGTCTTGCTGCACAGAGTGTGGACTGCCCAAGTCAGGGGCTCCATTCACACAGAGGGCAGACCAATTCACCCCAGGAGCTGTGCAACACAGTGTCCTTGTACAGCGGCCGAGGCGAGATCTGATAACTGCTCCTGATGATGCCTCATTAGTGATCTTGTACTTAGTCAGCAAGGAGGAATTCCCCCTGCAGACGCCTTCCTGACAGCCCCAGCCGCTCTTATCAAAATGACTGAGTAACTTAGGCACTGCTGATAGGAACGTACTTTGTTCTTTGGCATAGGTTTACTGAAGGAAACCAGACTCTTTCGCAAGGGTGATGCTTCTGACTTGCTCAAGGGGATTCTTTAAATACTTTCTTGATTGAGGTCTTTGAAAATATTTTCTGAGTCAAAGTGAAACATAACTAAGTAAGTATGTATGTATATTCAGACACACGCACGTGTACATATATATACACATGCCCCTGAGTATCTAGAGAGAGAAAGAAGGGGAGAGGGAGGAAGTACCCACCCAAGTATGCTGCTTGGCTGGTGGACTCTGCAAGCCCTTCCCTGCGCAAGTCTTTCCCTGCATCCCCTGGGGTGGAGCAGTGGGCGGGGGAACTCTCCAACATGAAGTTCTTGCTCCTGGATGTGCTGATGATCCGCGGAGGCAGGAGCACATTGATGACCGTCTGCAGTAACAGCTGTACCTCAGGCTGCTCCAGCCACGGGCTATCTGAGGGGCAGAGTTTGGAAAAGGGAAGTGGAAAGAAAAGCAAGTCACAAGGTAGACTTTCCATATCCGACACAGAAAAATTCAGCTCTCTTTCCAGTTCCAAACTAGACATTTAGGTGTGTCCCCAAAAAGGACAGCTTCTCCCATGGACAGTAACTGTTCCTGGTACTGTTTTCTCCACAGTCTGCACCCAAGGGCTTGTGTGTTTAGCCAAATATCCTGCTTACCATTTCAATCTCCTTTCTTTTATTTCTGCTCAAATACTCATAATGCACAGTCTTTACATTTGATATAAACTTGCCCAGAAGAAAAATCCCCCAAGAAAGAAGAGTAATGAAAATATATTGGAATTTAATGGCAGGAGCAGGATTATGTTAAATCCAGTGGCAGCAGGTTATAAAGTCCATTCACCTGTCCATTCCCATTACACTGTACTTCAAGTAATACCACTTTTTGAACTGAAACAATGGTCTCCTGATTTGCTGCACTGAAATGATTTTAAATACAATGTATCTTCAAAGAAGTGGAGCAGAGAAACTCTTGACCCAGGGTAGCTAAAGTGAAAAAAAAAACCAAAAAACAAATCTGTTTGCTAAGGTAACCCTGTTTAAATCATTCAGTTTGACTTCAGTGATGGTCTTCATGGGAAAGAGAAAGAGAAATAAAAACCTGACATTTAAGAAAACAAAGCAATAATGATAAATTTCCTTTAGTTAAATTAATCAGACCTTTGCTTCCAGATCCTACTGTGAGCACAAATGGGATGAGTAGATTTAAAAGCATCCCCTCCCTTCGCTCTTGATTGGTGAATGGGGAGATCACATGGCTTAAAGGGAAATCTTCTTTTAAAGCCTGTGCAGCAATAATAGAAAAAGAGATTAATTGACCCCCGTGCCCATTCAGTATGGTCATTTTAACACAGCATGACGGAGGCGGTGACTCCCTGCCGGTTGCTCCTGTAAACTATGAGTTCATCGTCATCTGTGCGGCATACAGGATTCACTCAATACTGATACTTTACCATTGTTTGCTTGACATGATTGAGAGCTGTATACCTAAAAACCAGCAACATCTTGAATATTAAGTGAAAAATTATGGTCTGGTACAGAACCACCACATTTCCCCATTAATTTTCTCCATGGGTCCACCAATAAATATTTTAGAGACACAAGGAAAGGAAGAAAATGAGAACTTGCCACCTGTTCCATTTGTAAGTTATTTAGAAGTCCTCTGATTCCTGCATAAGGCCTTCTCCAAGCCAGAAAGCAATAGGCAATTTCAGAAAGAAAGAAACGATCTCTGTACCCAAGTTATTAAAGTGTATTGCTTTAGGGATATCATTGCTTCCCTTCTGCATGGCAGCCACAGTTCTTGCTTAAGTTCTTTTCTATCATCTTCCCATTCTCTGGATGCTGGACCACCAAGCATGGCTGTCAGAAAACAGTTATCCGCTTACATCAGTTGTATACTTGCCATTGGTCACAGAGTTTTCTGATGATTTATCACTCACTAGAATTAGGTAACATAGAAGTAGGCAGAGGAATTTGCTTTCTGCACATTTTGCCTTGGGAAGGATTATTTCAATTTTAAGAAATAAAATAAGTGGGAGAATAAAAAGAAGCACTCACAATATTCAATCCACAATCATTAAAGAAAAATAAAATATTCAAAGTCTAGTAATAACATGTGAAAGAATTTTATATTGCAATTCTTTCTACAAATAATTTAAAACCAGACTTTGAATATTACTGTCTCTTTTAATTAATAATTGTGAGCTGATTATCTGTGAACCACTCTTTCCCTAAAGTGCCTGAAACATTTCAAAAGACTGACGTGGTGCCCGAGGTTGTGGCAGGATTAAACGACTCTGCTATTTTTGAGATCTCAAGAAGAATTACAGAAGCACAAATTAGGGCCAAGCTCAGGGCTGAAGCTCCAAACCTGTGCAAGTTTGGAGAGGTTCACACTTCTGTTTCACAGGTTTTGCCCAGCCTTTGCAGAAAACAAAAAGAGAACACCATGATCTGGTGCCTCAACCAGCAACTGAATGAGCGTGACAAACAGGTAAGGCAGTCACACCTGTATCTGCAATGCTACAAGCCGGACAACAGCTGTGCTGAAGGGCAGAGGTGGTGAGAGATAAGGGCTGAGATGAAGAAGGGGTAATCCATCAGCAACACTGGAGGGTCCTACCACTCCCATCACCTGAAATACAAACAGAGCACATGACCAGCCTTGACTATTGCAATTTCATGCAACCATTGTAAGGGAGTCTCATTTAGTAATAATAATAATAATAATAATAATAATATAAATAATAATTTGAAGGTTGGGCATGTTACTTTCCATATGTTCTTGTTGCCTTCTTCTGAAGGCATGTAATGTCTGGAGTCAGATCAAACATTACACTGGATTCAGCCAAGGTTTTGTAGAATGTTGTTTACAAGTAACTACGTAAATAATGAGAGATGAGCCAAAAACTATTCTAATCAGGAGACTGCACATACTTACTTGCGGAGTCAAAGGAATGCAGTCAACAGTTTTCGATGGAGCAAATACTGACAACAATGAGGATGGTGACAGCTCTACTTGCGCTAGGCATTCCAGCTACAGATTTATCGTTGAACTAGTTAAGCAGCAGATCCCATTCAATGAAATGCTCTAACATGGTTTCCACATCGTACAAAACCTTGTCAGGACCAGACTCTAGATATTACATAAATCATTAAAAAACAATTGTTTTTCTTCCCGTAAATCCTAGACTGGCCAACTTACAGTGTCATTTTGCATTAAAAAAGAAAAAGAATCCTCTTTTCATTTTAAACTCCCCCATCCCAGACTACCTCAGCTTCTAGCCAATTGTGTAGTCTCCTAGCCTCCACCACCCCACTCTCCAACTGGCAGCCCTCAACTCTCAGCGCAACTTGAAGAGGTGAATTGTCAAAGTAGTGCGTGGGAAGCAGCATACCAAAATCCCATCTGTATAGGGACGGGGCCCTGTATCTCCCCACGCACCACCTTGAAATGTACCTCACTATTTTCAGTGTCACCTGAGCCGTCTGTTTTCATGGGTAGGTAGGGGCACAAAGTGGTTGACCTGTAAATCTTCAATGCAGAGAAGTCAATAGCAGAGTTAAATTTTGCAAAATTTTGTAAGATTGCCACTTGGCTACTCACCAGATTGACACAGACATTGATCAGTGACCTAAGGTGAGGCAGGAAGGATATGATTGGCTGCCTCTGAAGTGTCAAACAAACCCCTTCAATCAAATTGCTGGCAGGCTCCCACTCAACCTGTCGCCTGGAATACAATATAGGAGCCATTAGCAGCTTGGCTCCCTCCTGGAGACAGTCCGAAACAAGAGAGTGACACAGTGATTCTGACGCCATCTAAGACAGGACGGGTGTCTGAGACAACAAAGCGCTTCACACGGGACGAGGTTTACCCCTGTGGTTCCAAACGCACAGAGCACACTGGGGAGGGGAGAGGATACTGATAACGCAGCAGAGGCACTCCTGCCCCATTCGACTAATGAGACAAAATCTATTGAAGAAAAAAACAGATGATGAATGGACTGCATTTTAAGTTCCTTAGTTTTACTCTAGGAGAGGGCAGGAGGCTACCATCTTAGGAAACCCACCCCAGGGGTCATTATTGCCAGAAGAACTAATCTGACCGCAGGTTGCGCTTCTGAAACCCATTTAGCAGGCTATGGCTGCTCTCATCAGCTTTCACACCAGACTGCAACTCATTGAATTTACGTGGCTTACCCCGCCCCCCCCACCCCGCCAAAAAGATCACATTAGGATAAGTTAGTCTATTTAAAAAGTGTTCTTTCTTGTCCTCCTAAGACAAGATATTTTTTGGTTGCTTTCTTTGGTGATATAAAAGGTGGTATACATAACCCAATTAAATAAATATAGGATTTTCAGTAATTAAAATCAGTACAGTCTGCAATTGTCATATTAGGGTCATCCCTGTGGCCCCCAAATAAACAGGATGGGCTTTGCTGTTATTGATACTATTTTCAAATATTATCTTGGAGATAATTTTTTAAGCTTGTATTTCCTACCAAAATGAAATCTCTGTAATGACAAAATGGAAATGTTCATAAATGGGGATATATTGTCATCCATGATGCTGAAGTAACTCACAGGTCAGGTTCAATCAATATTTATCTTATTGAATTGAGATCACCTGAAGATATTAAGACAAAGGCAGCCCCAGATTCACAGTATGCACCCCAAGAAAACTGCCTGCAATTGACCAAGTCTAAGTATCAATCCAGAAATCTACTTTTAGGGAGATGAGGTTTTCCATAATGTGCTTAGTTATATGACAAGTGAATCAGCCTATGGGGATGCTTAACATCTTTAGATACAAAATTAGTTAAGAAAAATAATTTTTTGACACCTTTTTATAAGACAAGACTTTGGCCATTTGCCAATAGCCACAAATGTTCCACAGGGACCACTAAAGCAAATAGGAGTGCTTTAATGACAAGCATTTTCATGCCACTGAGAATAATGTATAGGCATTCCTCATCATGGCATAAAAGAATATAGGAACAAACCATTCATTGTTAAAATAAAATCTTTCAGTTATCTTTTATTAAAGAATACATTTGACAATTTTTAATGGCTGTGTGAATGAGGAAGAGCACTGACTAAAACCTGGACAATTTCTGACAAATTGAACACTAAGTGCTACAAATGCTTAAGGTAAGGGTTGAACTGATTTTGGGTTTTGTTTAAAAGGACAGAAAATGCTCTCACTAACTCAAACTTGAAATTTCCGTTAGTGGGTTTATTAGTATTCATCAGGTGAACTGCTCACTATGGCTATAGATTTCCAAACTGGGCTCAGATCTCCAGGTAGACTGGTTCAGAGGCACCTGTTCATAGTAAGGCTACCAATGGATATTTCGGGCCACTAAACAGAGATGAAATGGTAGTAATGTCATTTAGTATCACCTGAATTAGGTGAAAATTACCTATTTTTTTTATCAATCCTAGGATCTTTTAAGCTACTGTTTGGCTGATTATTGTAACGCTTGGCATTTCTCCACACTGATACTTAAAATACCATGTTAAATACAGTATATTTTGAACACCAGATTAATTTTTATTCTCTCCTTAATTCTTTTATTTATAAGGCATATCCTGCTTTATTTCAAAAGGAATTGAAGGACACATATTAAATTCCTTATGTATGTCAGATAAGGAACACAATAGCTTAGAAATTAATAGATTTTTCAAGAGATATATATATGTATGTATATACATATATATGTACATATTTTTATACGTATATTTTTAGTCCTGGCTGGTGTGGATCAGTGGATTGAGTGCCAGCCTGCGAACCAAACGTTTACTAGTTCAATTCCTAGTCAGGGCACATGTGTGGGTTGCAGGCCAGGTCCCCAGTAGGGGGCGCTCAAGAGACAATCCCACATTGATGTTTCCCTCTCTTTTCCCTCCCTTCACCTCTCTAAAAATAAATAAATAAAATCTTTAAAAAAGTGTAAATACATATTTTAAAAATGTGTTATTTCTTCAAACTATAGACCCTTCTACATAGGCATTCATATATCTGATTAGGTATGCACATATTCCGACAGAAAACTTTCAAGCCATTCGTTCAACTCTAGGTTGATGCACCACCTTAAAAATGGACAAACCCAAACTTTGAGGCTTGCAATATCAACTGGCTAGGAGGCCTCCTCACCTCAAAGTAGGCATCTTATGAATTTTGTTGAACATTCTATCCAATCTCTTTAGAATCAGGATAAGGGCTGGCCTCACTGCCTCGGCTGTCCAGTCGGTGATTGGTAGCATCTCCATGATGTAGCGTCGAAGCCCACGGCTCTCCATCGTCTGGGTGTCGTATGGTGCCAGCTTCAGAAGGGAGTGAGCAATTTCTGCCAACCTAAAATGTTTTTTGTTTTTAAGAATAAACTTAGAACGTCTCAATGAAAATTTTCCCACACAGCATCATGCTAATTAATCACCCTCTTTCTAACACACCAACTCCCTGAACTAAGGACATTCTGATACATTATCTCATAATTTTTATTTATTTATTTTATTTTTTGATTTAATCTTTATTGTGTTATGTTTTGTAACAAACCTTTTAAAACAACAAATCAGGAAAAAAATAAGGCCCATCTATTTCATTTGGATACTATATCTCTTAAGTATTTTTAATTCGTAGGTTCCCCCTCTTCTGCTTTTTTTTCTTTTTGACACCTTATAATATATTTGTTGAAGAAATTAGCTGTTTGTCCTATAGAGTTTCCTGCACTCTGGATTCTGCTGATGACATCTCCATAGTGTCTTTAATGTATTCCATGACCTCCTACTTCATTCAATTGCTAGTTAGATCTAGGGCCTAGATCAGATTAGGTTTTGCTTTTTGGGCAGGTGTACTTCCCAAGAGATGTGTACTTTCATCAGGAGGCATGTAATTCCGAGTTTTTCTTTTTATGAGGTTGGCGGCCATTATTAATTACATAGGCCCATTTAATTATTAGAAGTAGTAGAGCGCTAATATTCTATCATTCCTTTTGTTATGTATTAACTAGAGCATCATAATAAGGAGAAATTTCCTTTTGGTTACCACAAGGGAGACAGATAAATGCTTTAAAGGACATACAGTTGAAGAGCTCCCCAGGAGACTCAGGCACTCCGGTTGAGGAATCACAGCCACCCATTGCGTCTCTGCGTCCTGGATTGCTCTACAGTTGCCCCATCTGAGTAATGCTGTGAATGAGGAAGTCGCTACCGCACAGGGCAGCTCATCCCATCTCTGGAGGTCCACACAGGGAGAAAATCTCCTCATGTTAGGGCCCCAAATTGCCTCAGCTTCTTTCTCCTATGCTTAATCTGGAACATGAATTCATTTTCGCCATGGCAACCCTTTGTTATCAAGAAATAGTTATTGTCCCTTCATTCCCACTTGTTGACTCTACAGACTAAACATTCACACTGCCCTTCCAGAAATGGTGTATGAATGTGCATGTTTTAAAGAAATCATTTAAAAAGCCTTTGATCTCTTTCTCACATATGTGCCATGCAGAATTTTTTACTTTTCAGGCTGCGCGTGTGACAGATATACATTTATCTTTATAAGTATGTCCACATTATTTTTCTTTTATTATTTTACAGATAACACTGGGAAATTATCAATCTATTTTAAGCATGAAAACAATATTTAAAGTGGAATTTGAGTCATTTTGTGATTTATTACCTACATTTCTCTAATCCCTGGTTATGTTACAAAATGAATTTGCTTTGAGAGTTAAACAAAAACATTCCTATGACCCTTTTCCAATGAGGACAGAGGGATTTTCCCATTGAGAGGGAGAGGAAGAAAAAATGAGAGAGAAGGAGAGTAGGAGAGAGGTAGAGAAGGGAGGGGAGAGAGAATATAGATCTTATTATCCTGCTGTCCTGCTGCTTTGGAAGCTCTGGGTTGGGCAAATGAGGCAGTAAATTCCCTTAGGGTGGAGACTATCTAATCAAGAATATTTTCTCTGAGAGCCTTGCAGTTAACTAACCATATATTCTGCAAGCGCAGCAGTACAGATTGCTTCAACTCTGCTTCTTGGCTCTTTGGCTCAAATCAAATATTTCTTGCAAATATGCCCTCTACCTTTTATATCATCTCATTGTTCTTTTTTTTTAAATTAACCTTCTTTCCTTGAATGATACTATCCATTCTTATGACCTATATAGCCACAATTCCAAAATTTAAATATTTACCTATGATTCCTACATATATTCAAATGTATACTTAATTTATAAGAGAAAACCTTATTTATACCCTTTGATTGGTGTAGGGTCAAGCATATGCATCTACTCAGCAATACAGAATAGCCCTGTTTGGCCAAAGATCATGGAAGATCCATTTTTTATGAAGAACTTGCTGTGAGAAATTGCATGAATAGAGGACATTTAGTCTACTACTCCCTGGCAGCAAAAGTTTTGCCTACCCCCCCAAAAATAGAGGTTTTTGAAATAATTGTGCTCCGAATGAGCTAACCTGGCTCCAGATAGATTGCCTTTGGTGACTGCCTTCTGGCATAATGCCACCTTTCAGTGCTGACAGACGTCCAGCCAAGAGAAATGGGCACTTCATCTACTGCGGCCTGTTGTGGAGAACGTCGCTCATCACACCGCTCTTTCCTCTCAACGAACACCAACCAGGAGGCATTTATTGTTCTTTGTATTTTAAAAAGTGGTGTTTTACCAAACACCTACTTGGTTTTTATCTTATTGACACTTTGATTTTTAACTGGTCATTTCTCCCTTGTTGATTTGGTAACTCAGAAGCTCAAAGTCAAGTTTATGGTTCATGAGGAGCATCTAATACGATCGCGTCACATAGACTTCATGTGCTAATCTTATCAAAAACATAATTATTTAACTGATAATTTTTTGCATTGTTCTGACTCTCTAATTTGTATATTCTATCTTTTTGTATCACATAATTTTCTAAGTTGCCCTCAAGTACTTTGATAAAATGATAAACCTATAAATACATTTGTGATAGACAGTTCTTGTAACACTGCATTAAAGTTAGTTTCTTACGCGTGCCTCTTGTATTGGACTGTGATCATGTTGAGAACCAGGACTTTATTTTACATCCCCAGTGTCCAGCATCAACATTAGGATCTGTTGGACTCTATTAACTCAGTGCGAGGCGCTGAGCTAAACTACAACCACAGCTCATTTAACCTTTAATAGGGTTTGGCATCTACAGGGAGCTGGAGGTCTCTCTGACTCATCTTTTCCCCTCCACCAAATGCCTCAAGAACTGTAGATACAGATAGTTAAGTTATAGGATAGTCACTAGCCCATGACCATGATCTCTCTCTCTTCTTGTCTTTCTCTCATCCATCTTCTAGGAATCTTTTCACTTTACTCCCACAAAATGGCTGTTCGGAGAAGTGGTTCTCTGACTCTCACAAGGCGGTGTTGCTCTGTTCACAGAATTACTTAGGTTGGCTAGCCATGATAAGTATGAAAGGAGGGGGGATTGAATGGAGCGCTAGGTTTCTATGGCAACCAGATCTTAACACTCTAGACTTTCCTCCCTTTCCCAGTGAGGAGCTGAAATTCTCAGTGTGAAATAAGAGTCTTCCCTATCAGTGAACACTGGGGAGTGGGAACACATGCGAAGCTCTGGAGTTCTGGGTGTGTGTCAACCTCTCAGACAGTGTGAAATTAGCCTGGAGAAGAAAGAGCCTGTGCTTTTAATACATTTTTGGACTCTCATAGTCCCTCACTTAGTACTGTCTAAAATTTTCAAGGGATAATTATAAAAGAAAGAAAGTCAATGATCAGGAAGTTGGCATGTTTGCCAAACTGCAATGTTATTCCTAAGTGGCTATCATCTAACTCGCTTTAGCTTTAAAGATATATTCAACTTTCCAGGTGAATGTTTTGTTACCCAAGGAATTCTCATTTTCCAGGACTTTTTATGACCTTTACAACTATTGCAAATCTGAATAAAAGCTCCTTTGGAATTATGTTCCTTTAAGGAATCTGAAAATATAGACACAGACTTTATAATCTGAGTAACAACTGAAATGGCATCTCCATAAGAAGAATGACATGTGGGTGCACAGAGATGCGACTCCATCTCTTGCTGGCCTACCAGGGGCAAAAATTTTGAAATGATGACTGGCCTCCTCTAGTTCAGAATGTTTACCAGGGCACTGTTTTAAGATGTTGGAAGGCTATCACGCACCATTTGTGTTAAGGGGAGTTCAGGCCCAAGCAAAGTGTGGCTCAGAGTTAAAAGTGCTCCAAAATATAAAAAATATAAAGATGAAGCTTAGTATTGGTTCCATGCTTATGCAGAAAAACCCATCATGTTATAATGCAGGAGCAATCTGCTCACTTCTCTGCAGGGCTCATCACTGAGTCCTCAGGTGGTGCAGGGGCAGAGAGCAGCAGTGCATTTTCATGTAAAGTAACAGAACACATTCAATTCTTGTGAACAGTTAGCATCTGGGCAGGAAAGAGTATTTGGAAGGAGCTACTTTTGCAAGAATTCTGATGATGAAAGTTCTCCTTCATGCACTTTTATTGAGGAGCAATTATATGGACTATGCTTTTCTGTGTTTAAGAACAACCCCCCTCCCCCCACCCGGCCCCATCCATCCTGAGATCCTTTTTGATGAACTTAACATACATTTTCCCAGAGGGCCCTGCATGATATGCATCCAAGCCAATGGAAACCAATCATTCTGAGTATCTCAGTTTTTATCCTGGGACTCCCCTTCACGCCTTCAAAACCCAGACATGCTGCCTGAGTTGCACATACAATGGAGTAGGAAAAGTGAGAACAGTACCGCATGTGGGACTTCACATCCAGCAGCTCCAGGGCGGTGACCCGCGGCTCCCCAGCCAGGTTTTGCAAGATCTTCAGCCTTGGCCCACAGTGCTTGTAGAATTCAGTGCAAATGTTCAGCAGGGACTCCCGGGGTCTTCTGAACTCCTCCCGAGCAATTCGTTCATCCAGTTCCTCTCTGGGAAGGCCCTGCCCTTCCTCCAGCAAGTGAAGGTTTTCCCTGGGGAATAATAAAAAGTTAGCTGGGGGCCTGAAAAGGTGCATGTATGGCAACTCTAAGAAAAGTATTACACTGAAGAAAAAGGTAAGATTCCTCATATTCTATAAAAGTTAATGAATCAGGGAAGGACCTAGGAGAAACTCATCTGAATGGTAGTTTATTATCCTAGAAGTGATAGCCATCCCAAATTGTAGTTGCTTTACATTTAGACAATGCCTGGGGATTTACCCAGAAATAGTATGCCATGCATTAAATAAATGAAATCTAATGGAACCATAACCCAACTCAAAGGCAATCACCACAAAATGTCAGAATTAGCATGAAATTAATGTTGTCTTTCTGTACCTGATAAAGTGCAATTTGGCGCCTTGTTCTTGGTACCTGGGATTCAGAAGAACAGTCTGTATTACTATCGGAGCAAGAACAGAGAGAGGCCTTGTGGTGGGGCTTCCTAAGGACTTGCTCTTCTGAGAAACCCTTGAAGCTCTACATTTTGATAAACTCACAAATACACACATACAAATCCCAAAATATGAAATCTTTATCTTTCATTTGGCTGCCACATATGCTGCAATTATAGTTGCTTTGAACACTATTCCATTGCCATAAACTTTGTAGAAAGACAGATACTATAAAAACACATACAAAGTCATGAAATGTAGCCAATAAGGGAATTTTAAAAAATTTTCGAAGTTAAGTGAATCTAAGGTGTAGTTTTAACACCACATGTTTGGTTTTAGGTGATCAGAGGAAGAAATATGGCCGGCTTCCTTTCAGTTGTGGAGATAGTTTGCTATACGACTGATTGATAATAGGACTTTGGAAACCTTCTTTTTCCATTTATCTTTCATCCAGCAGTTGAATCTAGCCCCTAAATATCACTAAAGTATAATCATTTTTTTCTCAATATAAGAAATTCAAGCATGAGTTCACATCCTAACAGGTGACCTATAGTTAGGTTTGCAATTTGTTTGATTTTTAATATAAATATAGATGAGCCAGAAATTAACTTTGCATAAATAATGATACACACTTAAAAATGTGCTTCAGAGAAACTAGAAAATTAGTGTCTCCTAATTATTCCACACTAAGAGAAAAGAACTTTCTCACAAACTGATTTTGGGTTTGTCCTATTTTAACTTTTCCTTGGAGGAAGGAGGTAATTAAACATGTGTGTATGACTATTTAGATGTTAACACAGACAGAATGAAGCAGATAAAGCATTGACTAGTATAGCCAGTGTCTGAGTTATACCAAAACAGGGAAGGAGATTAAGTCAAAGGCCCTGAAAGCACCAGTGAAGGACCTAAGTCAGTTTGGATGAAGTATCTGTGGAAAATCTGTCCAGATGAAAGAAAGTTGACTCTGTATAACTGCCCTGGGAATGAGGAACCACCTCCTGATTGTTATTGTTTTATTTGCCTGTTTCTTGGAGGCAAATGAAACAACACTGGAATAGCTAGTTCAAAGACCACCCAGGAGGCAGGGAATAGCTTGCATGTTCATTCAAATAAACTGACACAAATACCAATTTATGAAGGTGGCTTGGATTTCTCTTTGACAATTTCAAAGGAAGTCTTAATATTTCCTTGAACTCTAAACTCTCATCTTCTTTTTTCTTGGAGATTTTCACACTTAATAGTCACTTTTTTTTAGGATTCCTGTCATGATTAAGAGTGGAGATCCCGGCTGTATGAAGCTGAGAAACCGCAGAAGGATAAGGCCGGCGAATTACCTGGTGTTCACTCCAGACGACATGGTGTGATTGGCTGTGGTGGTCCCCTTATGGCCTTGGTCGCACCTGCTCATTTGTGGGGCCGTCATGGGCCTGCAGCAACAACAGCAACCACCACCAGACAACAACAGAAGTGGAAACATTTATGAAATCCTCAAGTTATTGATGCTCACGTAAGTTTTAAGTTAGAGTCTCAGAAAGACAGGCTATTGAGCTTCGGGCTTTTCTGTCACGCTCTTTTGCTGTCTTTGCGCTGAGATGCACTTTAAAAGGGACGTTGATTCCCAAGGGTCTAAAAGCTCAGAATGACTTAAGTTCTTCCACTCGGTTCTGAGTAACAGACTATGACTCTACAAACTGGACATTATGAAATCAGACTTCAAAGCCTATAGTAGTTGAGAATTAAGAATACCTTTTTCAATTCTGTGGGTACAGGAAGTTAGCCATTCTAAATAACAAGTAAAAGGTAAAAGTGTCCATACCACTTTGGCCACCAACAATATAAACGACCACCCTATTTTTGTGAGGAACTGCTAAAGAATGAAAAGAACTTTTCTAAGCAAAGTCATACCTGAAACTACTCAGGGAAGTGAGTAAATTAGTATCTATTATAAGTCAGTAATTTAGACATTTAGATATAGATTTGAATCATTTAGTTTTATACCTGCAGGGTTGGCTTTGAGTATTATATTTGGCAAACTTTGCTTCTCTATCAGCAACTGAGACATGAAAGGGATGATGCAGCTTTTCAGACTAATTGCTTGCATGAACTCCTTAAGGCTTGCTGTTCTGACGCTCGCATTCTGTCAGCTGGGTGTGGCCAGAAAGTGAGCGAGCTTTGAACAATCACACCAGACCGTCTTTTCCTGGGCTTTTGTTGTGACAGGCAGAATTTAAAGATGACCCCAAGACATCCATACTGGGTATTACTCCAGTGATTACATGGCAAAAGGAACATGAGCTGGGTAGGCCTCACCGTATCCGCCAGCCCGTAAAGAGCAGAGAGTTTTCTCTGGCAGAAAGATTTGAAGCATGAGGACTCATGGTGCCATTGCTGGCTGGAAGACAGAGGGGGCCGGGTGAGAAGAAATGCAGGTGACATGTAACAGCAGAGAGTGGGGCCCTGGCTGGCAGTCAGGAAGGAGAGGGGACTTCAGACCCGAAGCTGCATCGTGCTGGATTCCTCCAGGAATCGGAATGCACTTGGAAGTGGATATTTTTCTCCAGAACCTTCAGAGGAGAGCCCAGGTTGAAAGAAGGATTTCAACCAGTTCTGTCATCAACAGAGCATGACGGGGCTGGGAAGTGGATGCCTTTCGGTGCGGGCAAATCACAGCCAGAACTTTAAGCTAAGAATGGGGCCAAATGGGATGGAGTAGCAAAGACACCAATCCAGGAGGGAGGCTTCCCCACCTTCACTCTGGGGAGGAATAGTTTCTTCCATCTCCTTTTACATGGGGAAGGAGAAACAAAGCCAGTGATTTGTAGGGTCCTTCAGGCACCTTCCCCATTCCTCTCACTCAATCTGTCTCTGCCCCACCCCCGCCCACCCTCCATTCCCCAAATCTGGCCTTTCAATGCCTTCTGCTTCAGCAGGAATCTTGAGATAGGATTAACTTCTGGGAACTTTGTTTAGGGCTGAATTCTGATGACAATGTCCCTTTCCAGGCCCAGATTACTCAGCGCCCCCCCCCCCCCTCGCGCTCAGCACTGCTGAGTCTTGTCCCAGAGGGAATCTGTTAACTATGGTATTAGAATAAAATTTTGTAAATTATGTTTGTTATGTAGTTTTTGAAATTACAGTAAAAAATTCATTACGAACAGTAAAATAATAAAAGAATGCTTAGTTGGAATTGCAGACATTTTCATAAGATGAGAGCCAATAAAAATGTTGATCACATTTTTGTATTCACTAAATTGGCCCTTTTACCAAAGATTTGTTTAGCACTAGGTTAAAACCACCACAAATGCTTAGCAAATTACATGCAAATGTGCATTTAGCAATCATGGTATAATAATAATAATAATAATAATAGTATTTAGTACTATTTATGCAAACAACTTAGGAAATGTTTGTACTTTTAAACCATAAAGGACTGAGTTAGGGAAGATATCTGTAAATAAAGGCTTTGGAAACGTTTAGCCATCATATTTTCTTTCCATCTTTTCGGTGGATACATTTAGTTTAAGGCTGTGGGTATTTCTGCCAATGCTGTTACCTTGTGAGGACCTCTACACTGTACAGCAGGGCCTGCAGGGATGTTGCAAGAGCAGCTGTGGCTGCGATCTCCTCTCGGGCAGCAGGCACCGTCTCCACCTGTGACGTCTGCCTCTTTAGCTTTTGCAGGTAGCAGGGGACTAAAGCTTCCAAGACCATCAGCATCTGGAGACTACATCAACAGAAAAGAAACCAAGTTACATTTTACATTCTACTTTTGTTGGTTGTGTCATATTGAAGAGCTTGAAGAAATGAAAAAACAAACATTGAAATACGACTTGGGAAAACTGGCAGAGATAATAATCAAAACCTGGAACACAAAACTCAAAAGGACAACCTCTAAGTGGTGTGGAGTTATACAGACCAAAATGAATAAGTCTTCCCCAAGAGACTAAATAATGAATTAAATTTTTATTATAAATTTCACATGGAAAGAAAATAATCTCAATAAAAATAACTTTGATAGAATAAAATAAAAACAAAAAATGAAAAGCTGAAAGTGGCTTATTTGTAACTTACAATGACTAATGAAGGAATTAAACTGGCATAAGGAAATTAGCTTTAACAATAATCCCTTAAAATTTATACTTAGAATGAAGACATTTGTATATATAAAGTCAGCGTTAAAATATTCTAGGTGTCAAAATATCCACTGGGATAAAGTAGTACAGCTGCAGTTGAGTCAATGTTATTCTACACTAATTAATAACCAAAAGTAGGAATATGAGAGCTGGAAGAAGATGAAATATGAGAGAATAAGACATTGATGATAAAGAGACTGCGATCAGACAGAAAAAATTAAGAATTTGAAGTCATGTGTAAATCTTTAAGCCCCAAGCAATTTTTTCATCCCAAGTAGGTTACGGTATTTTACTTTCAGACAGTTTCATTCTTCTATCCAATGTTCCATAAAGCACCTGCTCTATAGATATTTCAGGGTAGGCTTGATTATTAGGTTGGAACTAGACTGGTTTCAATGGAAAGGTGCTAGTTCTTTGGCCTCCTTCTCCAGAGAATCACTGGTCATATATATCCTCTCACTTCAAGCCTGAGTCTGAGTCACAACTCACCCCAAGAACATGAGACCATCAACTGGTCTGAGAATGTCGATTAACAGAGGTGACTCTAGGTGAGATCAGAGCCAGCATCTTGGAATTGGAATGACAGACAAGATTTATATTCTTGTTCTTTGTGTGTCAGGGGTTCATTGTCTCAGTTCTTTGAATTTACAGGAGAAAGATGGTAACCTACCTAGGCTCGGCAGTCTTTAGAGTGGAGCAACACCCTGGAACAATTTATCAGCCTATACTTTTCTCAACAGTAAGAGAAAATAGAGGCAAAAGCTGTGTTTATGACTAATCCTCAACTTTTTTCCAAACTATTATCTGACCACAACGGGCTGTCAAGGAAGGAATTACAAATAAGAGAAATAGGAAAATTGAAACAGTTGGCTGTTGTTTGATTTATTCACTTCATAAGTGTTTATTGTTATATTTTCCATGGAATAAAGTACTATGGTGGACACTGCAAGAGATGTGCAGATATAACAAGAATATGGTAGCATACAATCTAGTGCTTTGTTTACAGGTTAGGTATTTATGTAAAAAGATCAAGGTAGATTGAGAAGCAGAGAGAGAAAGGGATTGCCTATATAATTGGAGAGGCCAAAGCTTATCGAACCAGAATTATAGACATTTTAAAGGAATGCAGTTCTAGTGTTTTTAGGGAGATACACTACATAAAAGTAGGCTATCTGTGGTTCATTTGTCTCTGTCTTTAGAAGACCTATTTTAAAAGAGGTGAACCTAGTTTTCAACGTGCATATCAATATAAAACCCAGACCAGAGTCAACATCCTGGAATTGGGATGACATTCCATTGGGTCTTTTAAATTCCTCACACATAGCAAAATAACAGGCAAGATTTAGATTCTTGTTCTTTGTGCGACAGTTTTTATTGCTTCTTGAAAGGAATTTCCTCATATAAATTAAATGTCTATTCTAAAATTTTATTTGCTATTAATTTGTATTACATGTAAAGATATTCTCTAAACAAGACTGAATGTCTTAGCTGCTTCACAAATTCTAAATTAGGGGATTTCAAATTAGTGAAGATGTACTGTATTTTCCAGAACCTTGGCTATGACAAATTTCCCAAATTTAGTTTTTGAAAACTTACTTGCAAGGAGGTTATAGGCTGATATTAGTAAACACAACCCTTGTATTCATTCAATTTATTTTCTTTGCTGTGTTTACTTATCACGAGACACAGAATGAAGAGCTGCAGTTACCTTCTGAACGATTCAGGAGCATAGGCCACCACCGTAACACAGAGCTTAATGGCCTCACTTATTGAGAATGTCAAGTCTTCATTTCCATAGCAGAAGTCTGGTGGGACAGAAGGCGAAGGCACACAATCAGGGTGGATTCTGCCAGGAATAAAGAACTTATCACTCCTGACATTTTCCTTCCAGTTAGATCCTGGAGCCATTTCTTTATTAGATTTTATTCTTAAACTGTGAACAATATTCATTCCTTCATCTAAAGAGACTGAAAATTCTTTTTAAATAAATTTTTAAATAATAAGATGGAAAATAAAAGTGCTTTTTGGGGGAGTAGTTTTTTAAAATCTCATCCCCTAGAAGATAGCATTTGGATGGCTTAACATCATACGTGATGTCTAATGATCCATGATAACGAAAGACCATTTTGGTGGGTTATTTACTTAGAATTGCCCAGGGGAACCCAATTTTCTGAAAACTGAAGTGCTAGAATAGCAGTTTACTAAGCATCATTTTGACACAATTTTCATGGCAGAGAATTCCTTACTCTTTAGGATTTGTAAGAAAGTGAAGAAAAACAGGAGACAGGAAAATGTACTGTTCATTTTACACCACTATTCCATTTATTTTTGCTGTTTTGATTTAGTTCAAAGCATCCAATAGAGAGTTATTTTTTAAGAACAACTACAAAGAGAAAAAATTGTCAAGGCCAAGTTTGTTTCTACCTAATGACTTAAGGGGCTTCTCCGCTTTGACGAGCTCTAAGATGTCTAGGATGTCGGTGGTCTCTCCCTCCAGTGACTGCAGCAAGTCAAACAGGCACTGAGCCGACACACCTTTGCTGGGCCCATTGTTGGCAGCGTCCTGTATAAAGAAAGGCCACTTTAGTTTATTGATTTCCATCTCAGTACTAATGTGGCTTGATCAGGAATGCAAATTTCACAGATGCACCTGATAGTAATTACAACATCAACCTGGTATTCAGCTTACATAAATCTGTACCCAGCAATGCTGCTGAGTGATTCTGGAGTGGGGCATCTGGCTTTCATGGGATTTATTAAATGCTAACTTGGTACAAAAGAGATATTTGTGGAAACTCATAAAAATACAGCAATATGTCAGCTGCCAGGAAACTTCATGCCAATGGTCTGTAATTGTAGGATTTAGCTTTTGCAAAGGCAAATTTTACAATGGGTTAGTTGAATAATTCAAATATGTTTGGGGTAACAGGTGCTTATTTGAAAAGCTCTGAGAATTTTATAAATATTATTTGATAACAAATCTCCAAAATGGGGATACTTAACATCTCAAATCTATTTAAGTGGTTTTCATTCATTTATTAAAATAACAATTTCTTATCAAATTCCTGCTCTGTGCTAGGTCCCATTTGTTTATAGCAAAACAAATGCAAAAAAAAATCAAACACACAAAACAACTAAAAACAAACAACAAACAGACAAAGGTTTGGTTTCAATGGAGCTTAAATTCTACTGTGGGGTGTGGTAGAGACACATATTAGTGAAACAAATACATGTATGGCATGAGATATGGTATAAATGCTCTGAAGGAAAAGAAAAAGAAAGTGGGGGAAGTGTTAGAGAATGCTAGAAAGGAAAAAGAGTCAGGAACTCCTCTTTTGATCATTTTCTAGTCTCTGTCCTTTCATTAACTGAGTATAAAAAACGGAAGAGTTGGTCTATTTACATCCTAGGGGCTGAGATGAGGGCTGTAAAGAAATGTTGAACAGAAATGATTTTCTTGTTGAAAGAGAAATGATTTTCTTGTTGAAAGAGAAATGATTTATAGCATCCCTATCCCATTGGTTGAAGGAAGAGACCTGAGAGACTGATTATACAAACGAACAATGGCCAGGTCATACATCAAACAGAACTCTGATCCACAACCTGCAGTAACCTGCCCAGGCAACCAACTAAACCCATTGTCTGTACACAGCAGCCCAGGAAGCCAGCCTGCAGTACATCAGGCTTGTCGGAAGTCAGAGTACTAGCTTTAGTGGAAACCAAAAGACAATCCCTGTAACCACAGGCCAGGGATTTGATTAATAATTTACAGCTTCCCTAATCTTTGTTCTTGTTTCCAATTTAGGATTAATCATAGAAAGCCAAGATGTACCCCTAACCAATCACATAGGATGCCCGCTTCTTGTCAGCCCACTTACAGTGTCTCAGGACAACAGCCTCCGCTCAGGGCACACCCAAAGCCTTCCCTTTTCTCCTTATAAAGTTTTCTCACTTCTTTGTCTGCCTGTGAGGCTCTGCCAAAACATAAGTGGTGGTGGCTGATGCCCTCACTACAGTGAGCTGTGAATAAAGAGCCTTTGCTTTTCTCATGTGCTTGGTCTTTGTTTATTTCCACAGCGTTTACTCACAGGGAACTCCAGCAGAGGGGCCACGCTAGCAAACAGCTGGAGCACAAAGGGCTTCCGGTGGAGAATGTAGAACTGGTGGCAGGCAAATTCGATGGCTTGACGCAGCTGGGGGTTGCTTTCATAATCAGAGTACACCTGTGGAAAGGGGCCACCGATTCAGAAAGTGCCTTGTGGTCCTGGGAAGCAGGGAGGAAAGTGGGTGCTTTCATTAACTGGTGGAGGGGAGGCAACATGGCATAAGCTTTCTTCAGAGAAATTTGGTTATGTACGTACAAATCCTTATTTTTTTATTTTATTTTATTTTTTTACTTTTTCCCCAGGAAGGTTGTAACTGGGAATTTTTCTCAAGAAAAGAATTGGGCAAATGTACAAAAATGTATATTCAAGAATGCCTGCTGCAAGGTTTCTTATAATTGTGGACAATTTGACACAACTTGAATTACTTATAAATCGGGGTCCGTTAAGTGACTTACGGCACATGCATACAAGAGAGTACTATGCAGTTACATTTTAAAATGCTATAGTGCAAAATGTAGCTATATGGAAAAAAAAAAAAGCCCACAGTGTTCTTATGTTACATGAAAAAAGTAGGTGACAAACTTGAATATATAGTATGGTTCAACTTTTGTTTTTTTTAAAAGAGTCAGGATAGAGTGCCAGGATTTTTCAAGCAGTGCAACACAAGGGCCATGTAGGAGGGAGTATTATAAGTGATCTTTAGTTTCTTCTTTCAACTTTTCTTTATCTTCGGAGTTTCATAATGAGCATATTGTTTTTAGTAATCAGTAAAATGTTATAAAAATAGAGAAAATCCCAACTATTTAAAAATAAGACAGAGAGCCCTAGTGATATTAAAAGTAAATTTCTTGCCCCTGTAGGCTGAGTGAACTCCGCTTTGCACAAGCATGCCATATGTGCATAACTTTTATTGAAAACTTTTGTAAAGATAGAGAACTAGGGTGAGCCCCTAGGCCTTGCTCAGTACCCCTAAACGTGGCCAGATACACACTAGACATGAGAAAAAAGGAAATTATTCCTGCTAAAGTCATCTCCTTCAATCCCCACATACTAAATTTAATGGCAATGAAAACCTCTATTAAGAGAGAAGTCAGAGACTCTCTAAGGAGAAATTATCAGCTGAACACTGGCTGTACATTGGAATACTGGTTCTCAAACAGTTTAAGGCATCGGAACCACCTGGAGGTCTCGTTAAAACACAGATTACTGGGCCCTCACTCCAGAGGTTCTGATTCAGTAGGTCTGGGATGGGGCCCTGAAATGTGCATTTCTAACAGATTCCCAGGTGATGCTGGTACTACTGGGCCTGAAACCATACTTTGAGAATCACAGGCCAAGAAGAAACGGAAAAGCATGTTCCAGGTCTGGAGCATCTTGGACATTTTTAGGGGGGTTTCATTTTGGTGCTTTCTGTGGTCCCAAAAGAAGACAACTCCGTCATTAAAAAATTTCAGTGCAGGTCTCGTAGACCTGCCAGGCGAGCAGTACTCGGGTTAGTATTCTGGTCAGGAGAGGCGGCCCGGCACCTGCAGCATGGTGGGCAGAATCCACTGGTAGCCGCTGAGGGAGAAGAGGTGGTTGAAGTGCACGGCGCTGTTGATGACAGTGGCCGCGTACTGCCTGAGCAGGGCGCTGTCTTCGGGGTGGAGGATCAGAGCCCCGTTAAAGACGTTGAGGAAAAGCATGATTTCGTCTCCCCAGGGAAACTCGCTCGGCATGCCCAGGAACATCTCCTCCAGGAGCTGGATCCACAGGCTTTTCTGAAGAGTGTCAAGGCCAAACAGCTCCTTTCCAGCTGTGAGAACACGAAAGGGCAGAAAGAACATTAGCCCCAGGCGGATCCTGTCAGCACGGGAGGGCGGTCCAACCCGAGGGCACTGCTGGTTTCCATTTGTTCCACCTGGCGGATGTGCCCATCTACTGCCGAAATGCTACCCAGCACAATACTGCGGGCGGGAGTTCTCAAAGGACTTTCAGTGCCCCCTCTTCGATTCAACTCTGTGGGCAGACAGAGGGGATGTTTGCAGCAGTTGCTGCCCAGGGAGCTGTGGCTTTGAGAGAAGCAATTTAAAGGGAGAATAGCAGGGTTGGGACGGCTGCTTGTTCTTTCAACTCCCGGTCAGACTAGAGCTCTTTCCACTGCTGCTCTGCAGATTTTGGATGAAGAAGCCAAGCATAGGTTATGCCCATTTAAGTAAATTGTCTCTAATTAATAACTGAGTGAGTGAGGTTTCAAAGTGCATCTCTTTCTGTTTCTCACTCTCTCAGTTCAGGTATAAATCAGAGAGAGTAAAATGCACAGATCTTATACAGAGTTGAATGAGTTTTGACAAAAATACACATTCATGTACCTACCACTCTAATCAATAGATAAGACCATTTCATCATCTCAGAAATTTCCTCTATGTTCTTTTCCAGGAAATTCATTCCCCCAACCCAGAGGCAACTACTGCCCTGATCTCTGCCACTAGAAAATAGTCTTGCCTCCTCCTGAGCTTCCTATAAATGCCGATTCTTTATTTAGGCAGCCTAACAATATCATATGACTTCCTTCAACTGCTCCTAATCTCCTTGGAGCCATGGTCTCAAAGGACAGTCCTCCGGAATAGTGGCATCATCATTACCTGGAAACTTACTCAAAATATATGTTCCTGGGCCCCATTTCAGAGCCACTGAATCAGAAACTTGGGGGTGGAGTGTGGGGCCCAGCAACCTGTGTTTTATCAAGTCCTCCAGGTGATTCTGATACACAGTCGGGGCTGAGAACCACTGGATTATAGAACTGTCCGCTGATGAAGATGCTCTCTGGCCAAGGACAAAACAAGGGCGTGAGAGGAAATGTTTTGGTCTGGGTACCTTGAGGATCACTGAAGAGTGAAAACTCAGCATCAATAGCACTTCGCGGGAATGAGGGCAGTCGGAGGAGGTCTTCCTGGAGCATGGAGACGTGGGACTGTTTGTGGGCTGTGGGGATCTTCTGGGTCAGGGAGATGAGAAACAAAACCCGTCCTACTTCCTCCAGCTTCCGCGTGAACACCTGGCAGCAAACAAAAGCAGGAGCAGAGGAAAAATGGAATTAACTACTCTGAAATTACTGAGTGAAGAAATTGAAATAATGGCAAATGGCCCTGATAAAATCAAGGTCGGGTGGGGGAGTAAAGTGAGGGAGAATTTTTTTTCTTTATCACACGGAAAGAGCAAGCAATACTTAATTGACTCACTTCCTGCTCCTGTCTGCTCTATAGAAGGCAGGGTTTCTTACAGAGTTTGCAGGCTGGAGGAACACAATGCAAGCATTGTCAAGAATAGTTCAGTCAAATAGAGGTCATTTGTCTGATTATTATAATACGGAAGACCTTCTCCAATAGGAGCCAGTCAGTCCCAATTGCTTCTACCATTTCCACCGATGCCTTAAGATGTTTCCTGTCGGTTCCTCTTTAAAAATGACCAAAATGGGATCCAGGAAAAATTTACATTGGGACAAAAGCTGATGGGGCCCTAAGTTAGTGCTCCTTTTGCCCTGAATTTAGATGGGCTAAATGTAGGCCTCTTAGTCCCTGCTCTTATTTCTTGTTCTGTTGCTGATCAGTGGACAGGGGCTATGATCACAAGCAGTGAGCTGCTGTGGAGGAAACTGCAGAGCCAGAACCATGCGTCTGCCTGCACATTACTATCTCCCTGAAGACCTTAGAAAGACGTCCTAAGGTCCAACCTGGAGTACACACAGAGTCAGAGCCCCATGTTATGCTATTTTTTAAAAACATGTTCTTAAACATGGTTAAAAAACATGCTAATGAAGTGCCATTATCCATAATGGCTTTAGTTACTTCGCTGCCAAAAGCATGGGTTGGATAATTTGGGGAGAATTGTTTTAGAAATTGTTTAAATATAAAATCTTACAGTTTTGCCCAATATCTTACACCTTGTAACACATTCAGTATTTTCTTTCTTTTAAATGTAATTTAGGTAGTTAACAGTAACTGCATTTTTAATTAAGTGATCTGATTCTATGCCATTCTTATGCATCTCATAAAGGTATTTTGGGTATTTGATGCCAAATAGCATTCTTGCTATGTGCAGAATAACTGAAACTATAAAGTAACCTGAAATTCTTGTTTAGACATTTTATTAAAAGTTAATGTAAATCAATTATAAATTGATGTAGATAAAAGTAAAACAGTGAAACAAGTAGATCGTATTAAAATTGTATTATTAGAATTGTATACTACATCTATATTTTGCATGCAAAATAGTGGATCTCCTTAAGCTCAAAGTCTCATTTGCAATGACATAAGTGAACGTTATTCTGCTCTTCAACCTTAAATCTAAGTACAACTGCATGACTATGTCCCTCCTGTTGGAAGAGAAGTTAGCACAATGACATGCTCAAGGGCAGATCACTGGTCAGTGGCAGAGCTGGGCCTGAGTCCAAATTTCTGCAGCTTAGTTCAGTGCCTCTTTCAGATGCACTGCACGGATCCCTTTTATTTATTTATTTTCCAGCTGGCATAAACCTCTGGGACAACCTTCACTTGGTTATGTCATGTGCACTTCCAATTCTGGTTTACAAAAATATGGAGTGAAAACCCATGCTTAGCATCAAGTTGGTTCATAAATTAGAAGATTTCTATTGTTTATACCCAATGATTCATCACAGCATTACTCCAGGTGAGTGTTCCTTAATACTTTTACATTATGAACTAATTTATAAAACTTAAACAATTTTGGGAAACTATCTCTTGATCAAGGGTCCAGCTAACCATTCTCTTAAGAAAGAATCAAGCGGTATCAAACAATCACAGAATCTCAGGATCAGCAACACATTTACGCACCATTTATCCCAATGGCCTGACAAGACTACAGAATAAAGCTGAGGTGGGGCAGGCACCTGTTTCTGAATGAGCTCCTGTCCTTTCTCTGGCTGCATGTGTACAAGGTTCAGCTGCGGAGATACCGACCTCCGGAAAGGGTAAATATCCCGGACGTAGGTCTGTGATGGGATTACACAAAGACGAAAAGAGTTCAAATGATTAAACTTTTATTCTCATTTCCTCCTTAGGTCAGACAAATGAAAGTTACCTGTTTTCTAATGGTTTTGATTCTTACTACTTCACATTTCCCAATTCTACAAAATCCCAAGGACAGTAAGAACCCCTCCTCAGGAAAGCTTCCAACCAGCCATGCTGGGCACTCTTTCCCAACACCAGGGTGCTGTCAGCAGCAAGGAGCCGGAGGCAATTTACTACATGACATGCTGGAGGAAGGTCACTGGAAAGTGGTGACAGTGGTCTTCCTTTTGCTCATTAGATCAGGTCACTCCAGTCATGCTTAACATTATAAAAAGGGGAACCAGAAAAACATTAAAATTCCAAATAGGCATATGAAGTTATTACATGGGCAACTTAGTTTTTCCACTTAGACTTAATAATAGTGAGTTACTAAGTACTTTACTTGGTTTATCTCCTTTAATTATCACAACAGTCCTGTGGTAGAAACTATTATCACACCTTCATTTTTCAGACAAGGCAACTGAAGGGTACAAAGGTAAAGTGGCTTGTCCACAGCTAAGTAGACAATAAGGCTGTGTGACCTAAGTGGCCGTACTTCTAACCTCTGCACAAGGACGCCTCCCTGAGTGGGTGCTGCCCTCAAAAAAGGGCTGACAAACTTTGGGCGCAACCCAGCATGAGTGTCATTACTGCACAGTCTCACCTTGTTGTAGTGGATGAGGTTCCATCGTTTATCCATGAGAAAATAATTTGTGGACTGGGATTCTGGGATATTAAAAAACTCCAAACACTCCTAGAATAATAACAATAAATTTTAATAAGTGTTTACTGAGGACACATTTTGTGCCAGGTAGTAAACTAAAAAATACAAATATTGTAAAAACAAGGTAAATTTTCCTAAGGATTTTATATATATATGTGCATGTTTGTATATACATCTTACATACTTCTTTTATATTGTGTGTGTGTTTATGTGTGTATATATACACACACACATATACACACACATATATGAATACACACTGGATTTGGATATGCAGTTATCCAAAGAATGACTAATAAACTAGTAATGTGATATAAACGATCTACTCTCATAGCGCTAAAAGGTGTACAATTATAATTCAGACTGAGTGAGGAACCGTGGAAGCATAGTCTCAATACTGGGAAGAAAGCTAGTAACGACTTGAAGAATAATAAAAACTACAATGCATTGAGCACTCATTATATACTACAGTCTAAGTTCAATGCTTTCCAGGTAAATTACTTGTATAACCCGTACTAGTACCCCAATACTGTTGAAAAAGAAACTGACAGAAGAGAGGTCCTGCTATTTGATTTAGGTCATACTGGTTGTGGTGGAGCCTGAGTTTGAACTCAACTCTGCCTTCATGTTCTCCTACCTTTCAACACAGAGTAGAAAGAGGAGTGATTGTTGAATTTTGCTCTTTGGGCCTTAGAAATTCTCTGGATGTGTCTGCATGAGGCCTAAAGGAGGCTTAACAACCTTTTCTACTGAAATTAAATGTACAAGTTTGGCAAAACTCAATTTTTCAGAGACCTTTTCTACTCATGTCTGAGCCAGGAGTTGTGTTCCAGGAAATCAGATCACCAAAATTTTGAACTCCACATAAATAGCCACCAGCGATTCCAGTGGGAATCATCGTACTAGTTTACTTATTATTTTACCTTAAAAACCTATGGACATGCAGCTATGATTGCATTCTTTTGAGAGGAATAAATACCATAACAATTAAAAATACTTTTTTGACTCACTTGATTTATTTTAAGGTACATATTTTCTGCTTCTTCAATAATTTCTGTGAGCGACAAGTCAAGCTGCATCTCATTCAACTAGATGCCACAGAAAAAGTCTCTGGCATGGATCATAGGTGACAGCTCAGGTTTGCACCTGTGATGAGGGTGCAGCCCCAAGGCACCTCTGGAACCATGACACCTGATGCCAGGAAGCTCTGAGGCGGGAATTCACAGCATCCCCAGGTGAGGCAGGGGTACACACCTGAGTGTCATGCTGCTGCTGTAGCTGCATGATGTTTCCTACCTCAACACAGAGCTAAATCATCAGTGATGTGCTAAAAATTATGCAAGGAAACAGAGGAAATACATAATAGTGGAACAGATTCTAGAAGAGGTAAACAAACATATTTGTTTGAAGACAGAAAAATGCCATTTAATTACAAGCTGCATGATCAGTGAAGTGTCCATAGTCAATGTGCCATTAAAAATCACTTCTGTCAAAGTCATCCCTACCTTTAACAGGGCTTCAAATTGAGTGTCTTCATGGACTGGTAACTGGGTTGGGATATCACACTCATTCTGTCCATGAACTACCAAGGTTTTGGTACCTACAGAAGGTAGAAATCATAATGAACCAACTTCTACTATAGAAAAATATGTATTTAAAGCATAAAATATTAAAATCATATTGATAAGCTGATACTTTATTATTGTGGTTATTATTATCAGTGCTTAATGTGAATTGTACATTGTACTAACTATACTCCTTTATTTATAGTTAAATATTTTAAGTGTATTTCTCATTAAATAATGATAGCTACTGTTTATGGAGTTCTCAATATTTTTACATGTGTTTTATGTGCATAATCATGTTTACATCTCACAGCAACTCCATAAATGGGTATTATTATTATTTTCATCTTACAGATAAGGAAATAGCACTTATTCTTATAAGAACTTACAAGTAGCTTATTCAAAGAAACACATTTATTTATTTAGTGCAGAGATCTTCAAACTTTTCCATCTCATTGCACACATAAACTAATTTCTAAAACTCTGAGGCACACCAAAAAATGTATTATACTTTTTGCTGATCTGACAAAAAAGTAGGTATAGTTTTGATTGATTGTTATGCCAATTACGCAATTTGTCCAAGGACATATTGTACAATAGTAAAGTGTAACAGGTGCCTATACTTGTATATAAAAATTTCTGGTCTCAAGAATTAACCAATCAGATGTAACTGTATCATGTGACATGACCAATAAGATGCAACTCTATTATACAACCTATATATTTATGGTTCAAGACAGGGCATTTACACTTAATGTTATTGTTGTGTTGGCTGTTGACATTTTTTCATTCAACAATCTAAGGGAAAAGAGATCAGTGCCCCTCATGAAATAGGTGGGTATTGCATATTTTTAAAATTCTTGCAGCACACCAGCTGAAAATCATTAATTTAGTGGAGGAGTCAGAATTCAAACTTTAAGCATTGCAACAAATAATAGATCCTGCATTTTAAATGAGATGATCAGGCAATAATGGTTGAGAAACTATAAGTAGAGATATTAGCAAAACCAAGTACCTGAAATATGCTTGATTTTTCTGTATTCTACTTAGTCAATGGGACAGTATTTATTCTATTTCATTCACTAATTACAAATCTTTGTGAACTTTATAATATACCTTGGTTTTTAATGAGTTGTTTGTAAGAATATTAATGAAAATATGAGTTTATTTGCTAATGAAAACTGATCACTTTGCTGAATTATCTGCAGAACATGTAAATACGCAACTACCATTCATTGAATGTTACCATGAGTCAGATACCACAGTGAGTATTTTATCTACCTAAACTCACTTATTCCTCAGGATTATGAAGTATGCTCATATCCTTATTTTACACATGAGGAAAGAAAGCTTAAAAAACTATGAATTTTTTCATAGCTAATACTAATAATACAAACAATAAATGACAGTTCGATGATTTTAACACAGACCTCTTTGCTGCCAGAACCTGTGTTCTTATATATAATTTTGTCATTTTCTTTACTTCAACAGATGTTTCATCTCATATTTTCTCAGTCATGGCACAAGGATAAAGTCTTGGGAAAATTTTTATCTTAGACAAAGACAAGTTATTCAAAGTGTAAAGAAACTGTATCTAAAGTTTACATCACACTTCATGTTCTTTTGTAATTCTCTTTCTTCCTGCTCTTCCTTTTCCAATTTTTCATAAAGCCATCTCTCATTGAGTTTACAAAGGACTGGGGTCCACGCCATGCAAACACTATTATTCTCCTTGCAGTGCCAAATATTCATTCAAAGAGGCTTTCTGTTCAGCTGGCTCTCCGCGATAGACTTAAATAAATCTGTAACCTTGGCAGCCCATCATGGACTGATTCCTGGGATCTCAGTTTTGATGTCTCTCTTCTCATCTGGCAATTGCTGACTCTTAAAGGGTCTATTGTATTTCTTTGGAAAGTATTAAACAAAAATTCTTTGAAGCACTCAACACCAGAGTCAGAACTCTGAAATTTTCTCATGAATGAAGGAGATGTTTGGTTTTTAAAAGGGTTATTTAGTACAAAATAAATGAACAAGCATGATAGAAACAGACTCATAGAATCAGAGAACAGGCTGATGGTTGCCAGAGGGGAGGGAGGTTGGGGGACTGGGTGGAAAAATGGAAGGGATTAAGAAGTACAAATTGGTAGTATGGAATAGTCACAGGGACATAAAGCACAGCAAAGGGAATACAGTCAATAATATTGTAATGACCACGTGTGGTGACAGGTAGGTACTTGGAAATATTGGGGGGAATCACTTTGTAAAGTATATGATTGTCTAGCTACTATTCTGCACACCTGAAACTAATACAAAATAATAGTGAATGTAAATCATAATTGAAAGTAAAAATTAAAAAGCAAAAGGGTTGCTTATAGTCTTAGATAAAACTTAGTCATCCAAAAGCGGTAGCGCATTACCTGGCATTGATGCGGTCACCAGGAGCTTTACCTCACACTGCTCCTTCTTCATGGTCTGCTTCAGATCCTTGAAGAAGAGGCCCTCTACGTAACCCACCACCTCCCAGAGGAAAGTCAGGGTGGCCGAAATGGCATCCATGCCCCACTCGCAGGGGGTCCGCACAAAGTACATGATTAGTCCCACCTACAAGGCAGAACAGGGAGGGCTCATGAAGCCACGATAGTCCTGAGTGCACATTCTCATTTCCTTGGCTTTTGCTTGACTAAATAGTCTTTTGTACCTTCATATTTTTTGTTCAAATGCTTCTCCAACACTTCAAGGGCAGTAAGCAGGAGAGGGTATAACTGGAAAACTGACCAGAATTGATGGCTATACATTTTTATGTATTACTAAAAATGGTTACTTCTTGAGAGGAAAACAGATCATTTGCCCAGGCTTCAAGCCACTTAGTGGCCCAGGTACTTAGGTGACCTAAAAATAATCTCTATATGATGTTTGCCCAAACACCCTTGGCAGCATGGATGACAACTAACAGTCTACATCTAACAGTCTGAAGCTAAGAACACTCTGCCTGGCTAAGTTGGTGAACTTAAAAATCTTTGATTGTGCCCTCTCAGTAATTTTGAAAAACTGTGTGCCATTTCCTACATTTTAAAGCTGATATTTAAAATGTTTTATTATAAGTTTATTTTTTGTTAATAGGAATAGAATTGATTAAACATTTTATACATTGAAGTAAGAGAACCGATTGTAATTAGATGAAATACACATTAACTACCTTATTCAAGGATTAATTTGTTAATCCTTTCAAACTTGCCAGCTACATTGAAAGAATCAGTGTCTCTAATCTGAAGGCTGAATATCCTAAGGAGAGTAAAAGCTCAACCTTAGTCAAAATCTATAAAAGGCTGGAAGAGGTAAGAAGTCCTATGGATTCAAAGTGCCTTGACCAATCAGAAAGGAGCCTTCCTTAGAACTAACACAGTACACCAGATTCTTTCTCTGTCTCACGGGTCTGTCAGTCGGGCCTGGTGATATCTGAGATGGCCAGAGTGGGGCCTTTCTTTTTATAGCAGGAGAATGATGATTGAGATGGCAGGCTTGCTCAGAAGGTGTTAGTTCACATTCATAAGTTGAGGATTTGGAGACTTTAAAAGTCTTCACATATCCCTAGATGTGCTCATACCCCACGATGAAGATCTCTTAATCAAGTGAAGCAGTGGATTTAAAAGTCCCTACCAAAATCTGGAAGAGATAGGTTAGTGTTCCCAGAGTCCCCACCACACACATCTATAACAGTTGTTAGAAAAAAGATGTACAATAAGGGTAATAGTTTAAAAATTACTCTGCCTTTCACTGTTTGGCCATTCTAAGTACAAGACCCTTTCCTTATTAGTCCATGCAAAACATTCACTTGCTTGGGAATTGGGGGAAGATTAGGACTTAGACAGAAGTGGCAAAACAAAAATTTATATTCATGCAAAACAAGATATACAGCAAGGCCAAAGTGTAGTCAGCCCTTTTCTCTATTTGCTTATGAATTGCCTAGCTGGGCGGACTTATGTCTACCACGGGGGCCTATTTGGAGTTGAAAGGAGAGTTGAGGAGAGCAGAGGTCCAAGGAAGCATTTCTCCTCTGTGGTGACCTGGGGAGCGGGCAGGCCCAGCGAGGGGGGTCTTACCTCCAGTCTCTGTCTGGGTCTCAGATAGGAGTTCATCTCAGAGACTTTCCACACCAACTTGGATGCAACATAAACTTGGCAGATCACATACTTAAACTGAGGGAGGCCCTGATATTTGGCTTTGATAATCTACCTTCAGCTTTTGTGTGATGCAGACAGGACCAGGAAGTAGCAGAAAGCTCAGCTGGAGAACTTTCTAGATAGAATTGGCACAGGTTGGCGTCACTTGTGGAGGATGCTCTAGCTGAGATTGTATGAGACTCACACCAGACCTCAGAGCCACCGACAGCACGAGCAGGAGCTGAGGTGAGTTGAGTCCCCCAGCAATTAGCGTTGGGAGCGGAGGGACCCTCTGGCCAGCTGGGCACCCAGCAGCCAGTCAGATAAAGAGCACTGTCTCATGAAGAGAGGAGCCAGGGCAAAAGCTGAATAAAGACAGAACGGTGAACAAAGGTCTTGTATCTTCCTGATTTCACAAAGCGTTTAAAGATGAAAGCAATAGAGAGGGAAGGAAATTCCTAGAAACAGTATTTTTGGCCAACAGAGACTGAACTCTATCCAAAGGCACTATTTATATACTTTTATTATTCTGAACTTTAAAACTGGATTGGACATGATTTATATTATTTCCTTTGTCAACCAGCAGGTGGGCACTCAGGAGGAAAATCAAATCAGGCATAGAGAGGAAAAAAGAATTACAAGAGGTTTTTCTGCACATCAAAGCTGTAGTGAAAGTTAAATTTATCATTCTGCTACAGATGCATAGGCAAAACTCTTCTATTTCCCAACCTGCTAGAAGACTGATGATAGTGAGTGAGAAGATAGAATTCCTCTCAGCACCGAAATTTATTTGGCCATCTGTCTGCCTGGATTAAGGTGCAATTTCGAAGAACAGACATCATGTCAACAGTCCCCAAACTGCATATTCACTCAGGGTGCAAGGAGAATGCAAAGAAGCTGGCAAATTCTGGAGGGTTCAGGAAGGAATTGTCAAGAGGGCTTAAAGCATAGAGAACTGCCATACAAAAGTACAATCACAAATACTTTCCACCTAGGGCAACATTTTCATGTGTGTTAAGCATGCGTGCGTGTGTGTGTGTGTGTGTGTGTGTGTGTGTGTGTGTTTAACAGTGAGATAAGAAAAGGGAAAAAAATGACTAAATATTCCATATATTTTATCAAGCCACAATTAGGAACAAGCATAAGGAAGTTGTGTAATACCAACGGAAGACAGAGAGGACACTGGCTTTTATTGAGTACCTACCACATGCCAAGGATTGTACGGGAGATATTTCCCCATACACAGTGGTAAATTTAGCTGATTATGATATTTAGCTCACTACCATTCACCTTTAGTCACATATTAACACGAAGGTGTTGCAAACAAACAAACAAACAAACAAACAAAACCTCCAAAAACCTTTTTTCTCATGTTGCTGCTTCCTACTTGGAAATGAGTATTTATAACCTACTGGAGACTGAAACTCACCAAGTAGTTGAACAAGATGTGAGATGTTTGAGCAGGAAAGTCTCCAATATTCAGGAGAAGTTTGCGCAGCATGTACATTAACTCATCCTGGAAGAACAGAATTCTAGTCTCATTCAGCTGTCATGCTGTAGGAAATAAAACTAACTTCTTGAAAAGCAGGGGTGTGGAAATTCCTTACTTTTACTCACATTTTGATTTCTGTGTTTAATGTTTTAACATCGTCTATGTGATTCTTGTTATATAATATTTAAACCAACTCTAACACCTTCTCCACAGAGCAAACATATGAAATCACTGAGCAGCAGTCAGTCAACTTTTTAAAAAATAAAAATTTAGACTGTGTCTACAAGTTACAGGCAAATCATGGAAAAACTGTATACTTAGTCAATTCTATTTGTTATAGCTGCCAGGTATGATGAAAATATGGGGAGAACCTATGTTGAGAAACCATTAAAAAGAACAGGTTTATTGAACTTCATAGTTCTGCTTCCTAGGTTTATCTTAGCCAAGAGAGGATAAACAAAAATGTAATTAACCTTACCTTCCAGTAGCAAAACTGAGTCTTTTAGTAAAGAGGATCATAACACAGAAATGAACAAATAATATTTAATCACCATTGCTCAGTAAACTACTTTTACTTGGCACGGTTTTCTTACAGGGGTGGTCCATTAAATTAGAATTTTTGATTAATGAAGAGATTCAACATATTCTAAAAACCCTATCTGCATCCATCACAGACTACCAATCAATCAGAATTCAATAAATGTTCCCAGTACTAAGAACATTATACTGATTTAATATTTTTTTAAAAGACTGATTTTTAGGGTCATCACTGGCAATGTACCATATACTATGGAGACATCAGCTAATGGAGAAATTAGAAAGAAAGCAGCAAATTTTAATATTGCCCATCATTGCCATCAGAATACCTCGATGCTGCATGCACAGCACTACACAGTCCATTGCTTGCTTCTAACAGTGTGCAGACACGTAGCTACACTATCAACGAAAGAGAAAGAGAAATTTACTTGTCTATTGCTGATGGTCAATTTTTCCAGAAAATGTCGAAGAACTGTTGATGGATCTTCAATTAGACAATTCCACAAGACTTGTTGTGCCACAGCACTCACTTTAGAAGAGGAAAAAAAATTGAACATTTGTCTTAAATGAAAATAAACCTATTAGATAAAGTATTTAAATAATCTACTAAGCTTTAATTAGTCTCTCTTTTTTGTTGCCTTAAAACAGTTCTGGGAACTGCTTTTCTATCAAAAGGTAAATATTTGTTCTCTTTGCTGTTGTTTTGAACATTTTAACCTGTAAAGAAAAGCTAACAAACAAGCATAAGATGGTTTTTAGGTGTTAGCATTGCTTTTGTAAAGAATAAATTTGTGATATATCATGGAATATCATTCAGCCTTAAAAAGAAAGAAATCCAATCATTTGTTACCACATGGATGGTCTTTGAGGGCATTATGTGAAGTGAAATAAGCCAGACGGAGAAAGACGAAGACTGTATTCTCTCACCTATATGTTCAGTCTAAAAATCAAAAACAAAAACAAAATCTGAACTCAGAGACCAGATTGGTGTTTCCAAATCTTTGTGTTTTATATCTAAAACTAATACAGTGTTATATTTCAATTATATTACTATTTTAAAAAAAGAATATATCTGTGAATTTGTGTTTTGGAAATCACCCTGATATTAGCAGTAGCAAGTATTTATTTAATTAAAGTAATATTTAATTATTCATTGTACAAAAAAAATTTCTAAAGTAATTATTTGATTGTTAGAAAATAAGTTGCATTAGGATGCAGAAGAATTAGAGATAATCTTTCACTGTTCCCATGAATACTTTAAATAGTATCTTCTTCAGCAAAATAAAGCAGTTGAGCCAGTAATAATTAGGCTCCCACTTCTAGTGATGGATGTCTTAGGAATAAATTATTATCCTTAATGTGAAAGAAAGTACACTTCTTTGGGGAAAGTGGTCAGGCTATGATTGCCTGGAAGTTCCCAGGCTAAGGAAACAGGTGAGTGAAAGTGAGTGGCGGGTAAGCATTGGATGATCCTCACTCTAAGTGGTGTATTTAGTTTTGTTTTCTAACCTATGAATATAATTTAGTACAAACTTATCATTCAGCCTATATTTTAAATAAATGAAACTAATTTTTTGCTTCAGAAACCAACCAGTTAAAGTTAAGAACTTTATAAACAAATAATATTAACAGATATGTAAATATAAGCTTTAGATTTCATGTGTCTTTATACACAATTAAAATGTGTGGGTTTCTCTAGGGTAGAACTTGGTTGCAAAACTATCTTTATTAACACTTTTTTTTAATTGCTGAAGTAAGGCAGCTTAATGTTTAAAATATAAAAAATAAAGACAAAAAGAGAAAAATAAGATTAGTAATTCTACCAAGCATATGAACTATAAACATTTTGAAGTATGTCCTTTCACATATATAAAATGTGTTTATATGTGTTTTTAAATTATACAATATTAAAACATTCTTTGGTACTTAGTTTTTTTTATTTAGCAATATACTAAACAGTTTTTATGTTAGTATTCTTTTCGAATATTTCTAACATGTGCACAGAATGCTGTCATATGGAGCTATCATGATTAAATGATTGCCTATTATTGGACCCTTAATCAAACTCTTCTATTAAAAAAATTTTATTTTATTGATTATGCTATTAGAATTGTCCCAATTTTCCTTCCTTTGCTCTCTTCCACTCAGCACCCCCAACTCCCTTGGGCAATATCCACAACATTGTTCGTGTCCATGGGTCATATGTAGGTTCTTTGGCTACTCCATTTTCTATACTGTATTTACAAGCCCATGGCTACTCAGTAACTACCTGTTTATACTTTTTTAATCCCATCACCTCTTCACCTGTTCCCCCAAAACCCCCTCCCATCTGGCAACCATCAAAATGTTCACTGTATCCATGATTCTGTCAGTGTCCTTGTTGGCTTAGTTTGCTTTTTAGAGTCAATTGTTGATAGATATGTGTATTGCCATTTCCTTGTTCGTAGTTTTGATCTTATTCTTTTTTTTAAATAAGTCCCTTTAACATTTAATTTAATACTGGTTTGGTGATGATGCACTCCTTTAGTTTTTCCTTGTCTGGGAAGCTCTTTATCTGCCCTTCAATTCTAAATGATATCTTTGCTAGGTAGAGCAAATTCATGACTTTTAATATTCTAGCCTGCAAAATTTCTTTCAAGAAATCAACTGAAAGTCTTATGGGAATTTCCCCATAGGTAACTAACTGCTTTTCTCTTGCTGTTTTTAAGATTCTCTTTTTATCTTTAACCTTTGGCATTTCAATTATGACGTATCTTGGAGTGGGCCTCTTTGTGTCCATCTTGTTTGGGACTCTGTGCTTCCTGGACTTGCATGTCTAATTCCTTCACCAAATTAGGGAAGTTTTCTTTCATTATTTTTTCAAATAGATTTCCAATTTCTTGCTCTTCTCTTCTCCTTCTGGCACCTCTATCATCTGAATGTTGGATCACTTCAAGTTGTCACAGAGGCTGCTTATACTATGTTTGGTTCTTTTGGATTCTTTTCTCTTCTTGTTGTTCTGATTGGTTGTTTTTGCTTCCTTATGTTCTAAATCATTAATTTGATTCTCAGCTCCATCTACTCTACTGTTGTTTCCCTGTAAATTGTCATTTATTTTAATTAGTGTATCCTTCCTTTCTGACTGGGTCTTTTTTACGCTACTGAGGTCCTTGCTAAGTTCCTTAAGCATCCTTATAACTAGTGTTTTGAGCTCTGCATTTGATAGCTTACTTATCTCCATTTTTTTTTGTTATTTTTCTGGAGTTTTGATCTGTTCTTTCATTTGGGCTGTGTTTTTTGTCTCCTCATTTTGGCAGCTTCCCTGTGTTTGTTTCTATATATTAGGTAGAGCTGCTATGACCCCCTGACTTGGTAGCATAGTTTAATGAAGTAGGTATACTATAGACCCAGTGGCATTGCCTTCCTTCACCTAAGCTGGATGCTCGAGGTGCACCCTTCTTGTGGGCTGAGTACACCCTCCTCTTGTAGTTGAGCCTTGATTGTTGTTGGCAGGTCAATGGGAGGGATTTATCCAGGTCAGTCAGCTGCAAGGATTGGCTGTGATCACTAACTACCAACCTCTGCCCTCTGGGGATCCCCAGGGCAGAGCAAACAGTGTTAGCCAGGTTGCTGGAGTTTCAGATATGGCACTAGCCTGCTGGTTCTGTGGTTCTCTGTTGGGGGAGGGTTCAGAAAAGAGACAATGGCCTCAGCCCACCTTTCTGTCTGGGAGAAAGCTGTCCCCCAGCTCTTGCCTTGATGTAAGACACTTCAGTTTCTCCCTGTATGCCACTGGTGCCTTTCAAGATGCTACCCTGGTGCTGGAGCTCATAAGGAGTGAATCTGATTAAATATGTATGTGGGTTCTTTTTAGATGAACTACTTGGGATTCCAGCTGTTTCTTCCATGAACCCTGGTCTGGGGGGCCTGAGGCTGGGCTGGCATTCCTCACTCCTGACATATCCCTCCTGATTTTTTATCCACCACTCATGTATGTGTGACCAGCCATTCCACATCTCTGTCCCTCCTACCAGTCTTGATGGATGTAGTTGTCAGACTTCCATTCAGTTCAATTTCTGATGGTTCTGAGTGATGGGGAGGAGATTGTTCTATATTTTAGTTGTAATTTTGATGAGGTTTTAAACTCTTTAAAAATATTTGTTATTTTAAATAACATACAATATACAGTGTCATGTATAAACCTTTACACAGCACTCGCTATTGCTTTAGGATATTGCTAGGAGTCAAAATCTGTGTCAAAGAGTTTTCACACTCTTTAGGTTTTGACATGTATCATGAAACTCTGTTATTCTAGAATGCCTGCATTGAATTTTATACGCCCATTAGCAAAGTGTGAAGATGCTCTTTTCCCTGAATCTTTAGCAACCATGGGCATTTTCATTTGAAATAATCTTTGTAGTCCTTTCAGCTGAAATGTCAGAGTTCATTGTTTTAAACAACAATGTTGTTTACAGATGTTACTGCCCATTAGATTGTATTTATATCCTTTGTCCATTTTTCCTTTGGGGTTAAAAAAATCATTATTGAGAAGGGTTTTTAAAAATAACATTAAGAATGTTAAACTGTAACAAATATAAATCATCTCTACTTCTAGTTTGTCATTTCACGTTGCAATTATTCTCTTTAGGTAGTACCTCCAGAAAGGTAATAAAGTGGGAAAGATGGCATTAGTGGTGTCAAGATAATAACAAAGATTTCTAAGGTGGCTAAAATCACTATTTGATTTCCATGTGGCCAAATAAGTGTTGTGCCATTCTCTGGTCAGGAACAATGCTCCTGAACCCACCTGGTTATCTTAAATGCATTCTTTTTAGTCGTAAAAGTGTGGAGGAAGAGGTAGAAAAAGTGACAGTGTTAGTTCAGTATACCACAAATCTGTAACATAATATGTGCATAAAACAACTCAACATGTGGCCAGCAGCTAATATCTTCAAGAACATCTTACTGTCCCATACAAGGGGAACAGCTTAAGTATTTCAGTTTTACTAGTAAAACTGTACCTGCTACTCCGTCTTCCCGCACTTCACCATCCTCCATGAGATGAACAATGGGGAGCACTGCTGCACAGATGCATGCTGGGAACACTGCCTGCGGGGGCTGAGGCACATGGTGGTTTGGCGTGTGTTCAGTGGTATGCTCCTCATCTGAAGTGGGAGACATAATTGGGGTGATTTTTTTCAGTATTGTAATTCTAATGCAACAACACTTCTTAATTCAAGGCCTAATTATTTAACAGTCTTTGGTATATAGCTATCCCAGCACCATTTGTTGAAAAGACTATTCTTTACCCATTTAATTTTCTTGGTACCCTTTTCAAACATGAAATCAATGTAAATGTAATGGTTTATTTCTGGTTGTCAAATCTATTCAATCGACCTGCATGTCAATCTTTGTTTACTGCAGGTTTGTAGTTAAGTTTTGAAATTAGAAAATATGAGTCTTCCAACTTTGTTCTTCATTTCCAAGATTATTTTGGCTGTTCCAGGATATGGAGCAACTGGAACTCTCATGCTTTTTGGTAGGAAGGTAAAATGACACAGCCACTTTGGAAATAATTTGGTAGTGTTTTCTCACAAAACTTGCACACATCTCTTCATTGCAGCATAATTAATAATAGCCAAAAAGTATAAACAACCCAAATATCCACTAACTGGTAAACTAATAAAATGTAGAATATCCATATGATGGAATATTATCTGGTAATGAAGAGAAATGAATTCATACATGTGACAGCCTTGAAAATATTATGCTGCATCAAGTCCAGTCGTAAAAGGCCTCATATTGTATGATTCCATTTATATGACATGTAGACAGTTGGAACATCCATAGAAATAGATTATTTCTTGCCAGGGGCTTGGGGAAGCAATGGATGAAAAATGACTGTTAATGAGTATGGGATTTCTTTCTGGAATGATGAAAATATTCTAAAATTAGATAGTGGTGATGATTGCACACTCTGTGAGTATACTTATAACCACTGCATTATATTCTCCAAAAGGGTGAATTGTATGATATGTGAATTATATCTCAATAAAGATGTAATAAAAAATATAGATGTACCTTGGGTTCCATCTCTGTCAGTTGCAATTAATTAGCATTGGTCAGTTTTAACTTCCCCAAGGTTGTGCAGCCAAGGCTTGAGAACCATTGCTTTTGTACAACTTTTTAATATGATAAAATTTGTACAATGATGAAACATAATTTCTGTACAGTTTTTTAGTGACTTTATAAATCAGTGATGACATTTGTGTGATCATGAAGCAGTGAGTCCCAGATAGCTGCTCAACATTAGAGAAGCTTGTTTTGTAAATTCTTAGGACTGAAGAGGATCACATTCCAACCCCACTACCGCCCCCTGCTGGAATCAGATTTCATTGCAGGAGCAGCATGAGCTTTGGCCGTCCTTTGGTTGGTTAATTATTCCAGAATAGGACCTTAAAGCATCCTACTGGATTTTGGCCACACACTGGAGTACCCTGAGTACATTTTAAAAATACTGATGTGTGGGTCCTACCCTTAGAGATTCTGATTAGGTACTGGGTGTGGCTTCGACATTTTTTAAAAGCTCCCCAGTTGATTGTAATGTGTAGCAAGGGTTTAAAACTGTTAACTGGCTAGAATAATGTCTACTGACCCTCAGCAATATAATTACTTGAAATGTAATTAAAATAGAGCCACCTTATAAAGGACAACTGCTGGTTAAAATCAACAATAATTTTTTTAGGATATCACTCAATTCAATATTTTTTTAGAACTTCAAGTCATAAAACAAATTATTTAATGAAGGCAGTGTAGCATAGTGAAGGAAGATAATGTTACATGGCAAATGTTTGAATACCCACAATCATGAGAAATAAATATCACATTTGCAAGAGGACACACCTTCGGCACTGACAGCTGAACGCACCGACCAGACCGACCCTCGGCGGAAGGAATAATTCCTGTGGGAAGTGCTGGAGGTACAGGAGGGACTGACAGACAGTCGGCGGGATGCCAGGTTGGTGACTTCTTCTACTGGCAAAGAAAATGGGGGACGTGAGCTTTGCTTTTACCACAAAATAGGTTATCATCACAACTATAGCTCTGCTTACATTACAAGTGTATTCTGCTCTCAGAGCATAAAGCTCAAGTAATTTAGAGTGTATTTAGAAAAGGAAAACAAATTACAGAAAGAATTCCTCCCAGAGATCCCACAAAAGCAGGGCAGAGAATCGCTAATTTTAGAAGGCTTCCTAAGTCATTTTCTGATACCAACCAACAAATAGTCTGCATTTTTGAAGGGTGAAGGTAGTTAACAGACTAGCCCCATTTTTAATGATGACAAAATTGATTCACCTACTTTAGTAAACACTCTAGATTCAGCTGTTCCCTGAATCACAATCACTGCTTGGTCTTTTCTCCTATTCGTTCATTCAATAACTAAGAGGAAACCTAAAACTTTTCTCTTTCTTTGGATAGTGTCAGGAGGTGAGAGAGAGATAAAGAAAGCATATCACCTCATTTCACATAAAATTATCCATATTTATCTCAAAGCAAGTCCTTTCCCTTTCCTGTGACTCAGCCCCCAAAGAAGTCCCCTGTGGAGAGGGCACCTTCTTCTTCTGGCTCCGAGCTGGGTGTGCAGGTGGGCTCGTAGCAAGCCTCCTGGGTGATGGGGATGGCGGTGATGAGGCTGGCTTCGCGACCAAGACGTTTCTTCTCTTCCTCCTGTTGCAAGTTCTTTAGGATGTGTTCTGCCCTTTGATGGGAGCGGGACACAGCCCGGGCTGAAAAGGATTTCTGTGGAGACATGAAGGCAATTTATTTAATTGCAACTCTCCTGTAAGGTCACAAGCATGAAGAATGTTCCAATGAATTACACAAATGTGCACTCTGAGCTCAGGAAATGTTTGCACACCCATCAGCTAATTTCCTGGAGATTTACTTGTTTTTCTACCAAGGTCCCAGGTTGGTACAACTAAACTATTCTTTTCCACACAGAATAATCCTTCAAGAATTTCTGAAAAAATCCTATTTTACTCTTAAGATTTGCGGTGATATCAATGATTCACTCTTTAAACATGAACATTCAATAACTTTTAATATTCTCTTTCTAAATTTTTTTGAACTGGTTTTAAATGAAGGTCATTTATTTCATAAAGTTAAGAAAAGAGAAAGTCAGAATCATGGAAAGGAGGAGGAACAAGATCTACCTCTCATATTTAACTTTTTAAAAAATCCTCACATAAGGATACATTTATTGATTTTAGAGAGGAAGAGAGAGAGAGAGAGAGAGAGAGAAACATTGATTGGTTGCCTCCTGTACATGCCCCAACCAGGAACTGAACCCAGAACATAGGTCCGTGCTCTGATGGAGGATCGAACCTGGCGCACAGGACGACACTCCAACCAACACAAGCACACCGGCCAGGGCTCAACTAAGTTTTTAGAAAAGTAAGAATAAAAACAGCAAAGGGGCGGGGGGTGGGGGGTGTGTGTGTGTGTGTGTGTGTGTGTGTGTGTGTTTTGCCATTTACAATGGTATTTAAAAAAGAACACTAATTTGAATAAAGTGGGCACTTTTCTATTCTGTTGTGTAAGGGTAAAATGGCAGAACCTGCCTGGGAATATTTTGTGAGATGTATCAAAAATCTTTAATATTTATATACCGATTGCCCTAAATCTTACGATTTTATAATCATGAATTTCTGCAAAGAGATGGTTTTTTTCTAGTTTTGCTTTGTTTTTAAATTTTTCTCCATTATTCATGTAATGTAGAAAATGCTACTCAACAGGTAAAAAGCCTTATTTTGAAGATTCATTTTTCATAAGGCACATATACTTGGTTCTTATCTACAAATAGACTATGTTCTAAACTTAACTGTTTATGAATTATAGTACATACAGCAGTGACCTACTAGAGTACTCTAAGGCCTGAAGTCTCAAGAATGTTTGTGAGGATGATACAGGTGATTGACAAGATGAAGAACAGACTCAGGTCAAAATAAGAAAACAAGAGCTGCCAACTCAGTACTTTTTTCTTATTCATCCAGGATCAATATCATTAACTTTTGGGTAGCTTATGTATTATATTATAGGTTAAAATACTTGTTTTATAATAAATAGAAGCAAAAGTGTTGCCTTTGGCTAAGAAATCAATGCCTAATAGCTTTATAAGGTGGCTGCTGGTTTGATTATAACAAAACTGTGTTGGCTTGGAGACCTGCAAACGCTCATTCAGATGTTACTTCCTTCTGTTCTATTCACAAGGACAAAAGACCTTCTGTGGCTGGTTTTGTGTGTTGTTATTATATTCTTATGACCAAACAATGAACCAACTAACACATTCATTGTTCTTCTCTCTTACAGGCAGACCATGAAGCCTGGCGGAAAGCAAGTGCCTATTACTCACAGACTGGTCTTCATTGATGGGATCCTGGACGCTCCCGCTGCACTGAGGGACCCAGGGAGGGTCGAACATTGGGACGGATGGCATTCCAAGCACTGGCGAGGGCAGGGTGAAGTTTATACTGGGAGGCGGGATCTGTCAGTTGATAACAAAAGAATGACATGAGTAAGATGGAGTCTGAAGTGTAATTATGACAATCTTATAGAGCACAGGACGTCACAGAGCATAGGACGAACCTCCCTCGGCCTCAGTTTACTCATTAATAAAATGAAGGGTTTCAACTAAATGATCCGTATTTTTGTCAATCACCCCGTCCTCCAAAAAACATCTATCTGTGTCTACATAGCAAAATGTCTGGACAATTATATACTAAATTTTTAAGTGCTTATCTCTGGGGATGTAGTGAGATCTAGAGGTTTATAGAGATCTAGAGGTTTTCTTACTCTACATTCCTCCATACTTCAATTTTTTAACAACAATAATTCATTCACATATGAGTTAAGTTTACTTACAAGGGGGGACCCGAAAAATGAAATTTACTTATAAAAAATTGTGTATTTATTCTTACATGTTTACACTTTAGCTGCCTTCAAAATACTCTATTTGATGCAATAACACCTATCAAGATGTTTTTTTCCACTGCTCAAAACAGTTTTTGAACTCATCGATTTTGATGCTTTCTAGTGCTTTGGCATTTTTGGTTTCACCTCTTCCATGTTGGCAAAACGTTTCCCTTTGAGGACTTTTTCATCCGGGAAACAAAGTAAAAAGGTCACTTGGGGTGAGATCAGGTGAATAGGGATGGGGGTCATGCCAATTTTAGTCAAAAACTGCTGAACAATCAGCATGGTGTGAGCAGGTGCGCTTGTGAATCACCCATCATGAAACCCATCAGCAAACACAGTGAAAAGTCACTGATGCTGAATGCAGCTTCTTACAATGCCAGCGGGTGCACTGATACAGATGGGTTCCTAGAACACTCACCAAGTGGGGAAGCCTGTACAAGGGGCCCAACCTCCAGAAGATAATTCCAGTTTTGGGGGGGTTCCCCCTTGTATACAATTAGAGAAACAAAAAAAGGAGCCTCTCATGGGCCATATACTGTGGGCTTGAGGTTCAAGGATTTCAATAAGCCTTGGGTTGGTTTTACGAACCTCATTCCCATGGGGGAGGGGTCCCTCACCTTAAAAATCTGCTGTGCTCCCTCCTCCATCCGGGGCCAGACCTGATAGCGAAACCTCCAGAGTGTGTGGAACTTGAGGACGGCGTTCAGCCTCTGCGCTGTCTCTGGGTGGTGGAACTCTGACATGAGCATGTCCGACACGGCCTCGGGGACTTTCACGGCACACAGCAGGAACATGGCAGCTAGAGACAGTCAACAATTCATCAGCTACATCTCTTTTCATTTTGCTTGGGTCCTGGGGGTGGAGAGAATGGGGAATTGCTCCTGTCTCCTGAAAATGAATCCTGAGCTTATCCAGCCAGGCCACCAGCCTTGTTTCAGCCACTGGAACCCAAACATCATCCTGTGTGCCACACACAGTCTCCCAATATCAGGGGCACGGGCAGTGACAGCATGACATTTCAGTAGAATAACTCATTCTATGCAAAGTTTCCTTTGGCTCCCAGTGAAAAGTGAACGCCAGAGGAAGTGAATGAAAAGAAGGAAATTGCATTTTGAAATAGCCTTTTTAGGAAATGGCTAGAGTCATCTCATAATCTCATAATAACTCTGGGACGATAGATAAAAATGTCAGTTAAAAATTGTCTCAGTTACATCAATTGTGTTAAAAATAAAATCCACCTTATAGACTTTATTAGAAACTTCTGCCCCTCCTAGAGATAGGAGAGACTGAGAAGCTGACAGAAATTCCATAAATCGTATTACTATTACTGTTTTTTTTTTTAATTTCCAGAAAATACAAATGTCAGTAAGAGGAAGGTTAGGTGCCATAAGTTATAAGGATAATGAATAGTGAGATACATAAATACACCCTACTGTACAGATGAAGGAGTCAGTGGCAACTATAAAAACATAATTTAAAATCCCTCTTGTTTTTTCTCCACAGTCTCAAAACATCATTTAAATTATCTCAGCTTTTGTGTTGCGAGCTTCCAGAATCTGTTCGAGCATTTCTTTTTCTGGACTGGGTCAGAGTTGGATCAGGTCAGACTTAAAAACCAGACTGGGTCCAGACCAGCTTAATCTGGACTGGGGCCAGTGCAAGGCCTCAGGTGAACCAAATTTTGTTTTAAGGCTGAACAAGTAGGTGGACCATATCAAACATAATCCTGAAGTACAGTGAAGAACTTTCAATCATCCTACATAAGCTTATCCATTTATGAGGTACTCAAAAGAAAAAGTAGTATCAGCGAGAAAAAAATTTTTCCTCCTCTCCAGTTATTGGTGACTGGGCTGAGACCCGCAGGGACACCCACTGACTCTGGAGCCTAGACAGTACCCTGAGAAGACTGGCAGAAGTTGGCAAAAGATATGAGTGTTCACCAACATCAGCTCTCCTAGATCTCTGTCTGTGGTGCTGGCTGAGAGGAAGGTTTAATTTCACATTGTCCCTTCCTGTACAAATTCAGATTGGCAGGAAAACACATTGGTTATTGATCCTTTCTCTCCCAGGGCAGCTACTGGCTCCTTCCTTCCTGTTTGTCTTGTTTTGTGTTCTGAAAACTTGGCTCGTCAACCATCAGGTTGCGGGCCCCCAAAATACGGCCAGGCAGAAATGTGAGTTCTGCTCCTTTGGAGGCTAGGGTTCTACTGTGGTCAGCTTGAGGGGGGATTGTTTAAGTTTGTCTTTCTTTTGGGTAGCTCTGGATCTTGGGAGGAGGGTAGTATCTTTTGCATCCTCTTTGGGCCCCCTCTTGTGTCTGTGGGGTAGTTCGATACTGCCAGAAATACGTTCTCTTTGTCCTCTCTGAAGCCTGACAAGACCTAAGTGTGAAAGGATTTAAAAATATTTTTAAAGTAACTCTACCTTCAGAAGTTGGCCAAATTGGAAGCTGATATTCAGAGCCTGATAAAATAATTTTTAAGGCCCTCTCCGCTAAGCTAAAATGAAACTATGTCCTGGGGTGGGGGGTGGGGGGGCAGGAGACAGGAGGCAGGAAACACTGTGGAAGGATTTACTAAAACTTTCCAAAGAAACACAGCTCTAAACCTAGAATATAGGAATCTTTTCATTTCCATCTTAGTTGAAGATCTTCCTGATATAAAGAAGCCAACTGAAGATAATGAAGTTGGATAGATGAGTCAAAATCTTGATATTCAAGTTGCAACCTGATTCTTAAAGGAATTAAAAACAACTGCACTTGTCTTAAAAATGGAACCTTTACAAGAACAGAAGTGTGGATCCAGAAACAATTCAAAGCCCACGTGTCCTTTACCAATCCCCAAACCTCCATCATTCACCTAAAAATGTTTGCAGGTATTGTAAAAAAAATCTTGATTTAGGAAACAAAAGCCCTTCTTGAAGAAATTTACATTCTTTCTCTGCCTTTGAGATGTAAATGTTCCAGCTGGTCTTCTCTAGGAATCCAGGGCCAATATAAATTCTAGGAGTTTATTCTTATCAGCAAGAAGGAAGTCATTAAAAATATGTGAATAAAAAAGTCTTAAAAGTCTTTTCCACAAACATTAGTAAAAGCTTTAGCCATTTGAGCAGTTAGCTTATAATATGTGTTTAGAAACGCAATTTGGGTCCAACTGTTCTTTTATAAACTAGTGAGTGTTTCACGATCATACCTATCTCATTGGTAAAATTTTAAAATGAAAACTGTAAGATCTCTGTGTCTTTCTGTATGTTATATATGTCTACATATGAATGTTATATATATGTTGTGTTTTTCTACCTTCGAATGGTATTGCCAAAATTAATTTGTAAAAATCTCAATTTAATTAGCTTAAAAACATGCATTTATATAAATCAAATGTTACTTGGAAAGGTAGAAACTAACCCAAATGTTTTTCTATTTCACGTGATCTAGGTTAATCTTTGGTAAATAAAAGCTAGTTTTGAGGCAGCATAGGGTCTTGGGCTAGGAATGAAATATACCGGGTTAGCCAGGAAGCCAAGTTAAGACTAGGTGGTCAGAAGGAACTAGGAATAAACTGACGGCAAAAAAGTTACTAACTCTGCACTTTTTACTAAAAAATGCAGAGGTAGCTGATTTTAGCTCCCATCTAATATCCTGCTTAAATTACTGACCCGCATGTGCAGTTGCTCAAGGTTTGACCACCCTACAACTTGACTTTCCTAGGGTGGTGGCAATGCTCAGTCAACCTCCTTGCCCTCACACCACAGTGGGAACAGAATTACCAGGGAAGACAGCTGGGAAATGAAGTCATCTAACTCTGAACCGGTCAATTCTGAAGCCTGCCTCTCCAAAAAGCTCGCCTTTTCACGCAAGCCTGCTTTGCCCCCTGTTTATAAAAGGAGCCAAGCAGAGCCAGCACACGAGCCGGTTTGAGGACCTTCCTGTCCTCTGAGTTGCCTCCCTGTGATTGATCATAAGCTTAATAAAATATGTCTTTTTGTCATCTACAGACAATTATTATTTTACCCTCATACTTTTGCAAAGGGGCTTCATCTTCAGAGATTCATGGGAAGGACTCCAACAAGTCCTCTATAACAGCGGTCCCCAACCTTTTGGCACCAGGGACTGGTTTCATGGAAGACAATTTTTCCACAGACAGGGCGGGGGAGGATGATTTCAGGGTGATTCAAGCACATCACGTTCAAGGTCACCTCCTGCTGCACGGCCTGTCCTTAACAGGCCCAGACCGGTACCAGTCCACATGGCAGGCTGGGGACCTCTGCTCCAGAACATAGGCTTCTGATAACTTTCATATCGTAAAAGTGAACTGGGTATAATTTCCAGAACAAATGAAAACTGAATTCAAGCAGAGTAAGTATTATTACTATGGGATTGACTAAACTAGTGAGGATGATTATATTTTTTATAACTTTTTCTTGAAAACATTGCTGGTTTCTTACTGTTTTATTTTTCCAATTTTATGAAAACTTCTCTTTTCCCTTAAGCTATCTAGGACTTACAGTAATTTTTAAAAGTATACCTCTGTAAACAGAGTTGAAACATTTTCTTTTATCTCTACCTGACCCCTCCAGAATTCAGAAATTTATTGAGTATCCTTATTTTCATGGCAATATAGTTATTTGCAGAAATTCAATAAAAACAGTTCTCTTTGTAACAGGACACAATTGGAAACATTGGTTATATTATCAAGGCTTTGACTGAGATGTCGTATTTGAGAATATGCATGGAATTAGATATGACCAGTTTTAAGAAACCAAGGTTTACTTTGGAGCCAATAAAAGCCTCTTGGAAAAAAGTAGCCTGGTCCCTGGTGTACACGGTCCTCTGCAGCCTTACCAGGTAAGGGAGGTCATGTCCTCAGAGGCCCAGGAAACTCAAGATACCACTAGGACTTTAAGAAGAAACGAATTTACCTAAATACAGGGTGGGGCAGAACGTAGGTTTGCAGTTGTTTGTATGGAAAAATAATATAATAACTAAAAAATAATAATACAATAATAAACTCTGTGTTTTGCAGGCTCACAACTATAAACAAACTTTGGCCCCCCCCCCCCCCCCGTCTATAGTTTCTATGGGTGAGTTTGTGACTTGGCTTCTTGGTCTGGAGAGCCTTTTAAAAAGTGCAATCTAATATTTCTAATGAAAAGTGCCAGCAAAGCCAATTTAAAAAGAGGCCAATCACTTGCTGCACTTACATAAATGATCAAGCCAACTTGAGCAAGACTAGATTCATTTTGCAAACAAATCTGTCTTACTGTGATTGTCTCTGAAAGAAATAAAGGTGATTGTTGATGGAAAAAAATTATATTTCAGTAGAAAATTATAATATAATATTGTAGGTATCAGATTCTAGTCCTATTCATTTTCTTTTAGGTTTTATATATCTGTACACCAAACTGGATCCCGAAATTCCTTCTAGTTTCCTCAAATGCCTGGCCAGGACTCTCCTAACTAACATTTCCATTTTTTCCTCACCCTTCTGATTTAGAATGACTAAGAACAAAGGCTGCCCTTGAACCTGTTTAAAGGGAACCACATTAGGGCCTCCTCACTACCCAGAGAGCAGCCAAACTTCAGGGACTTGAACGTGGCCTCACGTACTCTCATTTAAAAGAGCTCCTCCAAACTAAAGTTCCCAAGGAGGTTCCTCCCCAGAAGCGGACGCCCTCTTGTGGCAACAACTCTCCCAAGATCACAGATCAAGATCATCCTTTGGAATGAATGTGTAACCTTTATTTCTTTTGCCTTTCCAACACTTGATTTTTCTCTGTTAACATCCCTTAATTCTAGCAACTATTGCTGAAACTACTGGTAAGGCCATTGCTCTGTGACGAAAGTCCCTAAAGTTTCTTGCTAGGGTGGTTTTAGAATTACTTCAAATTAGGTAATAGAATTGCTTAAGATTACTTATGGTCTGAACAAGAAGGAGCCTGTGCCACAGCAAATGCTTCCTGTTGTACCTGGATCAGCACCTCCGGTATTGTAGCAAACCCAGGGAATTAACAATCAAGCCAGCAGGCCAGTGCCTTTCAGGTACATTCTTTGATTTGATACCAACTGGTTCGGTCCAAGGGGGCCCTGGCTAAGGAGTATCCTTCAGTCCCTGGGCACTAGCCTCCTGATGGCTATCACGGCAGTCTCCCTGGTGTGCCGGGTTCTCTCGGAGGGCTTGCGTGCGTGCTCCCAGCCATCAGCAGTCCCTGAGATGGGCTCACTGTGCTCAGAGAACCAGCAACGAGATGAGCAGTGAGAGCAACAGCAGGAACAATGCTGCCGCCGATCTAACATAACCTCCGAGTTTCACAATGAGACAAGAGCAACTGAACTCTAATGGTGACTTTCAGTCACCAAAAATAGCAAATTTTTGACCAATCTCTCATGTATGAGGAGATGGTAAAAAGGAAGAAATAGTTCAAATAGTTAAACAAGGGGACCATTAGACTGATGTGGCTCCAATGTCGTGGTTGGCTATGTACGCGAACTAAAATCTATGCCTGGAAACGCCTCAAGGTTATAAATCAGTACTCAGTACAACCAACCACAACCAACCAACTAGACTTTAAGCTGGAGGCAATCAGTAATCATCTTACTTTGTTTCTGCCCTTTCTCTATAAAAACCTTTCCCTGAGCTCCTGTTAGAGAGCTTCTCATCACTTCTGGTTTGGCGCTGCCCAATATAAATGGATTTTTGCTCAAATAAACTCTTAAAATTAAAAAAGAAAGGTTTCCTAGATATAAATGAAGACTGCAGATCACTAGTGGTGTTGTCCTATTTGTGTGAAGAAGGAAACGTAATATACATATACATAGTTCATACATGTACATGCCTACTGTGCCCTAGAAGACTCTTGAGAAACTTCGAAAGTTTTCCCTCGGGGGAAGGGGACTGGGAGTCATGGGGAAGAGAAAGAGTGATGCTGTTAGCTTCACCCACTTTTGTATTACTTGAATTTTCACTGTGTATATTTTGCAATTAAAATAAGTACATAAAACTAAAAAAATGTGTTCAGAAAGCAGGAAAAAAAGGGAAGAACGCACATTTTGCATCTACCATTTACTAGCAATGCGTCTTTGGACATGTCACTTACATTTTGACAAATTTGTTTTGATATTATAATTTGGATACAGGACATTGCTGGCAGGAGATTTAAAAAAAGTGAATGATGGTGGTTCATGGTAAATCTGGGATATCAAGCAAAAAGAAGAATGTTATCTTTTGTGAAATAGAGTAAAAATACAGGTGCTGGGGAAAGCCATTCCCTAGGATTTGCTAGCGCCCTGGGAGAGCCCGTGCTCCCGTGCAAACCGCGCAGCGGGATGAAGAGCACACACAGGCCCCGGGCCTGCCTCCCTCTAGTGCACGGCTCTGTCCGGAGTTCTGGCAACTGCTGTCCATCTGGCCTCGCAGTGAAAACGGAATGAATGTATCTCTCTCACTTAAACCCCGGGCTCCGTGGCAGCAGGCCCAGGGTCGCAGGCGGTCTTTCCTGACCTGCCGCCCCCGCCATGTGCTCGTCCATGCTGAGCAGCAGCTCCCAGGCGGCTGGCTGGATGTCTCCGTACATCTCCTCCGTCAGAATCGGTGCCGCCTTGATTAGCAGAGATAAGGGAGCAGGCGACAGGCTCATTACCTGGGGAAAGACGGAAATCATGACTTCAAATTTTTGAAGGCACTGATTGTTCTACTTCCCTTGGAACCTAAGGGCCATTTCTCTTTTGGTTTTCCTTCAATGATCTTAAAGTGCTTTCTAAAATGGAGCATGTTGATTGGCGTGGTATATAATAAGCTTTATATCTTATTAGTTGGTGCATAATTAGAAAAAAAAATCACACTAATTTTATGATGCTTTCACCATAAAAACTGGTTTTGCAAACACGCAAGGGATAAGTTGTAGAATGAAAACAACTCTATGAGAAAAAAAGCCTCTAGCCAACATATCTGCGCTAAAAGTCCTGAGGGACTTTCAAAGCATCCTATTTCCCGTCTTATTAGGAGCTGATTTCCACTGAAAACTCTAAGCGGCTTCTAATTTTCAAAGGAGTTCTGTTCAGAAAGTTAGTTTTCTAAACCAGTGTGAAATTGGATGGCATTTTCCCTTTGAAATACTATTATCCCTTGTGGTTATCACCCCAGATTAGCCTACAAAATCCTGTTTAATCCAGCAAGTCTAGGTCTTTAACCATCATTTTCAACACTTTCCAGAAAAATCATAAAAACTTCCCCCCCCTCCTCCCAGGATACGTGTATTATAATTTAGAGCTTAGGTTGTAATAACAATATGGCAAAGTGTCAAGTATAAGTAAGTAGGTAAGTGTACCGTTTTATTTAATCCATGCAATAATCCTCTGAGATGGGTCTCCTGTTATAATCCCCATCCTCGCGGGGATTATAACTAAGACTGAAATTATGTAACTTGCACAAGGACCAGTGCCAGAGTGGCAGACATGGGATTCGAGCCCTGACTGCGTCATTTCGAGACCTATGAGCGCCACTGCCACTCACTGGCGGGAGATTAGCTCCATGGGTGTAAGGAGGGAGGGAGAAGGCACGGGGACAGCCGCACTCCCCAAACCCTGTCTCAGTGGAAGCTGGCTGTCTAGTAAGGAGGGATATTTTCCTTGCACACTTGGTGTCACCCTTGCTCACCAATTAAAGGGACCATTCTGCAACACTGTGCCACTTGGCACTGTAAGTCCCAAACATTAGCAAACGATCTGGAGGCCCCTCCCTGTTATGGCTCCATGAATGTTTCTGCTCCGGGTGTCCATACCTGCAGTCTGATGTATTTCAGCATTCCGGAGTCCTTTTTCCCTTCCAGGTTGGCATCTGAAACCCTCTTCTTCAGAGAAGGTGTCCTCAGGCATGACTTATCTGAGCACTGACAAATACAGGAGATACGCCATGAAGAGCGCTGTGCTCCCTCCAAACCCAGAGCGCTGTTCCCCCCAAGTGTCCAAACAACCTTCTCCATGTCATGGGAAAGATGATTCAGGCCTTTTGGTGGCTCCACACTCTTTGAAAACGAAAGCAGTTAATTTCATAATGAAAAGGAAGCTTAGAGATATGTAACTTGACCAAGCTGCAAAGCTGGTTATTACCAGAATAAGAAAAGAATAAGGACCTCCTGCCTTCCATTTTAGGGCTAATTTTGCTTTAGCAAGCAGTTAAAACACAAATCTTTTAAAAGATTCATTCAGTTAAAACCCACTGTACTGAATAGTCCTTTTGCAGTGCTGGATGTCAGGTATCAATCATTTGGTCACGCAAGAGTGAAAATATTTCAGGGAGGAGCGTTAGAAAGTAAAGATAAAAGATTCACTGAGGCAGTATGAGTTCATTGCATCTATCACCTAGCCCTGAGTTGCACAGATAAGTTGGCTTCTTTAAAAAAGCATCCTTATCCATAGGAGGCAACAGTTCTTTCACACTGGTCCCTTGACCAGGGTCCCAGAATGGGTCCGAGTCGTCTGTTGTAAGCATGCAGGAGACAATGTCTTCCTGACCCCCTAAACGCCACGGAGTGGAGGGGACAGAGCAGCTGGGAGGATGAGAGGTCCTAATGTGTCAGGCCCTTGTTTATTTACCCCCAGTCCAGATCCCTCCTATTTCTGCACTGCAGGCAGGCTGTGCTAAGAGGGATCCACTCCTTTGCATGAATAAATGCCCGTTTGTTTTTCCAGGGCCATGTCAATGAAACACTTTCTCCCTCTAAGCCAAAGGGGGAAAAAAAAACCCTGAAATCCTTAAGAATTTGGAACAGTGCTTCACAGTGTTCTAGATGCAGATATTTTCAAAGAAAAGGCAAATGTAAAAGTATATGCATGTTCCAAGAAAGTCTTTTAAAACTCTGACGAAAAGACCCAAGACAACACATCTATTATGTGACTGGTATGGAATGAACTTTTTAAATGAATCTACTTGGAAATGAATCTGAGATTTTGCTGTGTTTTCTAAAGGTAAAAACTTGGAAACACATATATGGGGAGAGAAAACCTGCATTTTTTTTCTGCAAATGAAAAACAATATACAGCACAAAACACCATGCCTATTTTTTAAAATTTGAAAACTGTTCCAAAATTATATGGAACAATCATTTTCAATATAAACTAAGGGTACAGCTGACTTCCTTTTTAAGAAGTTATTTTAGAAATGGCATCTCTCTTTTATTTTATTTATAAAATAATACATGCAAATTGTAGACTATCTGGAAAACTCAGAAAAACTATGAAGAAGAAAATAAAAATGCCTAAGATCCCCAACCCAGTGACAGCTGTTATTTGTTTCCTTTCAGCCTTTTCTCCCTCGTGCATCTTAACACAACTATGAAGAGGTTATGTATGTGGCACAAAGTTTGAAACAATTCAATTCATGATGATCTTATAACCAATATTTTCCAGGCCATTACAATTATTTTAATTAATTAACTTAATTAGTTTAATTATTTTAAAATGGGTTTTTTGAATTTTGTGAATATTTCATCCTTTTCTCCTTTAGCTGGATATTTTGTCTTCTTAGGGTTACTTATACAAGATACTCTTTGATTAGCTGACAGGAATTTTAAACAGACACAATACTCAGCTTAGAAGAAAAAGAATGAATGTTTATGTTTGCTTCTGAGACTCTGGGAAATATAGGGTTCTGTTTAAATCTTGCCTACTGGGAACAGAAAGTGTAAGTCAAGCTTTTCAGATATCAAATATATAATATTCTGTAACTCTCTCTTAAGAGGCATGGTGTGTTCTGGTGGCCTCATGATAGTTGAAATGCTCCTTTTAGTGGAAAGGGAAGTAGGTTGGAAGTGCTTTGACTCTAAGGTCACAGCTAGTCACTCCTCCTGCATGACCGGTTCATGCTTGAAGGATAGACATGATGGGTTCATGTGTGATGGACACCTGGATACATCGTGTGAAGGTCCTACAGTCCCTCTACTGGTGTGACCGCTAACTCAGACTAACAAGGCTATTATTCAGTAACTTGGTGTAAAACTTGGTTAGAAAAGAACCAGGATCTGGATGGAATGAAAGGCTGGTTTTGAAGGTATCTGTTGGTTATTAATGTTTCTTGGAAGGAGTAGAAATTTCACTGAACTACAAGGTACACATGGGGGTTGGAACTACAGACCAAGTAGGGAAATATAAAGAAACCCAAGACTAGTAACTCAAGACCAAATGCTACAACTTATTACTAACAGAGGATACCACTTACTGCTGAGTCGGTCTACCAGAGGAAGCCCTGTCCATGGGGGGCAGCCCTGAGAGTTGCTAGGGATAGCGGGGAAGGCTTGCCATGGGATTGTGTAGGAAACGAACTGCTGTCCATCTCTTCTCTACAGATGCCATAGACATAGCTGTCATATGTGACTCCCCGTATTCTCTCTTCATCGTGACTACGCTTGATTAAATTTACAATGCAAAACCAAGCCTTTGAGTGGTCAGCGATTTATCACTTGAGATGTTTGGATCAAAAAGAGAAGAACAGGGCCCACCAAATTCCTATCCTAGGGGACTAAGGGACTGTGCATCTGACTCATGTTGCGATGGTTGCTGGGGCTGAGAAGTGATGACTGGGATTTCAGTTTCAGTACGAGATGAAAAAAGGAGAAGGAGCTGGTTAGGGGACAGAGACGAGTGGGCAGGTGGAGATGATGCAGAAAGAAGCAGAGATGAGAGGCCGTGTCCCTTCTGGGATGCACCGCAGCTCTGGTTCTCATTCCTTTGAGGCCTGGCTGTGGTTTCCACCTGTCCCTGGGGCCATGAGATTCTGCTACATCTTTTGAAGAAACTTTCTAATTACTTGAATATATTTCAAAGGGTTTCTGTTCCCTACAACAAAAGATTATTAATTAGGAGGGCATGAAAATTATTTTAAATAAAAATTGTTATTTACCTATTTAGTAATTCAAGACTATTGAGTTAACCATATGCCAGGAACTGAACTGACTTCTGGAGATACACTGAGGAGCGAAGCCCCTGCCACGCTTGCCCTCGGGGGGAGTGTGTGTACTAGGAGAGACTGGAAACAGATATTACCCCTTCTCCTTTTAGGCCAAAAGTAAAAAATAAAAAATGTTTATTTTCTCATTTTTTTTCCATCAGCAAGCACTAATGGAACATTTACTGTATTTTGCCATGTATAATGTGCACTTTTTTGACCAAATTTTTGAAGGAAAAATAAGGATGTGTATTATACAAGGGTAGTACTAATTCTGTATCTATTTAAATGTTTTTAATTCTTTTATTTATGCTTATGCATTAAAAGTGTAACTCTAAAAAGCAATAATGATATCTGTATGCAAAATAATGCCCCAAAGTATGATAATCGGTTTTGTTTCTAAATATAAATAAATAAAAATTGAATTAAAAAATTAAAATGTTAATATCAATATTACATTAAATTAAAGTTAAAGTTAAAATAATTTTTTCCCTGAGAGTTTGGGCCAAAAACATAGTGTGCTTTATACCCGGCAAAACACAGTACTCTATTTAGAACATAGCATTAGACAAATACAGATATGTAGTAAAAATCAAAGAATTCTTTGGTGAACCTAATATATGTACAGTGATAGTCTGCAAAACCCTTCAAGTGTGGATGGGCACTAAAATAGATTAACAGAGTGTAAGTGAGCCTCCCTGCACTGAAATGCCGAAGAACGGACTAATCAAAGTGAGAGGAGTTAACAGAATGTACCAGCTGCCACATAGATATTCCACCATAAAACCAATTAAAAAGAAGACAGGAACAAAAATACCCATTTCTCTTAAGACTTGATTTTCTTCAGAACCACTGCTTTTGTTCTGGATTGACTGCCCACTCTGTTTTCATGTGGGCTCTGGGACGGCAGGCATTGTTTGTTTCTGTGACAGACTCAAAACAGACCAACGGAAATATCACGAGAGGGAAGAAACAGAGCTTGAACAGGGGGCTGGCATTTTGGAAATAAAATAGTTGTCACAGAAGACTCAATGCATCTTTTCAGGTCTCCACCTGTGGGACTAATTTAAACAAGATTAGCAGACAATCCCTTCTGCTTTATTTTCTCTTTTTCCTTTCAGAAATGCAAGCAGTGCAGGAGGTTTCTGATGCTTCAGCCCAGTGTCCTGGTTGGCTCAGAGGTGGAAGCTACTCATGAAACACCCAGAACTATATAACCGACTCGTTAGCTATCACACAGGATACAAAATGTGTAAGGCTGCCTCAGTTCTCAAGAAGTTTATAAGGTAGAGGAGAAACAGGGATATCCACAGTCCCATTCTGCAGACAGGGTGATTTTAAAACCTCTTAGTGCTTGCCGCTAACCCGCAGGATAAAGAGCAACGTGACTTCCAACAGTCTTGACAGCACTGTGAGGTCTGGTGTCTGTTTGCCTGTGCAGCCTCATCATGTGCCAAGGCCCTCTGTGTTCCCGCCAAGGTTCTTCGTACTCATTTCTTCTCTGTGGTTGGAAAATTCTGTATCCAGTTAGTATCTGTGCATCCGCAGTCAAAGCTCATCTGTCACTTTATTGGAGAGGCTGTCTTAGTTCACCTGACAAGTTCAAAATCTTGTTCATAAGCTTTCTCAGTACAGTATGTCTCTCCTTCATTATGCTTTTTGTTGTTGCAATTCTACATCAGTTTAGAAGATTTTTTTGATTAATGTCTATCTCTCTAACTTAACTAGATTGTGTGCATCGTATGAGAACATGGACTATATCTCTTTTGTTCATTAATATACCCAACACATAGTATGAACTTGGCATGGTCCACCAGTTCTTTAAAAATTTGTTTAACAGGCAGACGGATGGATGAATTGATGAATGATTAACTGAGTTAAGAATCACAAAAGCACAAGTAAATGCCTGTATCATTTAAAGGAAGAAGGAGGGAAGAAAAATAACATTACTTGTCCACCTGCAGTGTGCTCTGTGGTTAATATCAGGGAGATCAGAAAAGGTTTTAAGGAGGAGGTAGCATTCAAGTTGGATCTTGAAGGATGTTTGGATTTGGTCATGTGCAAACTTACAGGTGAAGGTACCATTGGAGCAGATATGGCAGAAAGAAATCTCAAGGTGTTTGTGGTGAACAGTGAACATTAATTATATTTTTAAAACTTCCAACATAGATCATTTTCTACTAAAGCTATGGGAGTTTTATATGAAGAACTTACCTAAATGAAAATAGCTTTTCTTTGAATGTAGTGTTATTTATGTTTGACATACAGGTGTGTGTGTGGGAGGGGGGTGTGTGTATGCCTATACACATGCATACACACAAACATGCATATGTATATATTTTCCTTTTTATATCACCATTTAGCAGTTCATGCAGTGTATTTGTTACCTACATTTATCTATTCCCTGCCTGCTTTCCCTTCAGAATTTGTTTAGTTTGAATGTCATGAGATGCAATAAAGTCTAGCTAAAAAAGCCCTGACTTTGATATTCCATATTTCTAAATTAAAGTCTAAATGAATACATTATACATGTGAACTGTGGACAATCCCATCTTTCTGAGCCTCAACTTTTTTCATCTGCAAAACTGGGAGAACAATATTTCTTGTACAAGGTTTGTACAAATCCAAAAGCACTTTGTTAATGACATACACCTGCCTTATAACCTCACACAGATGCTTCAAAAAAACACTAAAAGATCATATCCCAGAAGATTAATTAGCATCCTTAATTGAGATGCAAGAGATACTTATATTTTTCATTATCCAAAATTTCTTCAATGAACCTCTGTTGCTTTCATAATAAAAAAGTTGTAATTAAAAAAAATCCCTTTGCAAGTGCTAAAACATTAAAAATTGCTACACGACTCAACTGTGAAGTTTTTGTTTTGGCTCATGTTCTCTAGTTGTTTGATCTGTATGTTATTGTCATCTCCCCAACCCGCCAAACCTGGCTTGCAAAAGGTCCTCTGCTCCCACTTATTTATTTTTTATGTCTCCCAGAATATCTGGCCTAATACTGTGCCAACCACAGGTGCACAATGAATGCCCATTGAAATGAATCGGTATTATATAAAAATTGCTGCAAAGCAACTTGGGAGAAGCAGCTGCAGGGGCAGCCAGCAGCACCCGGTCGGGCATCTTGGCCACCAGGCCTGTTCAGGGGGAGGTGGATACTCCAGGGCTTCCCTGGCAGGAAGAGGGTGGCCCTTGCTGGCTACTGACCTCTTCTGCTAGGTCAGCTGTCGGGAAAGCACAGCTGAGTGCTTAGAAAATGCAACAGTTCCTTGGAGGAGTTTCTAGGTCTGATTTGACCTAAATTATTTTGTTATTTATTTATCTGTGACTACTTGGGTCATTTATTACTTATTTCTTAATACATAATTGTACCAGCTTCCTGTTGTTGCTGTAACAAATGACTACAGCTTTCACGTCTTAAAACAACACAAGTTTACTATTTCTACAGTTCTGAAGGTCAGAAGTCTACAGTGGATTGGCAGGGCTGTGTTCCTTCTGGAGGTTTTGGGGAATCATCCATTTCTTTATCTTTTGCAGCTTCTAGAGGCCGCCAGCATGTCTTGGTTCATGGCCCTGCCTTCTCTGACCTCTGTGTCTCTTGTCACATCTCATTCTCTGCCTCCCTGCCTCCTTCTTTCACTTACAAGGACCCTCATGACTGCATTGGGCCACCTGGATCATTCAGGATACTCTTTCCATAATAAGATTCTTTATTCACGTAGTCAAAATTTCTTTTGTCACATGAAGTTACATAGTGACAGGTTCCAGAAAGTAAAATGCAGACATCTTGATGGAACCAGTCTGCCTACCACAATAAGCTACTCATCGCCACCACCCCGTGAGTTCGTATTTATTCATGGATATAAGACAAAACCTGGGAAAAGATTCCATATTTGTTTACAGACACGAAGACGAAGCGTTTGTCTTTCTTGCGCTCAGCTTCTCCCTTTGCTCAGAATTACAGGGACCTGGAGCTTGTGATACAACTGCAGTGGCCTGAAGTTTTTATTTCCAGATAAAATATTATTAGGACATCATTCTCCCCCAAACTGGCATATTGGCGACTGACCATTCACTCACCTCTTTCTGTTTCTTGCCCCGGAGAGCCACGCTGCTGATGTTGTTGCTCTCCCGAAGGGAGTCCACGGTGTCTCCATAGAGCAGCTTGATGGCCCGGACCAGGCGGGCACAGGAGCGGCTGTGGTGCAGGTAGCAGTGGGGGTGGCAGTAGTCAATGTGGGTGCAGATAAAGCTTTGCTGGTTGCACAGCAAGATCATGACCTGGAACACAGACATCACTGAAACTCAACCAAGCAACCAGAGTGCAGACTATGAACCTACATGTGAGTGGAAGGTGGAAAGTCGAAGTTCAATCTTCCTTGATGGGTCCTGAAACCGCAATGATTCCATAAAATTCCCACAAGAGAACAGAGTTGCAAGCCTTTCTGAACTTGGCTTCTTCTGCTCCTTCATTTCACATTTGTTAGAAAGATCTTTTTGAAACAATAAACATTTAAGTGATATTCAAAAACTTGAAATGATTATTATGGAGTATATGGTTTCCACTTATTTTCAAATGAAGCTTCTGAACTTAAAGCATACTATTTTTTTTTTTCAGCTCTTATATTATGGAAGAAGCCAGATAGAAGAGCATAAAGTGATGAGAAGTTTTGTCCCAAAGGACTGGCTGGCCTTTGACAGCTGTCGTATGGTCTTTAAGGCCAGCCCTACTCGCATGGACCTTGAAAACATTTTTTTTGTATTTTCCACCCTGACCTATAACCGTCAACTGGGCCTTGAACTCCACTATAGAGTTTTATTTCCCCTCTCCAACAGATAATATTTCGCTTTGTCTTTTGGGCCATTCCAGCTCCTCACTGGTGGCTTGGTATGGTTCAAATCCTCACATCTCCTGGACTTTCCAATTCACACTCCTGAAAAGAACGCAGTTCATTTAAAGATACAGTTGTGTTAAGGTAAGAAATGAAAGCCTATGCGTTTGTTACTTCTTCAGTTGCCTTCCTAAAAAGGCAGGAGCATTTCTAGAGCCACGAGGTTAGTCAGATATGTCTAAAGTAATCCTCAGAACATTTCCACCCTTCCTGAAATTAGTTCCCACCCAACATCTTGCCTGGGAGAAATGTGGGCCATATTGGAATGGAGAACACAGAGTAAGTCTACATGGGGAAGGCAAATCCATCCTGCTAGGCAGGGCTGCCACACGGTTCCTTAGGACTGAGAGGCTTTGCTTATTCTGAAGCAAAGAAAAACAGCAGTAGCAACCAACTCCATACCCCTGTCAAATATAGTTATCAATACCTCATACTCATCAAAGTTTTTTTAAAAACATGTAAGTGTTGTCTGAGCAGAATCTCTCAAGATTCCCTAGGTAGCCCGGATGTACCTACTGATAGTGGTGTGAAGCAGAGCACCTGTAAGAACCGTAAGGTTTCCCTTGTTATTCTCAAATCTGGCTATTTAAGAGAAACACCAAGGAAGCTTAACAATAACAATAACAACAAAAACAAGTAAACAAACGTAAAAAGGAACATATTACTGACTTTAGTTATTTAGGAGATTCCAATTTAGTAGATCTGCGGTGGAGGTGGAAGGGACCTGGAAATGAAGAATTTTAAAGTTCTGTCCATGGATGTCCCTTGGGTGACTGGTTTTTCTTCTAGGCATTTGCTGAGCATAAGGCCAAGCAGAAACCAGCTGACAAAGCACAGTGAGATTTTGGTAAATTCACCGCGATGGGTAAACAAAATGAGAGTTTCTGACCCATTGAGAATGAGCGGCCCTGGGACACACCTAAAACCCTCACTGAGAACCTCACGAGGTTTCATACTAAGAGGCGTGTGTGTGGAGGGGGCGAGGAGGGGTAGAAATAGTACAAGTCAAGTCAGCTTAGCTCCTTATTGGACTGAGGTGATATTCTTTGCTGTCTGCCAGACGATACGATGAATCGTCTCTGGAGAGAGCTAATGTCATCTGGAGCCTCTCTAATTTTATAACTTAAAAAAATTAACAAACTTTGAGAACAGTTTTAGGTTCATAGCAAAAGTGAGCAGAAGGTATAGAGAGTTCTCATGTATCGTCTGCCCCCACTCATGCACGGCCTCCTTCAACATCAACATCGTCCCCCAGAGGGGTACATTTATACCAAAGAACCTACATTGATGCATCGTTATCAACCAAAGTCCACAGTTTATATTAGCGTTTACTCTTGGAGTTATATATTTTATGGGTTTTGACAGGTGTATGACATGTATTCATCATTGTACCTCTATAATTTTCATCCACCATGTTTAATAGTCAATGAAATGACAAGGCATATAAAGGAGCCAGACCAAGAAAAGCCAACAGATTCATATATTGGAGTTACCAGCCATGGACTTTAAAATACCTATAATCAGTTATGATCAAAATGTGAATTTAGAATATATTTGCTGAACGATAATGAACATATGATATATCAAACCTGTGTGTTACAGCTAAAGCTATTTCTAGAGAACATTTATCGTTTTAAATGAATATGGTAGCAAAATGGATGAAAATCAATACTAAGTGTCTAGATCAAAAAATTAAGGAAAGAAAACAAATTGAATTCAAAGAAAGTAGAAGGAAGCAGAAATTAATGAAAAAAAAATCAAACATTCCAGAATAACAAAACCAAAAGCTGGTTCTTTGCCTAATAAAACTGACAAATTTTAATAAGACTTATCCAAAAAAGAAAGAGAATAAAAGATATAACCTACCAGTATTGGAAAATATAAAGGCACATCAATGTAGATCCTACAGAATTTAAAATGGTCTTAAGAGAATATTATAAATACCCTTGTGCTAATAAATGTGAATATTTAGATTAAATTCACAAATTCCTAGGGACAAAAATCAATTTAGTAAACTGCTCCCAGAGGAAACAGAACATCTGAATGGTCTTAATCATATTAAATAATTGAATCTATAATTAAAAACCTCCCTACAAAGAAATTTTTAGGTCTAGAAGGCTTCATTAGTGATTTCTTCTAAATATTTAAGGGGTGCTTAATTGTTAAGTGTCTAAACACACTTCCAGAGTGTTTATGTGTAGAACATCACACAGAAAAGCTAAAAAAATGTATTATTAAAGGAAATTTAAGGAGGCCTAAATAAGTCGAGAGACATAAATCAATGGAGAGATAGTCTATTTTACATGTGGGAAGACTCACTATACTAAGCGATATCAATTTCTCAAATTCAAACAATCTTTATATTCAATGCAAGGCTGCTTTGGAAGCTTTTTTTTCTGGAAATTGACAAGGTGATTCTAAATGCAAATAGATCTAGCCAAGAATAGACTAGGCTATCTAGAAGAAACACAAAGTTGTGGGACCTACATAGGCAAAAGAAACAGACACAACAGAGTATCTAGCATATGACGTAATTTATGCATTTCAAAAACAGACAAAATTACTCTATGGTGTTAGCAGTTATAATGATGAGTACAGTTGGGGGAAGGTAGTGACTGGTAGGTGGCCTCAGCAGGGCTTCTAAGATGTGGCTAAGGTTCTTCTCTACCTGGTGGTAGTTACAAAGATGTGCTCACTTGGTGAAAATTTATTGAGCTATACACACAGATTTTGCTTGCTTTTCAATATGTAGGTTAGATTTCACTAAAAAGTTTGCTTTAAAAACAGCTGCCTCAGAAATTCTCAAAATCAGGCTGTTCTGGGGACTATTTCAGTAATGAAGGCCAAGCACTGTATATCTGAGGAGCATCATGAACCAGCCAGCCCTTATCTGACCCTACCAGGAAGTCACACTGAAATCAGAGGAGATAGTGCCAGTCCATATCTAAGATCCACGACAGTGCTGGCAGCACCCTGCCAATTGTGGATCTGATGCTTTGCTTCCTCACCTTTCTCCCTCTTCCTTCATGCCAAGTTCAAACCTTGAACTCCAGTCTATGCTCAGTTTCCTTGGGATCGACCCCTCCTGCTTGTATGTCTGGATGGCCCTCTGAAGTGTGCTCTTCTTTATCTTAGCATCTCCATGTCCTGGTTTACAATTTGATCTACTCCAGACTTGAGAATGACACTGTGACCTTGCTTTCCGCATTTGTGATCACCTGCATAAAGCTGATCACGATGCCTTGCCTATGTCTCTCATCTGGCCCAGGTACTCATGGTTTTCTCTGACTTATAGTGACCCAAGAGCCAGCCATAATAAAGGATGCTTGGTCTTAGTTAAACATAAAAGGAATATTATCCCGCAGAACGCCAATCCTAGTGAGGTTCACCTGAGACGTAAGCCTGTGGTTTTCCTTGCGGACTAAATCAGATTGATGGTTTTAGTATAATCTTTCGTCCTCCCATCATGGATATTTCCCAATGCCAAAAGAAAATTGGTCTCAGGTATCTTTCTGAGGTTCCTACTTACATGAAGCCATGACATGTTCCTGTGGTAATTTTCCTCTGTGCCGGCAGTACTCATTCCTTCGGGCTCGATGCTGGGCTCACTTGCACTCCAAGGACTCCCTTCTTTAAAAGAAAAATATCAAGAGAGGTTGTATTGTTTAGTCTCCTTGGAGAGCACGTCGACACGGTATAGTTCTCCATGCTTTTGAATCCTAGGGCAGGCTACCACGGCCCAGTGGGTTTCAGGGCAGAGCATTGGTTTTAGCGGAGGGATGTGACTAGGAGCTGTCCCCTTCGCCAGCAGCGGAACTGGCAATTACAAAGACATTTATGATCTCTGTTATGGTGGCTCCCATTCTGAGACATGGGAGCAGAGAAGAAAACAGAGTCCAGTCCTTGAATTGCTGAGATGAGCAAGGTGTTGGTTGTGTGCCCAAATCCACTCCAGGCCGCCCAGATCTTGAGGTATAGTTAGGTGGGGACACTGAGCAACCTGCAATGGCCGCCCGAGAGCTACTGCCTCCACTCCTGCTGTTACTCGGGCTCGCGCTCCTGTTCTGAACGCCGCCTGGCTTTGCTCTCAGAGTTATTCAAAGATGGGCGGGTGCTTCGGAAAAAGGAAGGGGGTTTGGAAGCAAATGTGTCTAATCGTGACCAAAAAAGGTTTCCTTCTGTGGCAAAGTAGGAAGGGGATATCTCTCAGGAATTCACTGCTCAGTATACTAGATAACAAATCTTGGTCCTCAAATCTGAAAGCTTTTCTGGGTCTTTTCTATGGCGAAATTAGGCATCTAGCCTGGCTATTTTGACTCAACTGGTGAGGCTAAATTGACCAATTCAAATAATTAATTGAAAAAAATTCTCCCAAATTTAATGATACTGCTACAGCTTCGACAAAAGAAGTCACAGAGTTTCTCTTCTTGTGTCCTTAAAAAAATAAGCTGAATCTTAAGTAACGCATAAATTAGCTCTTTTCACAGGTGAAGGTGGGTAGGTATAGAAACATTTCCTACGTTAAACTCACTTTGATGAGATATACTCAGCTTCTATTTCACCAGACTTAATTGGTAATTTATCCACATTTCCCGACTCACTTCTGAAACAACTTCCTTAGAAAGGATAACTTCCTCTTTTGCTGCTCATACAAGGACTAAATGACCAAGAAAGCGTACTTCAACTTTTACTTAATAGTTAAATTCTAGGCAGCTGGTAAGTCATATCTGCATGTCTGCTTAATCTTCTTCCTTTCTATGAAGATGATAACCGGAGCCCATAGGACTAACACATTGTGGGATTCAGAGTCTCCCTGGATCCCACAATGACAACCTACAACCCCAGTGTTCTGACTATACAGAGCTCATCCTCAGGTGTTCAGCACACTTTACTGTCATCCCCTAATTTATCTTTAGAGCAGCCGTTCCGGGTAGGGAGCGAACAAATAGAATTATTCCCATTGTTTAGTTGGAGAAAACAAATTCCTGAGACACTGACTTGCTGAAGGTCACTAATGGTCAGGTCGAGACAATCACTCCTCTCTGATATTTTGGTTGCTTTTAATGTGAAATAGAGACTTTTGAACATAGAGGGCCTGTAGCTAGCTCTCCCCTATACCTATGTTTTGGTTTAAAGCTCCTGAGCAGAAAAACAGATGATGCACAAACATCCGGATTTCAAAAAAATTGCCCTGTCATTCATGTGTTTTCTCTGAAATATATACTCGATTTCCTCACTGCTCAAACTGCGGCCCTTGATCCAGCAGCACCAGCTTCACCAGGAAGCTTGTTAAAAGTCTAGACTCTCCGGCTTCCACCCCAGGCTGATTCAGAACCTGAATTTTATCAAGACTCCCAGGTAACCCATGTGCACACTGAGGTTTCAGCAGCTCTGCTTTGGAGGGTAGTGTGGTTTTCAGACTGAATGGATGGTCTAAACTATGGCTCCGCCCTCCACCTTTTGATGCGCAAAAAAATGAACTTCACCTTTTTCAGGTTTGGGCCCTGCCTTCCTACCCCCCACGTCCCTGCACACCCCACTCCTCTATGTTACCTAGGTCAGTGACAGTGTCCCTGCTCTGGGACAGCTGCAGCTCCTCAGCCTCAGACTCTGAGTCCTGCCGTGATAACTTGCTGCTCTTTAAGCTGCCGACCCGGCGAATGCTGGACAAGGAACCCCCCTTCTTCACCTGGAAACTGCAGGTTCCTTTAATCTGGAGCAGGCGGGAACCTCCTATCCTGATCTTCCTGCTGGGAACTGTATTGAAAGAATAAAATAGGGCTTTTCCCCCCTTAGTTTTCCCCGGCCAGCATTAGATCCGAGCTCTCCCCAGCATGTGCCTGAACAGCCCCCTCTCTGTTGGCTGGGATGGGCAGTGTGTCTGGACAAGGAGCTTCTCGCAAGCCCGCTGTCAGGGGCGGCTTTGCTGGGCAGGCAGGAGGCTGGGTCCCCCTGGAAGGGCTGGTGCAGCTTCTTTCCTGGACACATAGCTCATCGGTGCTGGGAACAGCCTGCTCCCTTCCTGGCCCAGGGTTCACAAGCATGAGTGTGCCCTTGCAGCAGCATTTTCTAGGACTGTTCGTGATTTCAACAAAACCACAAACCATTTGATTCTGTTTTATTTTTCAAATGGGACTTGCAGAGTTCCCGGAGTTACGTTAACCCCTTCATGTAAACCCTTAATTGTGGAATACCTCATTAAGAAATAAAAACAAGAGGCACTTCTCTCTCCAACCGACAGCAGTGGGTTCCGCTCAGCTCCTCAGCCAGGGCACTAAAGGATCTATTTTCACTGGGGTGCTTTGGGTGAACGTGAGTGGGAAATGGTTCCATTTTCAATGCACCTAGTGATTTCTCAGTCAAAAGGGTGGGGGAGATAGGAGTCCAAATGTTGCAATGCCCTGGGCCCACCTTACAGTTGTCTATATATACCAGGAAGAACATGCATTATTCATCTTTAGGGTTCTGGAAGAAACAGTCATTGGTAAGGAAAATAAAAGGGTAAAAAAATGTTTAAACTTCAAATCTACTTTTTAAACCAAAAGCATCCTTATTTCCCGTAGTCTTACACACACCTCTTTCTTCTATTTAACACTTGGCATCAACACACATTGATTTTTGTAGGAGTGGGGTGAAGAAGTTTTCAGAGCTTAAAGTCGTTATCAGGAAGGGGTTGTTTTTGTCAGGTGTCCTTCTTAAGATACGATCAAGATTTCAAACTAATTATTTGTGGCATAGCTATTAATATATATTTTTTCTGTGTTCTGAATCCAAGTCCTAGAACTTATTTGATGCCATTTGTCCATCTCTTGATACACCTCAGGCTTGTGCTAATTATTCAGAGAGGCTGAGTGTCTCTGGTTGTATCCATTCAGACCAGGCAGCAGAAATCAACTTATCACCCCTCCACCACATTTGGGTTACCTGTGTCTCCCCTCAGAACACTTTAACATTTAGTTCTTTTTTTAAAAATTTAATCTTTAATGTATTTTTTTCCCATTACCAGTTAGTCCCCTTATACTCCCTCCCCGCCAGCGGCTATTAATATTTTTTAGTGTCCCTACCAAGGAAGATTGCATTTGAGTGTCAGGTTTCTCACTCACAGGAGAGTTAATATGTGACTGTGCGGCAGAACTCACACAGCTTAGGCATTAATTAAATGTGTATTTTTAATGTCATATAAAGGAGCCCAGAATAATTTCTTTTGAATAATGTGAAATGTTTCATCTCTGATTTACCTTTGTGATTGAGAAAGATGAAAATTATCCCACTCAGCTGGCAAAGACCCCATGAAACCCACTGAACATACCTGGACAGAAGTTCATATCGGGATAAACATTCTTGCAGTATAGTTTGATAAATTCTATAAAGACTATAGACCATACTACTCTATTGTAATTATAGCAAAAACTCATCCACTACATTTTTCAATATTATTCTTAAGGTTGATCGAGACTTTATGACCTACCTGAAATACATTTGAAATAAAATGTAATGATCATTTTTAGTAACTGTTAATACAATTTCATTTGTAAAGAGGCATACTCCAGTATTCTTTGCCTGATTTCATGATACCTTTCAGCATACCAATGCAGCAAAATAACCCAAATTAATGTGACCTGAAAAACATTTAATTTGGAAAACCTGTTCTACCACCAAAGATAATTGGAAACAGCATTGAAAAATCAGTGTTCAGAATTATGGCATTGGTTATTTACAAAGGACACAGCAGTTAGAATTCATATTTGGTTTTGTACATGAAAAACATCAGTTGAGATTGGACAGCTTTGAATTGCAGCCTTTATCTCCATGACAACAAGAACTGGCATGAAAGTGAAGCAAATTCATCTAAATTAGATATCTCTTTTTCCCTGTTCTCTCACCCTGCATTATATCCATTAGCGAGTCCTGCTGGCTCCACACATCAAAATTCCAGAAGCTTTTGAAAGCCCATCACCTATTCGCTGGACTAATGTAACTACCTAACTGCTGCCCCTTACCCCGACTCCCACAGTGCAACTCACCTTAAACACAGAAATTGTAAATGCACATATTATATCATTTTTCTGGTCAAAACCTGCCAACAACTCTCAGACACACTCAAAATAGAACTAAATGTCTAAGCATATCAACAGAACCTATTTACTTGCCCTCTGCTTACCTTTCTGAGCCCATCTCCCCTACCACTCTTCCCATCTCTTTCTTTCCCAATCATGTTGGCCTTCTGCCCTTCTTCAAAAACTCCAAGTTCATTCCTCCACAAGAGCCTTGTTTTCAAGTTTGTCTGTTTGGAAAACTCCTCCTTTGGCCCTTTGCATGACTTGCTCTTTCACTTCCTACAAGTCTCTGCTTACCGTCACTTACAGATCCTTCTCTGAACTATAGTCTCAACTGCAGTGACCAACTCCAAGTCACTACCAATTCCCTGACCTTAATTTTTTTCCTTCATACTTCTTATTTCTACTTAAAAGTCTAGTATGGAACATTATTCACTATTATGTTATTAACTATTAGCTAATAAAAACTGAAAGATATGTGGGAAAATTTTCCTCTTCTTGGTTGTTTTCTGAGAACCTGTGGAAGTGACTCACATACAGTAGGTGCTCAGTAGATGACTGTTGAATGATCAGAAATGTCTTGTCTTTGGAATACCAGTCTTAGTTTATACTTGGAATATGGGTGAAATAATTTGACAGACCTTGCTTGGAGATTTTAGGCAGATATTTTTAGTGTAAAAATTATTTCATGTCAGTTTTCCTCAGTAGAATCTATATTATCCTCAGGTTATTTATTTCAAGAACTGACATTTTTTTCCTTTTATAAAAACAGATGGTATGAAATTTTAAGTCAAATTTTTATAAATTGAGTTAGCAGGGTTCCCACGGTCCCGAGTTTTGCACAGAATTTAGCAGCTGGTACCTGCTTATCAAAAGAATGAAAGAATATTTATGAATCTTTGGGAAGATTTTTGCTAACTGGTTAAGAATATTTTATGGATACATTTTCATTTTATTTATAGTTTGTTTTCCACTTTGCTCTTCACTTATTAAACAATCTCTATATATTAACATAGTTATTTTATGAGGAGAAAAAGCACTAAGCAGTTGTGTCTGAATATTGAGTAGTTTACACGAATAACAATCATGAAATTAAAGTATTCTTAAAATTAATGATGTTTTATGTCTTAAAATGGTATACAATTTACTCTGCTGAAGTTTAACCATGTCAGTATTAGAAATTTTTATTTCAGCTAATTTAAATAATAATTAGCATAATAACTTTGATGAGCAAAAAAGAAAATCCCTTTGGGCTATGTTTAAAAGATGGAAGTTTTGCATCATACGTGGTTATCCTTGTCTAATCTGGAAATATTTGAAAATATATTGACTTGGTACTTCTTCACATGCAGAAATTGCTAAGACTTGGCCAAAAAAAATACTTGGTTCACCAAAAGTTCATTATGATATAACAGTTATTTGCATTTTTAATGTGTTGTGACAAGAATCTTGAAATATTAAAAAAATAATTCCAGTGTATAAAGATTCCTTGCAATATTTTAAAGATTTTGTTTTCTCTATCTAGAGTTATTCCTTTTGAGAATTCTTCAGCCCTTAGATCATCAAACATTCATGGAGTCACTGTCTACAGGACACTAGAAAATACTAAATGCATGGAATGACCTTTGACTCTTTTTATAAATGTGATATTATTTTAATTAAAATTAATTAGAAAAACATTGATGTGCAATGGAATTTAAGAAATAGCAAAATCAGAGAAGTAAACAGTTTAAAGGAGTCTTTAGAGAGAAAAAACTTTGCAATCATATTTAGAATTTTCTGCATGGGTTCAAATCTATATGCTCAATGACAATAAGTGTTTACTCAGTCCCTATTATGTAACAGGTGCTGAGTTTATACTTTAGTTGCCTTTTCTCATTTAAAGCTTTCAACAGCACAATGTGATAGGTGTTATTAACTAAATTTTACGGAGAAGAAAATTGTGACTTAGAAGGTAAAGTAACTGGGAGACGGTCATACAACTAGTTACTACATTTTAGCGTTTTAAGATGCACATTTTAAAGTACGTGAAATTGAGATTTGTCTTATAGATGACGATTTATTAAGGTGCCAGGTGGCAGTTTTGACACATGTTGTTATTGCTTGTGTCCATGTGAACATCTAAAGCATCAGCAACAAACTTTATAGAATGGGTACCAGTGTCTTTTAACACCAACGAGCCAGATGGTAGCCAGGTGGAGGGGTGGGTGAGGCGGTAACTCAGACGCATTTGGCAATATTCCTGAAGCAAGAATTGAAGGTAGGCTAGTTTCATACAACTGAATACTTCCTGAAGTTACTAGCACCAATAGCTTTATTCCTTTTATAGATTAATTTAAAAGTGATGTATTGCTAACATTCTAATGACACAGAAGACAGCGTCATTTAAAAAAAACAACAACAGGCATTGACAATTTTGAGTTGAAAAGTGACTAAGAAGTTTGAACCCTGAATTGAAGACAGTTTAAAAACGCTTTAACCAGTTTATTTATAGTTTTCTTTGTTTTTGGCTGCACAAGAATAATACATACTGAAAATAAAATTTCATGTCTAATTAAGTCTGAAAGTTTTCTTTCAAAAGGAATGAATCACAAACTAAGAGATAAGAAAACGTTGCATACAAGCTGAATTGGGAGTATTTTTTCTTTCTTATTGGTATATAAAATAATGTTTCGTCTTACAAATGATGGCATCTTAGAGCCAATGGGGGACGGAGAGCTGCTGAGCTGGAACTAGAACCCGAGCCTCTCTGACTAAAGAGTCCAACTTCCAACTAGGATGGTTTTCTACCCCAAGAAATGAACACAGTACTGTATGGAGCCAGTAATCTCAGACTTCTTTGGGTGCGCAATGCCATAGCTTAGACTCCAGGTCAAATATTCTACAAGAAACTCTGAAACGTGAAATAATCTTTGATTTTTCATACCTTTCTTCTCCTCAACACCTGCATCAGATTTGAGGGTGTGGCTACTACTGTGGAGGGAATCTTTTGAGTCTTCATTTTCATCCAGGACCCCAGCAAAGCTGATCTTCCTCTCGTATCTGTGTCGGTCCAACTCAGGGTCCAAACGAAGTCTGCAGCTCTCCAAGTCCTGCAATGTCAGTGAGGAGCACGTGAGTGCTGGCATCTCCCCAGCCCGGTGGTGGTCTTGTGGCAAAACTTCTGTTTTGAGTTGCATAGAATTGTATTTGAATAGCCCTATTCCCCTTTATCTAATGCAAACTAGGTTGTGGCCATAAAAATATTTTTAAATTAAAAAGCTTTACCTAACCCATAGTTTTTCACTTTTCCAAAAGCACAGACCTCATTCCAAATCTAGAACTAGCCTCACCTCCTGGTACTTTGTGAACAGTTTTAACTAAAATTGGTATTTATCTGTTTATTAATCACACATTGAGTGCATTGAGAATGAATGTATTAGTACTGGGGAATAAATAAGAAATGCTTCTTGCCCTAAAGGAGGTCAGAATCCCAAGACAGAAGCCAAGGAGGCAAACAAGGAATAAATTCCAAGGTTGAGAGACAGAGTAAGTGCTTAGAAATCACGTTTGGAGGCTGTGGTTGGTAGGACAATGACCCTCCAGAGATGTCCATGTCTTAGTCCCTGGAACCTGGTGAATATTGACATTGCAACAGGGACTTTGACCATGTGATTGAAGTTAGGAACCTTGAGATGGGAGGTTATCCTAGTTGGGTTAGGCTTAACCTAATCACACAAATCTTTAAAAATGGACACCTTTTCCAGGCTGTGGTCCGAGGAAGAAGGGTGAGAGATGTTAAACTAATGGCTTTGAAGATGAGGAAGAGGCCACGAGCTAGGGAATGTACGTGGCCTCTAGAGGATGGGAAAAGGTCGAGGAAACAGAGCTTTCCCAAGAGCCCCAGAAGGGAGTGCAGCCTTGCCAACACCTTGATTTTAACCTGGTAAGACCTATATCAAACTTCTGATCTCCAGAACTTTAAGACGACAGGTTTGGACGGTTTCAAACAACTAAAACTGTGGTAGTTTGTTACAGGAGAAACAGAAAACGAATACAGAGGTAATGCTGGAGTTCAGTTTGAAGGTTAAGTAAAGTTAGCTCAGAAAATAAATGAGGAAAGGAAGTTCAGGTTTAGGAAACTTCGGGTGAGAGGGCCAGAAGCTCAAGACACAATCACACAGTGTCAGAATTTCTCAATCCCTTCTTGCTAGACCTTAGTGTAAGGGGTTCCATTACTGTTTATCAACAGAATGTTTCCTATGCCTTAAAGTAAGCCTTGAGGTATGTAAATATTTAGTAGGGGTTTGGCCTGTGAGGCTCCAGGTTGAAAATTTGTTCTATTCTGTGAATGATGACTAGTTCATGCTGAAGATTGTATTTAATTATTAATCTATAAAATACTTTTGGAGAATCTGATAAAAATATATAAAATGCCAACTTTATTTTTATAAAGCATTTCTTCTAATTAGGACAGAACATACCTCTGGTTCAAATATTTTTTAAATGTTTGAAAAAAATATCTTTTAAAACTCAGTTTGCACGAATAATATTTTTAATTATTATTAATAAATCAATTTTATACTGTACATGTTTTTTATTCTTCCCCCTTGGATTAAGAACAGAAATTATCCTTTGGTACTCAGAAAATTCTATCACGTCTAGAAAAACAAGGGAACTGCATGAAATCTATGTAACATTGTCAAAAAATACTCAAAAGTAGTTATCTCTTCCAATTTCTTCTTTTACTTACTTGTCAAAATCCCACCTATCTTTCAAAGCTACATTTAAGTGTGACTTCCTCTAGAAAGGTTCTTCAGATTCTGCCAGCCCCTTCTTTGGCCAACCATGGCCCTCTTCTTTCTCAGGGCCACTCGTATTTTGCTTCGGGAAGCAGCTTTGCACTCTTGGTTCTCCTGCTACAGTGTGTTCATGCCTCTATCACCTCCACCCCCACTCCCATGACCATCACACCACCCTGTTTGTCCTCTTATGCTCAACAAATATTCATTAGTTCAGCGTTGACAAGTGTGAACTGCCTTTTGCTTCTGGTTCTTTAACTTTAGGAACTTTTATTCATCAGTATATATTTATTCAACTTAATTTATTAAATCTCATTGGTACAGTTGGCATAGCTTCTAGCAATGTCTGGCACAAAAGCATCCAATATGTTGCTTTTCCTAATGAATGAATAAAGATGTACAGAGACTCGCTCTCTGTCATTTTCTTTATTATGAACTCATCTGTGCATAGTATGGGAATGACTTATTTAATGCTGTGTGGCTTGGTCATTGGTTTTTGGTTTCAATAATTCAACTGGGAAACATTTTAATAGACCAGCATTTTTACAAACAAAATTCTTTTAAAAAATATTTGTTTCCTGTTCTCAAGTTTGGAAGTTAATATTTAGATAAATATTTGATTATTATACTCTTTTAGATTATAAATCTTGTAAAAATGCTGCTTTTCCTTTTTTAAGACATTGTTTATTTGTACGGGTAACAAAAAGTGACTAACATGCTATCAGAAATTATTTTTATGAAAAGAAAAAGCACATTAATTAAGTTGCATCTAAGAATTTATATGGAAAAAATTGTTAAGTTGGCAAAAATGTACTTTTAGCACAGTTTAATACCTTTTGATATCACTTTTTCCTTTTCTGTTAACTCTATTACCCACCAATGCAGCCAGGGCCTCCTGGGATTTCTCACCCTACCCCAGGAAGAACTGTGGTTAAACAAATTAACTTTTTTTTTAATTATTGTGCTTAAGGTCTTTTTGCCCCTCTCCCACATTTTGGATATAACTGGGACTTTTTCAAACAAATATATCACAGGGAAATCTGTTCCATTTTAGAAATGGCCTTAGGGTATATCTATCAGAAAGACCTTTTTTTCTTAGTGGAACATTTTAATTCCTGATTTTCTCACATCCTCAAGCCTCAGATTAGAGAATATTTATAGCTTTTAATGTAATTAATTTATAGTGTTATTCTTTTATTTTGTTTATTAGGGTAGCTATTGTTTTTACTACAATTAAAAATGTTACTAATCTAGTAAAACAGTCTGAAGATCTATAAATACTGTTGCAGCAAATGTATTGTTAAAAATTCAGAATATTTTATTTTGATAGTATTTATGCTTAGCCTGATAAATTCACTATTTAATAAAATTTTTTAAAAAGCAATTTCAAGCACTTGCAGGGTCTGTGTTAGTAAAATAGTTTTATGATACTCATTGCTTTTTCCACAGTAGATTAGGATGTGACATGAGATTTTGTCCTTTGTTTTTCTACCATCAGCAATATTTAAATAGATTACACATGCAAAAAAACTTATTTCTCAATTATGTTATAAAGGTCACATTCCCACCCCACCCCCCAAAAACACATAAAACTACACTTGACAGTAAAAATCCTGATGAAATGAATAAAAGATTTCTGAGACCTTGTTCAAGACAATATAGCAGTGAAAACTTTCCTCTCATTGATGGAATGACTGCCAGTTGGTTTTAAAGTAATTTTTAAAAGATGTGATTGATTAAAAATAAATTTGTCCAATAAAATCTGAAAGCTTAAAAGCAGATATACTATTGTGCTTTTATGAAGGCTTCAGCATAATTAGAATATTGATAAGATAACACTGACAGATTCCTACAGACCAGATATTTTATCATACTGGGTTTCAAACTAAACACATGTGCTAAATTGTTGTTTTGATTTGATTTTACAGAGTAGCTTCAATACATTAGTGAAGTTAACAATTCAGAAAATTAGAGGCTCAGGTTAATATAAAATTAAATAAGAACAGTAGGAGAAACTGCTTTTTTCAATATCCAAATGAGGTTGTTTTACATTCCAAATATAGGTGTGTTTCTCTTAAAAACATTTATTTCATCCATACTCATTTCCAAGTTGGAAATACCCATTTTACTCACTAGAGTGCGAGGAAACAGGCTTTGCAGAGCCTGGAAGACCAGAGGGAGAGGCACAGCTCTGGGAAACCAGAGAAGGGATTCTTTCAGCCCCGCCAGGATTGGGGTGTGGCCTTGCTCCTGACGAGTTTAGGGAGAAATCAGGAGAGCTGGTGGACTCTCCTTTGATGAAAGCACACAGCCTGTTACAGTAACACTTTTTCTGATAGAATAGTGTAAGCCTTGTGTAAAGGGGAAAAGAAGAAAAAGAACTTGTCTAGTTCCTCAGCTCTGGCTTGATGATACCTATAATGAAAGAACCACTGGAAACTGGTGCATGTTAGGGAATGAAGGGGAAAAACTAGGCTTTGAGGTACATCCCTGTCCCCATGCTCTGTGAAGACTGGCTTTTATGTAGTGTTCTTGTCTTCTTTTAAACAAATCAGGCCCTGACGGTGTAAGAGCGTGTGTATGCATCTGTGATTGTCTGTGTTTTTAATGTGTGTATTTGTGCATGTGTGTCTTTTTCTGCCCATCCATAAGACATGTTGTGGGGATAAAAAGTATCTTTGGGGATGTTTACATGCTACATGCTTAAAGAAGTCTTTTTGCCCATAATTTAAGTGAGAAAACTCATTGGAAGCATATTTCTATATGGATTTATGAACTGCTAGTATAAAAAAAAACTGTCAGAGATTTATAAAAAACATGCTGGCCATAAAACTTCTCATAGTTTGCAGTGTAAAGGACATTCTTGGATGTTTCTGCATTACTGATAGTGATCAATCAAACATTTTATCAAGTGATGTTATCTTTCATGATTTCAAGTTCAACTTGAGAGTTATTTAATAGAGGAAAGAGATTTTATTTTTACATATGAAAATCCCTTGGTTGAACGTTAAGCTATATGATACATTTGGCCATTGGGCATCTAAAGAAATTATGAAAACTCAAAACCTAGCCCTGTGTCTCAGCCTCTGCAGGCAGCAGCCTGATTATTAACGCGCATGCTTTCCTTACCACCAGAGGCTCAGTGCGTGGTCTGGGCAGGCAAGAAAAGGTCTCCCGCAGGAAGGTGGTAATCTCCAGGAGAAGCTGGCATGCTGCCATCTTCAAAGCAAAGGGGCAGCCACACTTAGAGGGGTTCACAGTACCTATGGAATGAAACAGTTCTTTCATAAGTAAACAGATTAAAATAAAGAGAGGCACAGTTTAATGGACATAGCTACATGTGTGAGGATGTTACCTAAACATGTCCAAAATGAAAGTGCATATGAGAATGTTGTCTATACATATTCAATTGACTTGTTCCCTTTACCATAATCTGTGCATTAACAGACCTCTCTCTTCTTTGATTTTGTAATTCTGCCGTATAACAAGTGCCTGAGTATTAAAATGGCAATCAAAAACTGTATTATTCTCGTTAACAGCCTCGTAGAGTTTTATAATGCAGATCCGCTAAACTAGGAAGGCTTTTATGAAAACAGAAATGGGAAAGCAGTTTTGTAGGACTTTTCACATTACTATTTAATCAGATTTAGACTGTACACATGGCAGTGAACTGAATTTGAAACTACAAAAATCCTGCTGGTTCATTTTATGAGAGACATCTCCTTTGATGTTCTGAGGGCAGCGAAGTTGTTTCAGTTCTAGTCCAGATGTGTTTCTGTAGCATAGACCAGACATACTTGAACACCTCTATCATCAGTTTATACAAGTTAGCCTGTCATATTAAGGTATAACTACATAAGAAGCATGCAAATGCTCTTCTTTGTTCTAGAAAAATACTGGTTTTTGAATGAATAAAACATTGCATCCACCACAAGTCAAGTAATGGATTTTTCCCTAAAGGCAATGGCCACATTGATACCATGAAGACTTTTTATATTCCCAGGACATAAAACTCTCAAATATGTGTCATCACAAATCAAGCAAAAATATACTGATCACTTATCAGTGTTCAGAAAAAAAAGACCAAGGCCATGTAGAGTTCTGTCTCTCATAAAAGAAAATAGCTATTTTGAATGAATCAAGGTGTTAAGCAAACAATTATCATTGCATGTCAACATTCCTAAAATGATCTCTAAAATGTTTCCCATGTATTAGGCTTTCTTAATTGAGTAGAAATGCACACTTCATGGTTTATATTGATAGTAGGTGAAAATTATGGTTTTTTTGAAGATGTCTGGCTATTGTTTTCTCATGAACACCATGATTATCTCTCCAGAGGGAATATGTGGCTGGGACCATTTTTTTTAAGAACAAAAGAGACAAAGCTCTTTAGAATTTCCAGACCTATACACGTTTGCACCACAATTCTCTTTCAAATGCAAGATGAGGTATGTATTGACTTAAAAGTGGCATAAAACCAGACATTCCAATCTTATGTTTGATGGAGTCTACATGACTCTAGAAATTGCCTGGATGTGCAATGATTTTTAAAAAATAATTAAATACTAGATATTCAGTGTAATCTTATAGATCTGTCCTTTTGCTTCTGAGGTTTTCATCCTTTTCAGGATCTTCCTTTTCAGTCCTGTATATAGACAATGAGCTTGGTCTTTATTCAGGGTCTCTCATAAACTATCATCTCAAATATTCTGTTACAATGAACAAGGATTGAATAATGTATGAAAAGCAAAGCTAATATATAGGTATAACATATTGGTAAATAATACTTAGATGTTCTTATGGAGATTCAAGATCAATTTTGTCTATGAGGGTATATCCAACTAATGTTGCTTTGGCTCTTCTCTGTTCTGAAAGACCCCTATGAGACCCAGGGCAGTTTGGGGGATATCTCCTGGCAGGCCTTCAATGGGTCCTGTGATTACTCAATAATCATCAAGGCCTTCTATGGATTAGACTCAATTCCATGAGTCACCCTAGGAGAGTCGAGACTCCTATGAACTTGAGAAATCATTGAGGCAGCTTTCACCATTAGGCTGAAAGCCTGGTATCAGAATTTGGTGTTTCATCAACAGCTAAGTCAAGAAGTTTTGCTTTAATTTGATAAGAGCTGAGGAAGAGCAAAATGATTTTAAAAATTGTAAAAAAAATCCTTGATGTGAAAGTGGAAAAGAAGATAATACACTGTCTTTGATTATTATTCAGTTCTGTCTAATGTTACATTCTAGCCATGAAATACAGTCTTTATATTTTGTGACTGTAAGGATGTAATAGGTTTAGCATTACTCAACTAAGAACAACCCTAAAGGCATGATCAGGGAGTTTGAAACCACTAGGGAAGATCTAGAGGAAGAGGCTTCACTGTCTTTGTTAGATAATGCTGCTGATTACATAATCACAGTGGAATTTTATACTCCATAAAAGGCAGTGGTGCACATACATACAAGTTAGTGCGGCATTAACCACATAATTGCACCAAACAGTTCTAGAGAGAGATGTACAGGAATCTTTGTCTCTATTTTTCTATGATAGGACTCAATTATAATTTTAATAAATAACTACAGTACAGAACATTCACAGTGCTAACAACCTTAATCTCTCTCTCTATATATACATACACACACATATATATGTGTGTATATATATATATACTTATCCTTACATGAGGAAATTTTTTCATTGCTTTTAGAGAGAGAGGCAGGGAGAGGGAGAAACACAGATGTGAGACAGAAGCATCAATTGGTTACCTCCCATGTGCACCAGATCAGAGATCATACACTCTCAGACTGGGGATCAACCTGTAACTTAGGTATGTACCCTGACCGGGAATCCAAACCACAGAGACCACAGCCTTTGGTTATGGGACAATGCTCCAACCAAGCAAGCTACACTGGCCAGGGCAATGATTCTTTTAATATTTCTACTCATGTTAAAAGCTATAATATACTCTGATTAAATATTACAATGTGTTAGTAATGTGGGAAGTGTGTCATGTTCAGTTTTGTTTGGTATAAACTAAATTTTTATGTTTTATCTCCAAAAGCAAAAATAAAATATAAAATCTGACCAAAGCTCTTCCTCAACTTAATTTTCTCAGAGAGGCCTAATCTTGTATAATAATATGAGAAATATGAGTCAGAGACTACAAAGCAATGGAAGTTCCATATGGCCTGCAACTCTTTGCCCCTGTCTCTAGGCTCTTCTTTCTGGTTCTTGCCCTCATCTCTGCGTGAGTTTACACGCATGCTTCACATCCACGCACAGGGAATAGCGGAAAAGGTACAGTGGGGAGACATGGGAAGGTGGTAAGAATATGAAAGAGGAAAGAGAAATATTAAGTGCTCCTAAAGCAGAGGTTCTTACAAGCAGGGGTTCTTGTAGTAAAGGGAGTCTCCTTACTGTCATCTAAAAAGTCTTCCTCCTCATCCTCCTTCCTCAGTCTCCTTTTGGTCTCTTCATCATAAATGAGACCCAGCAGATTGGCGGGGCTCTCACTTTCCCCGTGGCACAGCTCATTCAATCGGATGCCAATTGCCTACCATAGAAGAAAAAAACAGCATAAAGAATATCAGACTGTAAAGCAGGCTCTCCCATTACAGAGGACATAAACAACCAATTAATGGAAATTATTTCCAGCATGAGCCTCCTCTGTATGCCACAGTTTCATTATTATCATGTTTTCCAGTGTGCAAACCCACCAAAGGAAGGCATTGGTGCTCTCTCCAAGGTCATGGAGACTAAATACTCGGAGGAACTCGAATGATACCTTTATATACTCTTATAATTTTTTTTTCATTTACTCAGTGAAAATATTCTCATTTACTTAAGGTCCATTTATTTTATAGGTCTCATATGAGGGAGCATGCAGTCTTTAATGGAGGATTTTGTTGCAGTAAGAATAAGAAGTCACAGTTCCTCAGAGTACTACTGATTATGCTATTTTATGAGAATGTCGCTGTTGTGCTAACGATTGCGGAGGTTGGCAAGAATTCTGTACTGCAATTTTATTTATATCTGCTATTATATATGCACTTACTGGCTTTTTTTAATAGACTTTGTTTCTCCCCCCCCGAAGCTCTATGAATTAAAAAGAAATACTAACTATTCTTTCGGTAGGGCACCCAACATCAACATTAGTAATATGACTTTTAATAACTCAGCACATGGACAATATTAGTTTCATATAATGTACTTGTAAAACTAACACTTTTTATCAATTATTTTGAATCATCATGCACTATCATCTGATTTACCAAAAGGAATTTTCCATAAGAAGAGACAAAATACACTCTTTAATTTCTTTTAAATTCCAATTACATACCTTATGCAACAGTGGAAGAAACACAAGCATAGGGATAAAAGCTATAAAAAGAGCTAAAATGAACACTGAACTTAAAGTTTGACAGTTGGGTTACTCTGTGCATTAGCAAGAACAAAGTTCCAGCTAATTGTTTTCTTTCTTCTGTAACATTCTTCTCAAATACTCAGAACAGTTACTAAATTCTGGACATGTTAGAAATTACATTCACTCCTGGAAACTGAAATACAAAGATATGTCCAGAGTGTTTTAATAAAAACACAAGTTGTATAAACGGCTTGGCTATCTGGAAACAAAGAGGTCTTCTGAAACTCTAGAATTAAGTGAGGAGTAAGGAAAACCATATCAAAAGAAAGAAAGGATCGTAAACAGATATCATAGGATCTTAAAATTTTAGCCACGAGCCTGAAATGTTTTAAGCAAACAAAACAAAACATCAAAACAAAAACACACCACCTCAACAAAAGCCTTGTCCTGGAGCTTTTTGGAGAGACCCCCTCCAAAGGAGGAGACGTGCGGTAAGAGTTTGGAGGGAGCCAACACACTTAATGGTGAGAGTCAAAGGGGAAAGTTTCTGTATCAATCCTCCCAGGATGCTGAAAATAAGCATCCGAAGTTAAACCCACAATTCACAAGAGTTAAAGGGTTGCTAAAAAATGAGCTTTCTGGGATAATATGAAATGTCTAAATAATAATTTAGAGCTCTCTCTACATCTCTTCCAAGGCTAGAAAAATGCTTTATGGTTGTGTTTATTGCCTTCCTCATTTACCAGATATTTATTAAGTGAGTTAACTTCTAGGTTATAAATAAAACATAAAGTTGAATAAATTGTTATAGTACACCAGAATCTTTGTTCAATGTGACCAAATGGATAATAAATCTTCATGCAGGATGGTCACTGGGAATAGGGAAGGTTCGAGAGGTTGGAAGACCCGCTCAGGGTTACTCAGCAAGCTGCGGGCCAGGATTCACACACAAGACAGGGGCTGGCATTCAATGTCGTTTGCTCTTTCCCTGTAACAGATTTTACGGGGGACATAATAGTCTATTGGGGACATAATAACATAACACAATAATGCATTATGTGGTGAAAGAATTAATAAGTTTATTTGTTCAGAGATGGAGAGTTTAGATTCAATTTGGAAAATCATATAAAGTCTCACTGCTATAGATTTTGAAGAACTGGTGTTTTGGGTAATGGGGAAAGGAAAGAGCAGATATTCCAGATAGGGAGTTCTAAAAGACCTGTATTCAGGGAAATAAACTGACGTGTTCACAGACAGACAATTAAGCCATTTGGTTGAAGCACAGTTCTGTGAGAAGAAATAATGTACTGGAAAGCTGGAAAGGTAAATTGGGACCAGATCCTACAGTTCTTGAAGATGAACTTCATTTTACTTTCTGAAGGATGATAAAAGGTAGTTCCTGGGGGGAAAGGGGGACCTTATCACACATTCGAGGGACACTGTGCTGTGCTAGTTAACTAGAAATTCAAAGATAAACCAGGTAAACTGCTTTCCAAAATGAATGTAATAACTTGCTCTTATTGAACATCTCTTAGATGCAAAAGATTGAGATAAATGTTCTTTAGATACTTGTACAGTAGTTTATTTGACTTCAGCACCCACAATCTTGGTATGATTTGGGTGGAGGTTGTGGAAAGGGCCGTGATTCCAGGCTAAGCAACTTTGGTTTTATCCCGAGGGAGAAGGAGGGCCACTGAAGCATGTCAGTGGGTAGGAGGCACAATCTCATTTGCATTTTAGCCTCATCACTCTGACAGCAGTTTGGAAAATGAATTGGAGGGGACAAGTCTGGAGGCTGGGAGACAAGTATGAAAGTTCTGCTTTTAGATGGGCTATGCACGGAGGAGATCGTTTTACCCCCAATGTGTAGGAGTTGGTCTCCTGTGGGGAGGAGATCAAATGGGAAGATGCTTTATTGATCCAGATGAGAAATAACGAAGATGTGACCCAAAGGGATATTAGTAATGCGGAGGGAGTGAAATCAATAAGGGGAGGAGGTTTGGAATATGTTCAAAAGTTATCATTTTAGATGATGGTGGAATCATGAATGAGAATAGAAATTTGAGGAGGGGCTGCAGACAGGGGTGTGTTTATACGGGAAGAACAGCTCTGTTTTGGTCAGAGCGAGTAGCGGGTGAACGCCTCCAGAGTGCAGATGGCAGGGCTGACCGGGGCCCTGAAGGGTGGTGGATGGAGACGCCTGTGCTGCTGGCATACAGTTAGCAGTTGAAAACACAGGAATAAATGCAACCCTGGGGGAAATTATGCAGGAGGAAATTAGAAAATATCCTGGGAAAATACATTTATAGGCAGGAAGGACACAAGGACCAGGGAAGGAGACAGAGCGGGATAATAATGTTTAACTTCATAGATTTACTGGGAGAATTAAATGAATTAAAGATTATTTTCCCCTAAAATGTTTTGTTCAGTGCCTGGTACATAACAGGTACTTAACACAATTGTCTCAGAAACAAACAACAAACAAACAAACATAAACACAAAACGTCCTCACTTCACACAAGCACCCTCATTTTTATAGAAGAAAATCAGAAGCTCACGTCTCCCCACTGATAGAAGAGCTTGGCAGCGTTCCACTGTAGCTTCTGGTTCCGCTTGTTGCCCACGATGGGAGACCGTCCCCTGGACAGGCCCTTCTTGGTGATATTCACATGATGTCCTTTCATCCACTCTGGCCAGTTGCCACGGTTGCAGCGGTGGACAAATCGAGCACATTCCAGGAACAGCGCTGCTCTGGCTACCACAGGAGCTTCCTGAGTCGGGGTGTTAAGGAAAGAATAATGTGGGATTAATGAACAATAAAGTGACCCTAAAGAGAGTTACCATGCACTCTTAGTTTATTTCAGTTTCTCATTCAGTTGAGCTATATTTCCCTGGGTAGTGTTAATGTTGGCAACATATTAATGGGGAATATGGAAAATGAACCCATGAAAGAAAATTTGCATATTGAAGAACTAGACATTTTAAGTAGGTTTCTGTGTTTATTTTTCTCCTTTTGCAGAATCTCAAGTAATTTCATTACTCTTTTTGCATATTTAAGAGGCAGCTGGGATTTGAGTACGAGAGTGAAATAACTTTTAATGTTTTTAAATATGAAGATTTTATTAAACCTAAAATGTTAACATGAAGCAAACAAATACTCAATTTCTAGGACTAGTATTATGCTGACCAAGGGTGTCAATAGTGATTTTGTTCCAGCAATAATCTATAATCTATGATTATCTGTACACTCCAAGAAAATACAAGTGCTCCAGAGTATTTTGACCAGTAAGAAAAGGAAGTGCTTACTAGGTTTTGTTGAGTTACTCTTCCCCCCAACCCCAACTTTGTCATGAATAACAGACCAAATCTGCTTAAACAAGCAGGGCTTTAACTGAGAATGTTTGATACAGAGAGAATTATTTAATTGGTAAATAAAAACCTGAGCATTTCAGAAACTCATGAACATGGCTCTATCTTTTCATATCAAGATGTACTTGAAAAAAATAAAAAAACAACTTTCAGTTGTTGCCGGGAAACTAGTAAGGATCAGGTATCTACTAAATTCTTTATAAGATAAAAAAATATTTTTAATAAGGGAAGGGGTGTTACGTTTCCCATAGAAGGTCAACAGGTCACAAGGATATATACATTGACATTTAATGGGTATTTTGACTTGTGCCAGTTTTAAAAAATACATCACCATATTAGCCATGACCTCAGAATTATCTGATAACCATAGGTTGCTTAGTAACCATAGGTTACTAAGCAGCTACATAGTAACTACAGGTTACATAGAGGGTAACAGAAAGACTCAATTACATGGTAATTAATTTTTATTAACTGTAATTCTTAATTATCACAACTTTATGATCTAGAAATAATATTCTCATTTTAATATTTTTCAAAATGCAGTATAATTTTTCCATTATCATAGAGCTGACATGGGGTAGACATAGGATTCAATCCCCAGTCTCTCTGATTCCCAGGTCTGTGCTAATTTCCCTTTGGTGTCTACATTGTCTTAATTTGTACTCATATAAATCTTGGTAAACGATGGTTTCTAAAGTGCATGTAGAAAGACGTTGCTTAAAAATGAAACATTAATGTCAGGTAATGTTATTTTTCTTAAACACAAATATATGATCGCATCATCTTCCCCTTCAAAATCTATTACTGACTCCATCCACCTCAATCATAAATAAAAAAGATACCCAGTCTTTGTTATTTGGTTCATCTCCCCTTCTATGCTTATCTCAAACAGTCTGTCATCCAGTTATGTCAAACTGGTAATAGTCTCCCAAATATGACATCTCATACCTTTCCATTTGTTGCTCCTATGGCTTTCAGAGCCTTGAAACCCTCTTTCCATCTGGCAAATTCCCACTCTTAAGATTTGGTTTAGTTACTTCCTCTAAGAGGTCTTCCTTAACCCTTCCCTCTTCAGGCTACTTTAGCCTTTGGTTGGTTACTTCATAATTCTGAATACCATAGTATCTCAAATATATGGGATGATTCAAGTAAGTTAGTCCATAAACATTTTGTCATTGTCTACAACTTAAAATCAATCCATCAAGAAGAATTCCAATATGACATATATTTATAAACAAATGCCTTTACAAAGCGTATGATGAATTGTCAGAACATACAAAGTAAGCCTGTGTGAAAAGGCAGAAAACAAGATGAACACTCATGGTGAGAATCTATCATAAATAAACAAGTCACGCTAATGATGAGACTGCATCATCAACTGTGTTGGTGCCTAGCCTTGGTAGCAGGTCACAGGGATAAAGACTTGTGACTGCAAAGTCTCAAATGACTTTTTGCATCAAACCTTATCAATATTGTCGTGTCTTAACATACAGACTAAATATCTACATTCTTCTTGTATTAAATATTTACTTTATGAAGCATATCAGATATGCGAATCTGTCTCTTGTAAAGACATGGACATCTGTCCCTAAAAATGAATGCCAGTCTGTAGGGCAAGGCAAATGATACAATTCATTCTTTGCCTGATGCATTTTGACACATTCCCAACATAAAGCAATGGGATTCATTGTTTAGTGACAGGAAGACAGAAACAACACTGCCAGGAAGAACATTATGTTATGAACTCTGGTTCCTTCAGGGTAAGCAAGGGAAACTTAGGCTCACTCAAAATGTATCCAGCAGAGGATCCTTTTATTGCCCTTAACTATGATATGACACTGAGAAGATTAACAATAAATGAATGAACAACCCAAACTGCAATGTGTAGCTTCCTATATATTTTGGCTTGCCTTGTTTAGAAAAAATGGCTTTATTTGCTTAGGAAAGTCAAGGTATTTTGAATGAAAAGCAATTTCAATTCTCTGTTCTCAAAACCTTATGAGAAAACTTGGATATCGTCAGTCATTGGCGCTAGGAAATCCCACTCTATGCTTGGAGATGGAGTTGAGATCAGTATGAAAATAATTCCCATTAACTCTATAGCGCAACATGAAGGGGAGTGTAGGTTCTTATCTGATGAATTTTATCCATGTAAGTTGCAAAACCCAGTGACATTTGGAAATGTCACTGTCTGCTTTATTTATTTATTTATAATCCTCATGAGCCTCGTGGATGAAAACAGGCTTGCGAATCTTACTGTCAAGATGGCAGTAAATAATACCAACTTCTGAGAGACTGTCATGTGCATATGACTATACAGATGACTGAAGGAGGTTTTCAGGTACAAAGCTAAGGGCTTTAATGTGCATCCCAGCAGAAGATACTTAGGAACAAGTACTGACTTCGCTATGCATGTGAAAAGCATTCAAGGGGTTCTAGTGTAGGTGTGGTCATGCAGAATTATATTTGTTGTGAGTATCTTTCAAAGTGTAGTTCAGAAAGTACGGATTTTAGAAGCAGGGTTATGGAGTACCGTGGACAAAGGATTCTTTCTGGACAGAAAGGAAAGCCATTTTTTTCCCCTCTTCTGTTGGAGCTTACCTCTTATGGCTCAGTGCAATCTGAAGAAGCAGCAAAAAATGGAGGCATGACAGAATGGATAGGGATGGACTCACATCACAGAGAAAAACAGCACAAATGGAGAGAAATGAATCGGAAGAATGCTGCATGGCTGAAAAGAACCACAGAGTATCAGAGGCATGGTTAAAAGTGAACATCTACACACACACAGAATTCGACACCACTGGCATACCACAGAGAATTTTGCTGAGGGTCCTGAAAGAAAATAGGCGCATTTAAATTTCTTCTTTCTTAAGAGCATGTCTGCCAGATCACCTTTTCATAGGTCCCAGACAAGCGAGAATCAGTTTTAACTGGGAAGACAAAATATTAGGCAGAACCATATGGAATTCCCCATTCTGGAGGTTGAAAATCGTTGAATGCTAACAATTTCACGATTCGATCTTATATGAGGTGTTCTCTGCAACGGCTACACCGTTGTCTAGTTAAAATTACAAAATGTCATGCCATTTTACAGTTTGAATTCCTCTAACATTCTACAATGAGGAAACTTCAAGTGTCACGCCACTTCTCAACTTTCTTTGTCACTTTTTCCTGCCTTTTATAAGATCGTTATGTATATTGAATGTTTCCTTTATGAAAGTGAAGCAGAGAATTGGAATACCAATTTAAACAGCTGTGCTTTATTTTGCCTGGGGACCTATAGAATCTTGTTACCACAATACGGTGGTTAATTGAAGATTATAATTGCATACATTCCTTTTCCTCTAGGACTATATCTAAACTTATTATGTGAGAAGAAGCCTGGACTGATCCTGAAAACTCATATAACAACACTGAACAGGAACTAACGTTTCAAAGAATGAATATTTTATGTTGGCCCCTGAGGAATTACATAATTTTTTTTTATTGCCTTACCAAAAAATATAAAGCTCTTGCTGGTGCAGGATACCTATTTATTTAAAACCAGTGGGAATAAGCAGTTATTGTGGGTTATACTGTGCATTGAAATCTAGTTTGCTGGAGGGCTTGTGCTTGTGAGCCGGTATTTATTACTTAGTCTGTATTGATTCTCGGCCTGTCCAAGATCATTAGGGAACTGACAAGCTGCTTCCGCCCCGTCATTGCTACAGTACCTGGGGGCAGCTGAAACGATCAGTTGTCAGGCGACTGGCAGGCAGTATTGTCTAGGGCACAGTCTGGATGGTTAGTCATTTTAACACTTACTCAGATCATGCAAATATTTTGGGTAAGAATTTAAAAAAAACCAAGTGAGGACTTCTGTTTCTGAAAATATGATGGATTAAGTGAGAAGAAAAACTTCTTCTTGTGATTTAGACACTTAAAATACTGGATAAAATATCCAAAACTCTTTTCATTTTGTTTTTGCTTTAGTGTCTAACATGAGATAATAGACCAGTGAAGAGCAAAAATGATAAGAAAGTAGAATTCTGGGGTGGGGGTGGGAGGAGAGGTGTGAGCTGGCTTAGGGGTATTGACCTCAAGGGTTTCTGCTGACTATATGACTAAAGAGAGATGGGAGCATGGGTTTTCAATAGGCCACAAATTAAACGTCTGTGTCCCAGAGGAATAGGAGGCCAGGTAATACAGTCCTACCCAAAGCCAAGATCCCAGGTGGAGGCCACTCTCACTGGATGAATGATAAATAGATCTGTTCTACAGAAGTAGGTTTACTGAGTGACTACCCTTGGCTCTGGGTAGGAGAGATAGAGAGAGATAGATATAGAGATAGAGATGATAGATAATAGAGATAGAGACAGAAAGGAAGAAAGAGAGAGGGGGAGATGGAGAGGAAGAGAGG